TAGAGGTGTAAGCCGTGCGGCTTAGCCGCCGTCGCCGCCGATGAACTACAAAAATTTAAAGCCGCCGCCAGCCGTGCCTGCATAAGTTTTTAAAAATTAAGCCGCCGCGCCGCTGAGGCACTTCAGTTATAGCCGCCGCGCCGCCGATGGCATTCAAAATTTTAAAATTTTCGAGCCGCCGCCAGCCGACGCTTAAGATTTTATTTATTTTTTGCACATTTTTGATGAACTTTTATATTTTTATTTATTGTTCAGCTTTATATTAGCTATGTACTTCATTATATTGAGATGTAAAATGAAGATTCTACAAATGTTTATTTTAAAATATAAAGGATTGGATAATGACATGGACAAGTTTTATTTTCTCGTAATAATATAACAGTTTTTTAAACTTCAAGCCGCCGCGCCGCCGAAGCACTTTCGTTACAGCCGCTGCGCCGCCGATGGCATTCGAAATTTTAAAATTTTCGAGCCGCCGCCAGTTGGCAACCTTAGAATTTCACAGCCGCGCCGCCGAACATTTTAAAAAAAATTTTAAAACTTGGCGCCGCCGCCGATGACCCTACCGGCTTACACCTCTATTTACGAGGGATCTCAAAGCCTATCAAGTTTTTGAGGGATTTCAAGAATCATTTGGATTTTTTCGGGACCTCAAAGCTCATTAGGATTTATGAGGCTTCTGGAGGCCTTTTAAGGTTTAAGAGGGATGTCACCACTTTTCAGGCTTTACGGATAATTTTGAACCTTACTAAGGTTTTCGAGGAACCTCAAGACCTATCAGAGTTTACGAGGAATCTCACGGCCTATTAGGGTTTTCAAGGGACCTCAGGGCTCATAAGGCTTTACGAGAGATCTCAAGGCCCAGGTTTACCAGTTTGCTAGGTACCTACTCAGATTTATGAGGGACTTGATGTGAGGTCTGTCTTTTCGTTCTTATCCTTACTCAGAGCTATGTCGTGCGTGTGGATATTGCTGTGTGTTTTTTTCTCGTTCCTCTTTCACACTAAAGTCTGAGGCAAACCTAGTATCCTCGAGTAGATCCTGATACACTATTTAGATATATTTAGACCATATAGATTCTATACATCTAAATATCAACAGATATTGAGTTAATCTATAAATGTTTTTTCTTAATTAGTCTATGATTCATTTACGGCGTATGATACAATTTATTTGGCGAATCATAATAAGTACGCCATGATTTAACTAAAAATATCTACGTAGAAATCATTCAAATATTTAAAATACTCATTTAGTTTCAATATAACTGAGGGTAGGTATGAGTCCTGCTAGCTAAAGAGAAGAAACACCCACACCCAGTCTAACTGGATCTCTAAATGACGGGAGATCGATAAGTATATTTCTCCGCTTCAAAACGACATCGAATAAATGATTTACATTGCATAAACAAATAAGATAAAAAAGAAAAACTAAAAGAATAGTATCAAATAAAACTAAATGGGTTAATAAATAATGAAGAAAAAAACAGTACTACGTAAGTCTTCTCTCAAAAGAATTAAATTTTGTGTTAATATCAAAGTCTATTAATATACTTAATACACTAAGAGAAGGCGTAATGTTTATTGAATTGAGTGGAAACGAATCTAAAAATTAAAGTAATAATATCCAGGAACAACAAGCATTAAAAATTTTTATTAGCATTCAAACTAATAGAGAAGAAAAACCAGCTGTTGTACTGAACAAACAAGACTATAGATAAAATTTAAGAAAAATAAAATAATGATAACATGTACGAAGAAGTATCGGACTCTACAAATATGATTTTACATCTGTATGTATACAGTCCTCGTTTGATTTTGAACAGTGGGGAAAATAAATCACCAAAACATGGAGAGACATGGTTCTTTTTTTTGATCAACATTTTGTCTGATAAAATATATTCGTAACTAGATAGTTTAAAATTCTTCGCATAGATTATAAACAGAATTCTATTCTTCCACACGTTCTATTAAATAAATTTACGTCGAAAATTCGGATCATAAAAAGAAAAACTTGTTAGTATTAACTACTTTTGACAACTATTTGATAGACCATAGTATTTGTTTGTCTGCATATGCATAGTATGACCTTTTCCTTATTTCAGATGTACGGAAATATTTCAATTTGTTTATCCTATTTTTTTGATTGTGTTAAATAAATTTTGTCTCGATAATCGATACGAATACTTTCCAGCATATAGATTCATTGATTTCTGTATAACTATAGTATATATATCATATCTCTTGATAGGGCAAACTCTTTTGTATTGTTCAATTGACTACTCAAAACATAGGAATAAATTTTTAAGGAAATAATGAACACAACATTGATGAGATAATCTTTAATCGTATATATCATGCCTATACAATTGATTGATAGATATTTAAAAATATACTGCATCGAAATAAATGACAAAAAGCGAAGATATTTTTGAAAAAAAAAAAGAATTAAAATTATGTCACAAAAAAAGAAATGAACTATTTATGATTGTTATTATTGCCTACATGATATTCAACAGCTTTACGTCGTAAAGAAGCAATACTTGAACCACGCCATATATCGTCATTATCATTGGTTATTAAATCAGTAGTTGATGAAGGAAAAGATAAATTATATGATGATCCTGATGAACATGAATTCAATGGATCAATGTTGATTATTGATGGTAATGTAGATGAAAAGAATGAAGTTGTTGATGCTGATGATGGAGGTAAACCAACATAATCAACCATGGCACTTGATGAATAAAAGTGTGGAGCTAATGATTGATCTATCTATATAAAATATGTCAATTATAATTTCTTTTTCTTTTCTTTTTTCTTTATTACCTGAGAGAAATTTGTTGTTGAAAATGGGAATTGATTGCAATTATTATTATTATTATTAGCAGTAGTAGTAGTAGGCCATTTGACATGATGATGATGATGATGATCTGTTTGTGAGAGCGAAGTTTGTCCATCAATCGATGTATTTATTAAACATCCATACGGAGTTAATGATTGAGAATGTTGAGGATGATAATGTTGGCGAAAAATATTTGTTGTTTTCTTACGTTTTTTCCATTTAGCACGACGATTTTGAAACCAAACCTATATATTAAATATTATTATTTGTTTTACATAGAAAACATAAGATAATCTACCTGAACACGAGATTCTGTTAAACTAATTCGTACAGCTAATTCTTCTCGCATAAATATATCTGGATAATGTGTTTTACTAAATGATCTTTCGAGTTCATTGAGTTGTGCTGGTGTAAAACGAGTTCTATGACGTTTCGGTTTAACTATTGTTAATGGTGATGATGAAGAAATAAGTAATTTATTAGATGATAATGAACGATGAGTATCATCATGAGGAGACGACGATGATGATGATGAAGATTTTGTTGTTGTTGGTGGAGAAAAATGATGATTCCCATCAATTGATGACAATGAATGACATGTTAGACGAACTCATAAAAAGAAGAAAAGTAATTCTCATATATATAAAAATTCTTCTTGTTTTTCATATTAATAAAAAATTGATTTCCTTACCTTGGTGCTCTTGTTTTTCAACAGACTGATCGTTGATACAATCACTGTTTATATTGAACATCGTTAAATTAAATTAATAATACTGTTCTCTTCTCTAACTCAATTAATTAAATCTGTTTTAGAGATAAGGATATATATTTTCTTTACTAGATTTTTTTCTAAATATATATATATATACTGATAAAAAAAAGACAAGAGAGAGAGAGAGAAAATGTTTGTGACAATCAATTGATTTTCTCTTTCCGCCAACCACCTGCATCATATAACCAATCAGATTTTTTAACCAATCAACATCTGATGTGCCTTCAAGCACATCCGTTACATATAGGAAACATACACGCGACAATGTCATTAACAGATTATCATATTCCATAAAACAAAAAAAGAAATTTATATATACCAAATATCTAGTAGCGTGTTTGAAGCGGGGAATGAATGAATTCATTTTCTCTAATCATGATATACAACGGATGTAACGATAGACAGGAGATGAATTGATGATGCGAAAAAACAAATGAATGAATCAATTCATTCATAAGTGAGTATATAGAATATTCAATAAGATTAACATAAAAAGCAAACATTGGTAACATCAGCAACAATATATATATATGACAAAAAAAAAACACTTCGAATATTGTTGATTTGATTTTATCATATGAAATGATTCATATTAGATTATCTTGTCAATTGATCAAGTTTTCATTACTATAACATTCTGATTTGAGTGTCATGTACAATATGATAGTAAGAGAAAGAAAAAAGAACGGATGCAACCGACAACTGAATCTATTATTGATTCTAAATGAAGTACTATATAGTATTTCTCTTATTATATATAAATAAAGTTCAACTATATGTAAAAGTTACTGATATATACTGTATTATCATTGAAAAAAATGTCGAGTTCTTTCGAATTTCATCGATAGAAACTATAACACAGTTAGCGACATACACGAAATATATTTGTTTAATTGTTAAACCAATCGTTATATCAGTCTTTCTTTTCCTTTCAAATCAATCTATACTTAAATTAATACATTCGTTTTGCTTTGTCGTTAACGATTAGTTATTATAAAAATGATGAAATTACGACGACGACCACTTTCTGTATGTAATGTAGCTTCGAATTCAAATAGTCCAAACTCGATATCAGGTCAACCAGTACGTAAACGACAACGAAAAATTTCAAATCAATTATCATCAGATCAAGAAGAAAATATTAGTGAAGTAGAAAATCGTTCACCGATTTTAACTTCTGATGGTATGATTAATTACTAATTAAATTTTAAATATTATTCTGTAATAAATTAATTTTAGAATCAGATGATGAAGATGGTAATCGTAGTAGTGGTATTCAAACACGATCTATAGCAGCTGCTAGAAGAAAGAATAATGAAAGTAGCGATAATGGTATGTTTTATTGAGTGAACAGAAAACTTTCGATTTCGACAAATATTGATTGTTTCAATTTAGAATCAGATGACGACGATGATGATGATGATGAAGAAACTAATGAATGTCAATCTGATGAAGAGGAAATACCAATTATTAAACAGACAAAAACAAGAATGGTTACACGTCAAATGTCAATTATTATGAATCATCAAATAAAAATTAAACAAAATGTAAAAGTTCAACCATTTGTTGATCATACTGAAGATACATTAAGGTTAGATAAATGAAAAGAAAGTTTTGAAATAATATTTTTTTGTTTAAATTCTATAGTGAAAATGGTGAAAATCAACCTCGTACACGTCTTCGTTCAAAACGTTTAAATAGTGATCAAAATGGTGCACAGTTTTTTATTCGAATAACTCCTATTGATGATGATGATACATCACAACCAGCAGCTTTTTCTTCGGTTAAAAAAGAAAGTCTTTTTTATTATACAACACCTGAACGTCCAGATGAAGCTGATATTGATTATGAACAATTAGTTAATCGAACACGTATTAAACCAGCATCAATGGATCAATGTCATCAAGGACAATTATTACCTGATGAAAGTATTGATGATGGAAATAATACAAGACCAACTGAACTTATACCTTATTTACTTGAACTTGAACAAAGTCTTATGCCTGTCTTACCTATTATTAAACAAAAAAAAAGTAAAACTTCATATGATGAAATATTTTTTTTAAAAATTATTCATCTTTAGAATCAATAAAACAAGGTAATGTTATTTATCAACGTCGTTTTCAAATCTTACTTGATTATCTATATGGTCCTCAACGTTGTGAACAAATATCTGAACTTATTCGTCTTCATCTTCGTTCAAGACTTGTACTTAATACACTTTTTCTTACTGTTAATTTATTTGATCGTGCTATCTTAACTGGTCAAATACCAAGAGAATCTTATTCGGATGGAAATTTTCATTTATTACTTACCTGTTTATTAATTGCTGGAAAATTTGAAGAAGTCGAAGTAAATGAAAAATTTGATTCGCCCAACTAAGGTCGAAAGTAAAAGTATCGAAGTATAAAAAGTCGAAATATGAAAATGATAAGACTTTGGGTGTTCGAAATAGCTTAATCAGAAAAATAAAGAAAGACGTTTGAGGGTAGGTGTGAGTGTGGGTGTAAATACAGACATTCATCTATATTTAACCACACCCACACCATCACCCACACTTCTACCCTTCGATATTTTTGAATTTCGACTATTTTCAATTCGACAATCGACATTTGTCTAATTTTATTTGGAAATTTTTACCCTTCGATCTTTTTATACTTCGACATTTTTTCTTTTCGATCAAAGTTGTGATTATCAAAAATTTAAGACTCTATCAATATTAATTTTCTTTTCTTTCTAGTGGCCAAGCATTAGTTCACTTATTGCAAATCGTGAATCATTAGAAGCACGTGATATAAAAGCACTTGAAATAATTGTTCTTCAATCACTTTCATTTGATATTGGTTTAACTGTATTAGATTTTGTATATCGTTATTGTGAAATTTCACCAATGGATAAATCAAATGATGATCTTCGTCTTTTATTTTTTATTTTACAACTTTTATTAATTGATCCTCATACGTTTATTGCACATAAATCATCATATATAGCTGCTTGTACATATGCACTTGTACGACATTTAAAACAATATGAAGTGTAAAATTTGTTTTAGTTTTTAAATTTCTTATTAATTCATTTATTTTTAGTACATGGCCTCGTCGTTTAGCTCGTTCAACTGGTTATGATCCAGCTGAAATTGCATATGGTGTAACAAAAGTTGCTGCACAATGTTTACGTGCATTATCATCATATGAACAACAAGAATTAATACATCGAGATTTAATGCATAAATATGCTAAAGGTCCAGCTATGCAATTAATTAAATATGAACAAACATTAAATGATCTTATTCAACCAGCATTAGATGAAAATGAATGATATTCTACGATATTTTATCATCATAGTTCAATTAACTAGTCTTTCAGTAAATGAAATATAACTAAATAAATTTTTTTTCTGTATTTTTTTTTCTTTTCATGAACAAATTGTATATGAATATATAGTGAAAAAAAAGACTTTTTTCTAGAATTATTTTAAATTTTGTTAAATGAAATAATACTCATGTATTTTAATATACAATGCACTATTGAATAGAAATTATAAGACAACTGTAGAGGGTACAATAATCGTGTTGTTCTCTTCTTTTGCTTGAGAAATTTACTGGTATAAAGAACGCGTTCTACTGTGTTAAAATTTACTCCGTAGTTACTCGTTGAAACGTGAAACTCAACGTGGTTTTAACGCGTTAATCACAGTTGACAAAACTAACGGAGATAAAAATCGTAAAAATGTGCGCTTTTTCGGATTTTATTTACGTTAAAATTTCAAAATTTCTACGCGTATTTCTCCGTGTTTTGTCTGTCTGTGTATTGTTCAAATACGTTTTTATAAATTTTTGATGATAAGAGATTTATAGGAGCGTTATAAAACTGTATCTTAAAATAATTTTTATGACGTTTCATTATCGCATTACTATTCAATAGATTAATTCTTTCTTACAAATATTTTTAACATTGAAATAATATATCGTCATTTTTTTTCCGTTGCTCGGATGAGTTCGTTCTATATATCTGACAGTGAATCACACATACAAGCATTTAACGAGAAAATGGGTACAAAAAAATATAAAATTAAAGCTTTGGTATTTAGATGTTCTTACCGATTGAATTTTTTTAGATGATTCATTCTTCATTAAACATTAGCGATGATTTGTAATCGATTATTTTTTCTAAATGCAAATTTCATATATTTCTAAACAAATTTCATTGGTATTTGCTATACTTGAATTAATCTCAAATGTAAATTCTGTAGTATGATTCATGTATTGCACAATATTTCTGATGTGTCATTTCTTCAAAAACAAAATTGCGTTGTTTAATAAATACTATATATCTATCCGATTTGTCATTATTTTACGAGAAAAATCATTTATTAAATTGTCAAGTATAAAAAAAAGAAATTATGATCAACATATCTAAAAAACAAAATATCACAGAATAACAGTTATAATCGTGTATGAAATACAGATACATTATCATTATCGTTATCGTCATCATCAGTACTATAATGATCACTAGTATAACTGATATTTTTCGATGGATTCAATGCATTCGTTGTAATTAGTTGAGATGTTACACCTGTTTGATAAATATTTTCTGAAAAGGAAAAATAAATTTCTTTGAATTTCTTTCATATAATACATACCAAGTGATCGAGCTTTTGTTTTTAATGCTGATTTTTTTGTTAAATTTGTTGAACTACTAGATGTTATTATCGGTTGATAGGAATATCGACGTATAGATGGTAAATGTTCGGTAGTTTGTTCCCATGCACCTATTTTCAATAAGAATATTTATAGAAATAAAATAAAAATAATTCATACGAATATCAACGATATGTTGTTGTAATGCTCGAAGCCATATATTTAATATAAATAAATCTTGAACAAAAAATTCTTCTTGATCAAAACCTCGATTATAAATTGAAAATGATAAATGATCATTTCGTGATAAAATTATCGTATCCTACATATAAATCAAATAAAAAGATTCAACAATCTTTTTTAAAACTTACTTGTGTAATTGGTATAGAAAAAGTACGTTGATCTGAAGAATTATTACGCATTATTTCTTCACCATTTAGAAATCCTCCAGTTAATGCACATGAATATGAAATATTATTATTTTCTACAATACCAGTAAATGTTGCTGATCGTGTATAACATAATGGTTGAATTACAAAACGTGATATAAAAGAATGTTCAATTGGTAATTGATTTAATGGATTTTCTTGTAAACGTTCCATTGTTAAAGAACGAACTTTAGCTATTTTATGAACAGATTCTTTAGTATAAATTGCTCGAGCAATTAAAACAAATTTTGATTGTTGTTGAGTAGATGTTTTTTTCTGCAAAAAAAAAAATAAAAAGATAAGTTTGATTTAATTATTAAAGATAATGAAATAATTTTTTTTACATCTGTAGTTTCATTTTCTGGAACTTTTCGTCTTATTTTTGGTGAACCATGAGTTGAAAAATAACTATATCGATCAGCAAAATCTTTGGCTGCTGTTGATACAGCAAGACTTTTATTCAATGCATAAATTTCAAGATGTAATTGAAAATCATGTGGAACATTTCCACTAAATAAAATTCAAATAGAAATTATTATATGATTCAAAATAGATATTTACAATGTTAAATTATCGGTAAATAATACATCCGTTGATTGTTTATCGATAAATTTCATTTGTGTATCAATAATCTCACATCCAATGCGTGCCAAACAAAAAACGGCAAATTTCTTTTGATCTATATGAATAAATGTTCAATTATATAAATAAAAAAAAGAATAATCTAAACCTGATTTAGCTTTTTTCATATTTGTCCATGTTAATGGTAATCGAATATCCGATAGAATAACAGTTGCTTTTGTTGGTTCAAGACTTAAGAAGAAAAAATAACAATAAGAGTAAGTATAGTTTAATCAGACTAGATTTTTAATACTTTAGATTATCACGTTTTAATAAATTCTGTTGTTTTCGTTTTATTTCAGCCATGAAAGCTAACATTCTTTGTTGTGATAGAACAAGAGCTTTATTACATTCAATTGTTTGTTCAACTGTTGTAGCTACATTAAGTAATTTACTGATACCATCAATCATTTTAACCTCACAATCAATTTTACGTTCGAGTTCAGGATCCTAATTTCAATTGAAATCGAAAAATAAATATATATATATATATATATGAAAATAGTTCAATTCTACTTACCCAAATAAAGAATGAAACTACACGTTTCTCTCCGTTACTATTGTTCTCACTCATCGTTTTTCTTTTGAATATAATGTAAGAAAAATCTGAATGTCGTTTTATTTTATTCTCTTTCACTATGTATTTATATATGCATGACACAAAAAGAAAGCAAATATATGAGTAAGAATTGCATTGCATAAGCTCTGATTGATTACTCACGATACTGAAGTTTATGACTCTTTCAAGGCTTATTATGATCTTTTTTTATATTTTACAATGAGAAAAAGCGCATTGTTCATCTATTAATGGACAACCATTAGGATGGAATGTAAAAAAAAAACAAGGTTTTGTTTTAAATATTGCTTTCGATGAATTTTTTTGTTTTAATGTTATTGAATTTAGTTGTGGATTAGCTAATGTTATTAATTTCGTTTGGGGATCAAAATAAAGTGCATGACGATATGAGAGAATAATTGATTTTAAACCACCATTTTCACATTTTAATTGTTCACAAAGTTCATTTGGTAATATATTATATGCTTCAGATATAGTTAATGATTGATTATGAGTAATAATATGCTCGAAAAGAAATTTAATTATAGAAAATTTTGTCGAATAAAATTCTGGTTTAGATTTTGGACATGATGATTGATGATTTGAAATTTGAGGATCAGCATGTTCAAGTTTAATATCAATACCAAAATGATCAAGTAAATGTGTACGAATAGAATCAATTGAACTACAAAAATAAAAGCAAAAAATTTATTATAATTAATTAATTTTCTAAATTAACTTGTTTTCATTCGTTTGATGCAACATAAAACAAATATTTTTCGTTGATGGTATACGTAATTTATCTTTTTTTATATTAAAATCAAGAATTTCCGCAATTTTTTCTATATACGATAAATACTGTTCATATTGTGTAGTATTATTATCATGATTATTTGTAATAAATTTTTTTCCACTAAAATCAAAGAAACAACAAGGTAATAGAAAAACATTACAAAAACATTGACGAGCTAAAACTGGTAACCATGGTGTTAATTCATCGGAATGATTACCAATAAGAAATGTATATTGACCGGATATAATTAAATCATGTAAAATTAATGAATGAGGATCAATTAATGATTCAAGATATAATGATGAACCAAATAATGACCATGAACGACGACGACGCATATCAATACCAAGTCCTGTATAACCTTCAGATGAAAGTAGAAAAGTTAGAAGGCCATTGCCACATCCCAAATCCACAAATTTAATGGGTTTATCAAATGAAGAAGAATATTGACGCCAATATGTTAATAAATAACTTGCAATACCTAACAAAAATAGAATTTTAATCTTACAATTACATTTTTTTCTCTATTTTGAAATTGCATTAAGTATATATTCATTCAAATTGGATAAAGTATGACATGCACTTTCAATAATAAATGAAAAAGTAAAAAACAGTGTTTTATCTACGTTTCGAATGGGCGAACAGAAATTATAGACGGGTGCTAAGACAAAACGTCGCAGCTCATTTTAGAGTTCGAAACGAATTGCTAGAAAATTTTTGATGTTGGACAGTATATATATGTGGGATGCGAATATTCGATGTATCCTCACCCTCACCGAGCCATACGCCTGCGACGTTTTGTCCGATCACCGGGCGCCGCCCACCCACTAGATAAAACTTTTTTCTCCTAAAGAAATTATTGATCATACCTAAATCTTCAAAAACATGTTTTTGAGGGTCAGTATTTTCACACCAATTTTCAGTTAAATATTTTCCATATTTTACTTTTAATCGTTCATATTCCTGTTGATAATCTTCAATAGATATTAATTTTAATGTTGTATTTTCCATACTATTATCAATAGTACTTTGACACCATTTTATAATTTTTGATAGGACAATATCTTTTAACCAGAAAATTTCTTTTTCTATTTTAGCATCATATACAGTTAATCGAAGAATTTTCTCATCTATTAATAATTCAAAACGATAAATAGGTATTTGTACACTACATGTTTTTGTATGAATTGAATTCGAAATTATTGGTCGAAATTCAATAGATGTTTCATCTGAGAGAATATATTCTTCTTGATCATGATAAATTCTTGGATTTTTTTGATATTAATGTACGTTTATCAATTATATTTCGTCCTGTTGAATATTTTCGATCATTACGATTTAATGCCAAAGCAAAACGAACAGTTGTTACACGTTTATTAACAACATGTGGTTTATATATATAAATTGATATAGCTGATAAAAAATGTTCTTTATCAACATTTATATTTGATATATTAAACTGCATAAATCTATTATTATATTATACATATATATATAATTAACTATTTTTTTTTCTGTTAAAGTAGAAGAGACAAAAAAAAAGAATGTGTTTGTTTTATTATTTACACAAACATTGGAAGTACTTAGTACTATCAAACAGATAGTAAAGACGACGCTGTTTCTAATTTGTTAATCATTCACACTAGCGACCATTCGAGAAGAAACGAAGAAGAAGAAGAAAAAAAGAAACATCAGACATAATGCATAGTCAAGACTAGTTTTGATCAGATAATAATAATAATAGCACATAGAGAACAAAGAAAAAAAAAGAGATTATTTTACATATTAAGATTTGACAAAAAAGTCATATCTGAAGACGGAAGATTTGATAGAAATGCACACGTCATTTTTAATGTTGTTGTTGTTGTTGTAACATTTCAACAAAAGCAGCATTTAAATTAAATGAATTTGATGATACCATTGTTGGAGGAAAATTATTATTTGTTGGTGAATTTAATCGTTGTGTTGTTTGTAAAATTTGATGTGGATCAAATAACATCTGACTTTTAGGTGGTCGACCAGGACCACGTTTTTTCGTTGCCATTAATGGCATGTCAAGTCCGCTACTTCCAATATCATGAGATAATTTCGATGCATTACTCATTGATGATGCTGGTAAACTATGACGTGTTTGACCAGCAGAATTTTTAACCATTGATGCTGGAGTACCACTAAAATAAATTTCAATTGATTAGATGAAAACACGAAATATGTTTTGTAATTAACGGATATTTGATAGAATTAAAAGAAACCTATTCTACTTAAGTACGATTTATTTACTTCAGAGTAAACAGCAGGGGAGAAACCACGTACTCTGGTACTCCCATCTACTCCTATCATGGGAGTACCGGAATACGTGGTTTCTCCGTTGCCCACTCCACTCCCCACACCCACATCTTCATGTACTCCGCAAGTACTCGGAGTACGGCAGTACGTGGTTTCCCGCTTGGTAAACAGTCTCCGTGTTTTATAGAATGATAATAGTATTTAGAAGTAAAATATTTTATTTCGTTTATATTTACGTACTTTCTTGGCATGGGAGGGGGTGGTAATGATAAACCTGCTTGTTGTCCAAGCATAGATGCTAATGCTGTTTGAAATGCTGCTGCTGATGCTCCATCCGTACTTGCAGTAATACCATTTTCAATAGCTGCAAAAAGTTGATCATAAGATGATGTTAATGTTGATGGATCAAGATCAAGTGCAGAAAGGCCAGCAAGTCCTCGATCAGTAACATATTTAGGTGGTCGTCCACGTCGTCTTGGAGCAAAATTACCACGATCAAATGGTGATGGACTTGTTGAAGTATGAGATGATGGTGGAATCATATTTGTATTTGAATTTATTCCTGGTGAATGTGTTTGTGGTTTCGAAGGACGATTTGCTCGTTTAGGTATAGCATCAGGTTGTGTTAAACCAAGTAATTGTTGTTTAAGTAAAGATGAATTAACTCCTGCAAGACTATCAGCATCATTCGATGTTGATGACATCATTAATTGTTGTGTCATTTCCCATAAAAGTTGTTGATGTTGTTGTTGAATTGATAAAGGTATTGATGATTGTGATGATGTTTCAGATATTTTTTGTCGTTTAACTGATGGTGGAGATGAAAATGTTGATGTTGGTGATAATTTATGTTTAGCTAATTGTTGTTGAGAATTTATTTGCATCGTTTTAGTTAGATCATTAAATAATGTTGATTGTTGAGATTGAGATTTAGTACTAAAATAGTAAAGTAGAATTTTTTATTTTTCTAGGTCGTCATATATATGAATTTCTTTTCATTAATAAAATACGTTGGTAAGCAACATGAAAAAAGAATTTAACCTTGATGTTTAGTTATCAAAAACAGTTGATTCAAACATTCTATCCTTGAGTAATTGAAACAAAATACATTGTTTCTTGTTTTAAAAAAAGAAGAAGAAGGTTACTATTTTAATGATTTAGTTACCTAAAACCATTGGAAGTATGTTTTTCATTAGTCATTTTTTGATTTTCATTTATTGATTTTTTATGATTAAAATGTCCATTCGTTTTAATAATTGTTTTATGTCGTTGTTCTTTTATATCTTTAACAATAATCGTTACAATATCAGCTAAAATATCATCAACAATTTCCAAAATATCTTCATTCTCTTCATGATTATTATTATTATCAACTAAATGTTTTGATAAAAAATCTAATTGTAAATAATTTTGTTCATTAGGATTTGCTTGATAAATATCTTCAATATCATTTTGATCTTCTTGATCTGATGTTAGAATAGGTTGTTCATGATGATGAACACTTGTTGAAGATGATTTTGATAATGCTAATGGTAAAAGACGTTGTGTTGGTGTTTTAATTACTTCAGGTGATAATTGTAAACGACGTGGAACACCTTTTCGACGGCCGCCACGTTCAGTTTGAATTGATATTTGTTGTTGTTGAACTATTTCATTTTCATCTTCATCAGATATTTCACTATTATTATCATTGGAATAATAATTTCCATTTGAAATGGGAAAAAGTGATATATCATCCATAAAAAATATAATACTGATACCCAAACAAACAATATATGAAAAGATAGAAATAAAAAATATTTAGTTTTTTTGTTTGTCCAACCTGCCGCGTCAGTCAATCACATTTCTTCTTTTCTTTTCTCTCGATTTCGAAACAATGGATTGAAAATTCCATCTATCAAAATATAGATTCAGCGACATCTATATTCGAAATTAAATCAATTTAATTTAATTTTAAAATAATTTTTTTTTCATTTTTATTTCCGTATTAAAATAATTAATTTTTCTTTTTGATTTAAATATTCTATATTATTTGTTACCATAGTTGCAATAGTTTAAAATGGTAAATATACGATACTAGGATTATTTTAAAAAACTGTTAGATATTTTTAAACTATGGATAATAGACGTTCATTACAAATTCCACCAGACTTTGCACTTTATGCAGAACAAAATGGTCTATTTGAATTATTTCAGGTAAATTCAACTCACATACAATCTGACTAATAATATGGAAATGAAAATTATTATCACTTTATTCTTTTTTTCGTAGAGAAGAGCCCAGTAAAAATTAATTGTTTGCTTGTCTGTTCGTAAGGTCAAAAAAAACATCGAAAATCAATTTTTCGAACAAGACATTTCTGGAAGTATTTCGATGCGAAGACTTCAAATGTGCGTCTCATTTGCGAAGACTACTGAAGGCGGAGGGGTGTGAATTAAGAGGAGTGACGTGGACTGATGAAAATCGAGTATTTAGGTAATGCATTTTTATGGATATCCAAATGCTCACCTGCTTGTAGTGCAGAGTATGGCGATCATAAGCTGCTGGCTTTCTTGCGTATAAGATTACTAACACTTTACTTCTTCGTTAAAGGCTAGTTCGACAAGCCATTGGTGTCGACAGCTCTAATATGTTTTGACCTGTGTTTAGCACTGAGTAGAACGTGAGTAGGGAACAGCAAAGGAGGGCAAGGTTTTCAATTTTTTTTCGTGTAAATATGAAGGGGATGCATTTCTACGAAAAAGAGCTAAGCGAGTCATCGGACGAGCGTTACTTGTAGATATAAGATAGTGAGTAATATAAAACGATGTATAGTCATGTCCATAAATCATTTATGAAAAAAGAAAACATGGCCTTCAGATATAATTAAATATTCTTATGATAAAATGCATATTGAACTTGTATATTTTAAAATGTCGTTTTTTTCGTTTCAGCGTTGTATTTCATTAATGCTCGTCGATCGTCCTGATGATCCAATAGCATATCTTATTGATTTATTGAAAAAAGATTTTGATGGTTAGAAAAAGATTTTCTTTTATCATTATAAGTTTTTTGTTTCTAGCACCAAAAATTATTATTCTTGGTCCTCCAGCATCTGGTCGTCATACAATAGCTAAGATGTTACAAAAATCATTAAATGCAGTTTTAATTGAACCAAATGAACTTTTAAATAATGTATCAAAGAAATTCAAAGATAAATTACCAGCAAATCCAACTATTGTATGTATTCGAATCATTAATTTTGTTATATCAAGATTTACATTCAAATAATAGGACAATATTCCACCAGCATTATGGGCCCAATTTTATAAAGAACGATTAAAAGATTTCGATTGTTTTCGTTGTGGTTGGATTTTAGTTGATTTTCCAATGAATCGTGAACAAGCATTGGAATTACAATCGATTGGTATACATCCCAAGCATGTAGGTTAGTTATAAACAATTCGATTATATATATTTTTATTATCTTTATGTGTATTATAGTTTGTTTCGAAGCATCTGATACTGTTCTGATTGAGCGTGCTGCTGGAAAACGAATTGATCCAAAAACCAAAGGTTGTTTTGTTTTTTCTTACTCCTTTAATTAATTCTAATAATTTTTGTAGATATTTATCATGTAACATGGAATATTCCAAATTCCTATGATATTCAAGAACGTTTAGTGCAATTAGAAGAAAATTCTGAAAAAATCATGATTTCACGTTTAAAACTTTATCGAAGGTATTTGAAAATGCTTTTATTTTATTCAAAAATCGAATTTACTTTTTTTTCTTCTAAAAGAAATATTGATGGAATTAAAGATTGTTTCAAGTCAAATTTACGTGCAATTAATGCAGATCAACCATTAAATGATGTTTTTACACAAGTATATTCATATGTAATAAGAAAACCACGTTCTGTCGCTCCACATACTCCACGTATTATTATTCTTGGTCCAACTGGTAGTGGACGAAAAACAGTTGCAATACAAATTTCAAAAAAATACGATATACCAATTGGTAAAATACAGTTTTTGATATTTTCATCTAAAAAGATCTAGTATATAGTTTAGTTCATGACGAGCAGTAACGATATAGTTTATATTTATCGCTAATATTCTTAGTAATGAATAGAAAATAAATCCTTTGATTATATATTTTAATTATAAACAAAATTTAATTGTGTGTGTCAATCTGAGATTAACCGGATTTATATTAGTTATACTATTTTAACGAGACTTTGAGTACGTTACTCTGTTATTTTAAAAAGTACGGAACCTTTTTTTAATTGCTATTGACTCAAAAAAAAAGGAAAGAATCGATTTTCATAACAGATAGAAAATAAATAGCGAATTCTGTTAAATGTATATATGGGAAATACTTCATCTACTATATTGATTGTCACTTTTAACAATAACCTTTATATTTAATATTTTAGTTTCAATTCCAACACTTATAAAACAACAAATTGCTAATCAAACACCGATGGGTGTTAGCATGAAACCTTATGTCACTCGGCAAACATTAGGTAATAATTGATTTTTATTTGTATAGAATGAGGAAAAAATTCTTTTGTTTATTTAATAGTTCCGATTAGTTTATTAATGCAATTAGTACGAGAACGTTTGAATCAAAAAGATTGTATAACAAAAGGATGGATAATGATTGGCTTTCCTCGTACACGTGAACAAGGAGAAAATTTAGCTCGAATACCTGGTATAATACCTAATCGGTAATAATATTTCCGTATGAATAAGAAAAGAAAAACAAAACACTTGATTTTTAGAATTTTCTTTTTGGATATTCCTGTTGATATTGCTTTGGAACGTTTAAGTCAGAGATTATTAGATCCAATAACAGGTGATCGTTTTCATAAGCATGAACAACCTGTATCAACACAAGATAGAAAACAACGTTTAATTCAACATCCATCTGATAATAATGAAGTTGTAAAAAAACGTTACGAAGCATATTATATGTATTATGATGAATTACAAGAGTTTTATTCACCACAACATGCAATTCATATACCAGCTGATCAAGATGCTTATACTGTATTTGAAGCTATTGAAGCTGGAATTGTTAATCCATTAAAAATAGATGCATAATAAATTTTGAAAATAATTTATAATTTAATTCTTTTTATTGCGATAATAAAAAAAGCACAAGATAAATTATGTTGATTTTATTATTGAAAATTGATTTTGTTCGAATAATTAAATTTATTATGCAAAATAATACATGTTATATGAATAGTAAATATAAACTGAGAATGTTTTTATTTTTTTGTGAAATTACATTTCAGATGTAATACATACATCTGAATTTTAGTAAGTGAAATATATCAATGAACGTATGTTTTAATGTAAGTATTATAGTAGATATGAGCTTATGTAGAACATATTTATTAAGTTCAGATTTATCTGCTAGAATATTACAGACGAAAAACTTCTATCAATAAGTTTGGTAAACATCGGATATTATCTCTTAATCGTTTGTGTATTTGTTAATCATACTCATTATTATTCTGTATTTATATATTTTTTTCTTTTACAAAATTTCTAGTAACTCTTTTATATTTAAGAATATTGAAGATGTTATATTACTATTATTGTTCATTAATATCAGATGATTGAGTATGATATCGATTAAAATCATAAGATAATTTGAATACTAATGTATTTCGATATCTATTTGAAAACAAGTCCCTTGAGATAATAGAAACAAATCAATGATCTATTAGTAAGAATAAGATTTTTTCATGAGATAAGAATTATTTAAATTTTTACATATTCAATAAATACTAATGATAAAAATTTGATAATTAAAAAAAACAGCATAAAATATTATCGTTTTTTTTTATAGTTTTACGAAATAAATATACAATAAGCATAAGACGATTTTTAATTCTATTCATAACTTAATGCATCATTGATACTCATTAATATTTAACTCATATTCATCGACAACATTAGAATTCTTAATCATTCTATTATAATTCACACAAGTAATTGATAGTTTTTTTTCCTTTAGTTTTGTTTCATTGAGATATAGATTATATTTCTATATTTTTGAATTGATATACATCTAACAATATTATTAACGGTTGTCAGAAGAAACAAAAAAACTATTTGTCTTTTTCTACAAAAAAGAAATAATAATCGATTCTCAAAGGATAAAAACCTTTTTTCTTCTTTTTCAAGCATCTAATAAAATTAACGTCCAAATACCTAAATCTTGTTAACTCTCTGGAGTCTTATCATATACATCTATCTATCTATATGTATACATATAAGTAAACAAAGAAAAGCTCTTCATCCACTTCCGTAAAATGTAAATGAACCAAATATGTCGATCAATCAAAATCAGATTATACTACAAGTGCAATAGTCGTTTTTCTTCTTCTTCTTGATATAGATTAATTAAAATATGAATAAGACATACCTGCAAAAATATAATTCATATACACATGTAATCAATTAATACTAGAAAAAAAGTATATGGTTACTTAAATATTATCATATCTATTAATAAATATAGATCAATAGTGATATTCATTCTTTAAATATTTTATTAAGTAAATAATGATGGAAATCTATGAAATTCAATTACAATAGCAGAACATATTTGCATCATGCTTTACCATTATGTAGCTTTGACATGCTTTTTCTTTTCTTATATGCGCTAAAATTGGACAGAAACACACTAACTTTGTCGACATGAATCGATGTAACGTTCGTCTTCATTTTCTCCTTCGTCTTTTCTCTTCTTTTCCTGCAACTATTGCTCTCTTTTCATCATAGAGATATCTCTTTTCCTTGTGATTGCCGACACTTCCTTTATTTTCATTTGGTGTGCGTTACAAGCAAGTAGAAAGTTGACAAAGTGAAAACAATATATATATATATATATATTTCATTAAATTCAATATTAATATGGGTTCCGAAACATCAAAATCTAAGAAACATGCAACACAATTAGTTGAAGAAGAAGTACAATTATTACTTAAGAATACTCATTTCAATCGACAACAAATTATGGAATGGCATCAAGGTTTTCTTGTAAGTGCTAATTGATTTAAATAAAAGAATCTATAATACTTGAATTCAGTGTAGGGTTTTGCGCGCTATGATAATTATCTTTTTCATACTCTTGAATGCATCACATCAAAAAAATATCTCGATGATATAATTGATTTGTTGATAGATGTTGATAAACAACTCTAATGACATGTTGACCACTTAATTGTGTAATTATATATGTTTCCTAGTTTACTTATTAATCTTATTAGATAACTAGATATTCATAATAAATTATATAAATTTAATTAATGAATTTTATTTTTATAATAATAATCCTAAGATTAAAGAAATTTTATTTTTTTAATCAAAAAATATTCAGATTTTTTTGTTAACGAATTGAAATTAGAAAAGTAATATTAGTATATATTCGGTGATTTTGTCAATATTATGAATCATCTGGTTATCTAGCAAGTGAGGAAAAAAAAACTAAGGATTAACATATGTGAAGATATCTTATCTAAAAGTTGTTTGTCATTATCATTATAGATTTTTTTTTTCCTCAACATTTGGTTATCGATTCCTTCAAGTCTAATGATACACTTCCCCGAAAACATCAATAATCATTGATCTATCTGAGTAGTTTTCCCATCTGTTACGTTAATAAGTACAAACATGTAGTAGACAATTTTATCCAAACATCGTTTTCATCTGGCAGTTAATCAAGTCATATAAATAAAGATTTAGAGAAGGTCACATAAAAGAGCCAATATTATTTCGTTAGAAAATAAATGTTAAAAACTTAGAATTGAAGTTATTAACTTACAGATAAATCTAATGATGTAATATCTCGTTTACATATATATATCTTAGTAGTTTATCTTAATCGAACAGACATTTTTTTCGCGCTTCGCTACTCAATCAAAGGAACTCATTATCAATATCATCGTTAGCCTAAACACACATATGCTAAATTTCTACGAACGCGTTAATAACCTCGTAAAAAAACAAAAGCTCTAGAATAATAATATATATGAAAAGCAAAACTTGAACTTATAAGTGCCTATTTCCGTTGTAAGAAGCGGAAATCTCTACATTGATGGGTCATTTTGTATATATATATATATATATATGTATGTGATCGATTTATTTTAGAAAGACTGCCCGAAAGGAAAATTAGATAAAAAAAAATTTATTGAAGTTTACAAACAATTTTATCCAAGTGGTAAAGCCGATAAATTTTGTTCACATGTTTTCAAAACGTTCGATACTGATAATTCAGGAGAAATTGGTAAGAATATTTTCTTCTATAATTGAAAATAACAGAAAAAAATTTTTTTCTCAGATTTTGTTGAATTTCTCATTGCTATTTCTGTAACGTCACATGGCGATATTCGTGAAAAACTTAATATGGCATTTAATATGTATGGTATGAAATAATATTATTTGTTTTTTGTTTTGTTTTCCTACAGCTTATCTTCTTCTTATAGATATTGATAAAAATGGAAAAGTAGATTCAAAAGAAATGGAACAAATTGTTACTGTAAGATTTAATTTTTGTTATTATATTAAAATATTATAATTATTTTTTATAGGCTATTTACGATTTACTTGGAGAAGAAAATCGTAAAGGTGAAAATTCTCCATCGAAACGTGTAGAAAAAATTATGAATAAACTTGATATAAATGGTGATCATTCATTAACAAAAGAAGAATTTATCAATGGATGTTTACAAGATGATTTTCTTAAGAATTTATTAGCACCTAATGCTTAAAAATAATATTTCTTGGTAAAAGAAAAAAGAGAAGATTTTGTTCGTCGTTTGTCTTGTTGTTGATGTTTTATTTCAGCTATACTTTCACAATAAACTAATAAAATAAATCAAGAAGAAAAAATTAAATTAATGACATTGACCGCCTCAGTCTTTTTATAGAAATGAAAAAAAAAGTAATGTTATTCATAACTTCTTTATAATGAATTTGATAATTACTTCTAGAGAAAAAAATCTTCTTATTGGTGTTTTTCATTAGTAAAAGAGTTTGTATTATAAAGATTTGTGGGTGCGTCTTATTAAGAAGATTTTGTTTTTATCTAAATAAAAAAAAGATAATAAATTTGCTCTCAAAATGAATAATTTCAAAATTTAATTTTTCATAAGATAAACATATAATAAAACTTCTCTTGAGGTAGACTAATTGTATTCAAAGAATATATATGTTATACATACTTTCAAAAAAACACCCTATTAATTTCGAATATAAATCCTTGTTCAATGAAGAATATCTACTCTTGAAATTTAATTATCTCGAGCTAATTGTAATGTATTTGATTTTAGTAGTTCCGTCAAAGTTAGTTCTGTTGAACTAATTTAATATTTTGATTATAACTTTTTATATTAGTATACATGTCCGGAACTAAATTGAATTAGCAAAAACAAAATTTTAAAGTTTAGTTTTCATACAGAAAATATTATGTGTAATCTGGAGTAGTATTTAAATTTGTTCGTAGAATATTCTAATATCTATGACTAAAGTTTGATTCTAAAAATCAGATGATTAAAGAAGAAAAAAAAACACAAGAAAGTCATGGATTATACAGTATACTTATATCTATATATAGGGATGATAAATACTTCATATTATTTGATTAATTTCAATTCTCCAGACATTTCGGACGTGATGACTTCTCAATATCACATGAATCTTTTGATATATATGTCAAGTGGGTGCTATTCGATGTTAGGTAATAGCATGTTAATGTCTTTTTTCTTCTTCTTTTCCTATCATCAGCATACGACACATGAAAAACACATAGAGAAGAGTAATGTTTTTATCTCACACAAAGTATAGTTATATATTAAGTAAACAAATTCAAACAATGCAGTACTTTTCTTGTGCTGTTATATATTAAATTGAAAACAAAAATAGGACAATGATGTGTTTTAAAGAAATTTTTTTCAGTAGATGTTTTATACCGCAGCTTTGTAATATGTTTTCAATATAATTATTCTCGCTTATTTGAATTAAATACACCGATTCGATATTAGTATCCAAAAAACAAACGTCAGACTCTATTAATTTAGATAAAACTTGTCAATTATATCAATTCGACGCGAGGCGGATTAATTTTTAGATAAGAATAAACATTCTTGCCCTTTTTATTAGTAGACTCTGATAATTAGTATTTCGATCTATATATGTTATTACTACATAAACTAAACTGATGAGAAAATATAAAGAATGATTATCTTATTAGTAGGGGCGGTACGAAGGGTCTAGAATTGGGGAAGGGACGGGGGCGTAAACGTTTCGGAAAGTTTTTTCTTTTTCACTATAAATGTAAAAAATAAATTCGCTTGCCGCTGTCTTTTCTATGCATGATTGTGTGGAGTGCTGTGCAACGAAAAATGTTTTCACTTACTCAAGTTAGTAATTTTTAATAACAAAATAATTTTATTAGAATCATGAATTCATTATTTATTTCAGAAGCGAATGTTATCGAAGATGACAGTTTTTTGAACAGCATTAAAAAGGAAATCTCGAATCTTATATTCAATCGCTAAAGACGGCTACGCTTTCAGTTGTTATATATCTTGAAAGATGAACATGAATTCGAGAATATCTTTTGCACTGGAAGCTGTTCTATATATATCGAATTATTCTCTATTTTCATAGGCAAATATTGTAAAACTTCTACTTATTATGGAGTGTACGATCTCTGTTTATCAGTATATATTATTGTACTTATTAATTTTTGTATTCTGTAGATATGGAAAAATTATCTTGTAATGTATTAGCTCGAGTTAGAATCGATACAGTATGTGGAGAAGTGACACTTTATTTTACTTTGAAAAAGTAAAGTGCGGTAAAGTATTTAGCTTTATTTTACCGGGTAAAGTAAAATATCTTGACTATACTTTACCCGGTAAAGTAAATTAACTCAATTTTATTTTACTCGGTAACGTAAAAAAATACTTTACTTTACCCGGCAAAGTAAAGTTCAGTACTTTACTTTATCGAGTAAATTAAAGATAAAGTGTCACTCCTAAGTATATAACGATAAAGTCAATCGTTTACTGGAAATTTGATTGATTTCTCTTTTATTTTTTTGTGTATATGAAATAATTGGGATTTGTACATGGCGATTGTAATACGATAAATATGTATTTCTGTTTATCAATAAATAATATTAAGAAAAAAAAAGAAATAGCGCTTATAAAATATTGCGAATGGAGAAGATGAAAAGGTCGACTGATATTTAGAATAATGACGGAAACCATCATATTCTCAAAATCATTTAGATTTCAGTGACTTGTTAAATTTCATTCAGTATATTTTGAACAAAAGCAAGGTAGCAAATGTAATCGATATTAGTATTATCGAAATAGAAAATAATAATACGAGTAAGAGCCATAAATTCACGTTCATCTTTATTGAAAAAAGTTGTAATTTACTTATTTATTAATATTAATCTTAATGGAGTCAATACGTAGTATAAAATTTAAAGGCATAAATTTCAAAAAAAAATAGAAGCATATTTCAAGTCTAATTTGCATTAGTTTTAACAAATTGAATTTGATAAAGCTTTTAAAATCAATGATATATTATGGTTCACTTGTTTTTCGATGAATTTAAAAGTATGCATTAAATACAGATTGATTTTTTTTCTCATTTTATCTTTTTGGAGACATCTCCAGACGATTTTTTTTTCTTCGTCTAAGTGAGTTCAATCAATAAATAAATGATTATGACAATCTTAAATCGATGATCACTTTGAATATATAAAAAGTAAAAGAACATGTCGGAATTCGTCAGAAAATTTCTTTTTTGCTTTAATGCTTATGTCGTTCGACATGCGTTAACTTTATTAGTGATGAGAGTAATATTGATGATGTGTTATCGTTCATTGTCATTACAATTTCTTAAGGCTATTTCCACTCTTTTTTTTTAATGTTGACACGGTCTTTATAATATTAGTAATGTTCGCGACATTGTCAATAGAATACATAGAAGTATAAAATAATGTTGTTTAACATTGCTGGATGCCATTGGATACTCAAATTTCCTCAAACCTCTGAGTTCCTACCTCATTAAAACATACGATTTCACTGGCATGAATAAAGTGATATCCAGTTTCCATACCATTGTATTCAATTATCTATCATAAACATATATGGATGTCTTTTCTTTGTATAAGAAGGTTCCACTCAAGGACTTTCTAATCGGTTAAGTATTTTTCTAGTCATTAACATTCTAATAGAATATATAGATTACTATTGAGAATCATAAAAGCGTGTATAAGAAAAAAAAATAAACATTCTTATTATTTTAATTTTTTCTGTTTGACATGAACGATATATAACATCAATGTTTATATTATATTTATTTTCATGGTTTTATCGTATGTGTCAAACAATCATTGGTTATATTTTTGACCTTTGTACGATACAATAAAAAATTAAATGAAATATATGAATTTTAACTGAAAGTGCCATGTCGTTTTGTAGATCCAACTGGATTTTCTCTAAGCAATCAGAGATCAATTGTTTTCGTTTTTCAAGATAGACATAATCATATAAAGAGTTTTCTATGTTTGATTGTTGGTATAGAGGAAATGACATCACCGGAAAATATTATTTATTACACACGCGCATTGATTCATTCATTGGTATGAGTAGAAAATAAAGATTTGAGTCTAGTTGAAGATGATAAAGAAATTGTGTTTACTCAGACTACGCATGTTCTCACAAGGGGAAAGCGAGAGAGAGAGAGAAAAAAAATGACGAAGAAAAGAAGAAACATTAACAGCAAATCTATTGTCGCGGATGAGGAAAAGCGAGAGTGACAATAACACGATATAAACTTGAATAATATTTTAAAGAAATATCATCATTACCTCCTTTTCATTTCTCTCTAGATATACATTTTTTTTAAAAAATGATTTAATCTAATGGATGTACTTGAATTACCTCGACCCGTTATTAATTTTCTTCGAACTATGGCTAAGGAAAGTTGTCGTTATGTTTTATCATGGGACATATTTGGTGGAACGGATACAGTAACACTTACACTTACATGGAAATTAATTGATAATGATGAATATCATCCGTCAATATTAAAATCTTCACAACAACATATCAATAATGATTCTTTATCATCACCACGTCGTTCACGTCGAGATGAAAATTCTTCTACATCAACTATAAATTATATATCTACAGGCAAAAACCATCTTGAAGAAAATAATCTAACACTAAATAAACAAATTGTTTCTTCTTCTCAACAACAAGTATCAAATTTAAAACGTTCATCAATTATTAATCAACAACAAAATACGTCAGATCCAATCTATGCTAATTTATATCCTATGAAATCTACTATGCATCGTACATTATATTCTTCATTGAATAAAAATTCATCTTTATCTACTAGTCACATACATCATCCATCATGTGAATCTCCAAGACTTCGAAAACCTAAACCAACTATACCAATTGTTAGTCATATGATCTCAAAATTAACACGAACAAATCGTATCATTACTTCAAATGATACTATTGATGGTGATGATGATGATGATACACTTGATCCATGGGTTAAACGTTTTGAATCTTTATTTGAAAATAATACGAATGAAATCATTGATCAATCTAAAGATAGAATTAATGAATTAGGTGTTACGTCTGGCAAAGTTAAATTTAAACGAAAACCTGATTATTTTTAAACGAAACAATCATACATCATTTTCATTACTATTTTTTTATACACCTTTTGATAAACATATAGTATGTCGCTGACAAAATTCATTATTGTCATATTACATTACACTATAGTGCATTTCTTTTTTGTTGCGTAAATCGACCATTTTGCTTCTGTATAGTGTGACGCTTGCACATCATAATATTTCCGCTTGTCACTAAATTCAATCATCAACTTGTTAGTTTCTAAATTTTTTCTTTTTATACATCTACCTATATAGCATTAAAAAAAAGAACGATAATCAACTGGTATGTGTTACAAACAACAATTGAGAAAATATAGTTGTTAGCGAATATTAAATCGACGAAACAGAGGTGCAGAATCTTCCAAAAAATGAAAAAATTCCCAAATTAAACTTCGAAAACTTCCCCACAATTTTCCAAAATTTCCCTCTCCGTGCGAGGAAGATTATGCACAGAGGTGGCGTGATCGGGCGGGGGTGTGACACCCCCCAATCTTCGAAAATTTCTATTTTTTGCTCAACAAAAGCGGCAAATCTTCGTAAATTTTTTACCAAAGGTAGTGCTACACCCTCCTTAAAATTCAAAAAACTTCGTTACACCCCCCCCTGCCCCCATGTTGGCTGACTCACGCCACTCCTGATTATGCACCTCTGCAATGAAACTCATGGGTAATAAGAACACTTGATCTTTAGTCAAATTATGAATAAAATAATTTCTTTTAATTTCTAATGTCCTGCAAGTAATATATAATACATCATATCTTTCTTAGCAAAACAAAACTTGCTATTTATGTATAGACTGTTGTAAGAGAATCTATTTATAACTACACTATGAAATAAATTTGCAAGGAGATCTATGGTATGAAGATCTTTTGGTTTTGTTGAGTGAGAATTTTCAGGTATTCAATATTTGATTTATTTTATTCTTATCTGCAGCACCCGCTCACCCCCCCCCCCCCCACCTTCCCCATTTTTGTTTTTTTTTTTTTTTTTTCTGGGTGGTTTTTTAAAAATTTTTTTTTTTTTTTTTTTATTTTTTTTTTATAAATATCCTTTTCCCCCCCCCCCCCCCCAATCTTAGATCCTTCGCGCAGGCTCTGCTTATCTTTTGAATTACATGTTTCTGTTGACAAATATTTTAAACAAAAAAAATGATGTACGAGATATTCTAATGCATACATTGGTCAATATTTATAATGCAATAAATCTCAGACGTTAAATAAGTTCACACTTTGATTATTACAATCTATCGTTACTCGAAGAAATCATTCGATTCAACTATTTTCTTTATTGTATCTCCTGTAGCAACCTGTTTTCTTACTAAATTCTTTAACCATGTATAATTACTGAAAGAAGACATTGACAAATACTTGTAATTTACTGATTTCGGTTAATAAAGAAATTAAAATATATGCTATTCGATAATTTATCATTTGAAGAATAATTCTACTGACAATATATTCAATTTATTTTTTACACTATTTCTTATTTTACCTTCATAACATCCATATCAAATATAAAATTTACATTTTTTTAAAACATCAGTCATAACATAGCTGTAAATATAACTTGATCATTGAAAACCGTATATACATGTATATGTACACAGAGAAAAAAGCAGAAGATTTTATTTGCTAGTAATTATACCATTGATGGTGAGAGAATTTATTTTCCTCATCAATTCTGTATGTAATAAGAAATCTCATGGACCATACATAAAACAAAGTCATCATTACCATTTATAACATCAACAAAGTCATAATTACATCATCAATATTACTTTTTTTTTCCCTTTCTTCTATCATCAATAGTGAACACCCTTTATTTTCTAATTTATCAATTAAAAAAATACAAACATAGATAAAAATAGACGTTGTCCACATAGATACAATTTTTTGCTATACTATGAAATATATATATGTCATAAATGAAAAATTAAATTGATAGAATCAATGAACGATTATTTACCAGAAGGATTTCAAGTAAATGAATGATATATATATATATATATTAATATTAATGTTTTTTTAATGATTATTCATGAAAATAATCATAAGATGAGTTAAACGTTCAATAAAAATTCATAATATAAATTGAAATATTGTTTTCTCTTCAATCATCTATACTTTTGAAAGACAGACAGCGACATACATATATATATATATCGAAATAGGTGTATCATGATACCTATTCAACTACGATCACCTGTCTATTTTGAGTCCGTATACTTTTTTTTTTATAAAAATGTCATTGATTTCTTCTCTTTCTTCCTTTGTATTGATTGTAGGTTTGTCACTTCATGTCCATTGCCGTTGGCGAACCAGATATTTCTCCTCCTTCTTCATTCGTCCTCAAATAATAATCATACACATCTCACAATAACACGATTATCCATGATAGATGGTTTTGATCACTAGGCTGTATGCACATCTATATGTATATATCAATACGTTGATCACTTCGCCATTCTCATATTTTTTATACAATCATTATCATTAAAGTTTCGCTTGCTTTATTTCACGTCCTTGCTGTCCTAATTAATTTACCATCAATGTTCAATATATCAAGTAAAAAAAACTAACGACAAGAATAGAAGAAAAAAAAGAAAGAAATGATTGAATATTTATCTTTTCTTCTTTCATGACCTGTACTCATTTCTTTTTTGTATACAACAATTGATTGAAGAAAAAAGATATGGAACATCACAAAGCCATGAATAGTAACCTTACGACGATTGATTCAAATAATAATAATAATAATAAATCGCGGTGTCATCAGCATCATCATCATCAGCATCATCGATGGAAGAAGAGAATAGCAAAGCAACAGCAGTCAGGATCATTATTAAACAAGCCACAAGTTTTATCAATGTCAATTACCGATCATAATACTAATCAAGAAAATATTTCCCTAAGTGAACAACAACAACAACAACATCAACAAATACCAATGAAAAATTCCTTATCATGGAAAAAAAAATGGTCAAAATGGTTTTCATCTTGTAGTTCTGAACGTACAATGCATGTTAAATCCAATTCAATAAAAATACCAATAGAAGTAAGTCATTATTTATTTTTCTTAGGTATATTTAACAAGCACACCTGCTGTGTATAAGTGACCGATTGTTTAATACGAAACCTTTCTTCTTCTTCTTCTCCGTAACAACTGATCATTGAAAATTTTATTTTTCTATACTTTCTTATACATACATTACATTGTCTACTAGAAGATGTGATTGTATACTAGTAAAAGAATAACAATATTAATATGTATATGTAAGATGATCTACCAATGTCTGAGTTTGATGAACAATATGAAAAGAAAATGATAAAATCTTAGTTATACATTTAATGTTATAAATGACATTGAAAATAATTTCAAAAAAAAAAAAATAGGTCGAGCATAATAACCAATATACATGTTCATTAATTGGTCTTTCAACACTATCTATATTAATGTGATGACAAGTAACCATATTCAAAGCGAAAAAAAAATTTTTATTCAAATAATGGACAGAGATCTCTATTTCTCTATTGTTTGATTTTATTAATGGAAACATGTTATATAAACAGACACCTCAATTAGAGTTTTTCTTTCATAATTATATTTATTTAACAAGAAAGAAAAAAAAAATTTTTACTTTTGTATAGTTAAAAATTATCTTAAGTTAATCTACTGTCAATTATTTTCAAATAGTAATTATGAAAGTTATTTCTATTGACATATGAAAAGTTTTAAAAGATTTTGTTAAATTAAAAATCATTTCAAATAAAAAAATTATAATTAGTCGTCTACTTATTACTTCTAACAATACACATGTTTGATTTGACCTTTTACGCCATACATTTGTTTCTCATTAAATCCTCTAGATTATGTCAATACAAAGAAAAAACTCATTTATCTATATATAATCCAAATATATAGTCTTATTTTTCTTTTACACAAAACTAGAAAGAAATTGAAATGACAATTTTCTAATTTATTTTATTCTTCTATGATAGATTGATCGTTTTTGACATGAATAATAGTATGTGAATGACGTGTGACTTTGTGAAGCACGAAAAAAAAATCATAGTTGATGTTTTTGAATTTAGATATACGTGACAGATTCATTGAACATCATCATATAGACAATTGTCTATATCAATATGCGTGATCACACGCGTCGCTATACTTATTGTATATTTTTAAGAATCCAATATGTTCAATTACATCATCATTAACATCATCAAAAGAACTATGTTATGATTTCTTCTTGAACAAATAGAAATTTGATTATAATAGATAATATATCAATGAGAATGTAACTGAATATCTATTGAAGTATTATCTGAGAAGTGTTACTATATACATATTTATTTATTTAGTGAACATAGCTTTGAATTCTTTTAGTTTGAAATATAATCAAAAAAAAAAAAATTTTATTAGAAAGAAAAGAAAAGAGCCGAATCGATTAATCTAACGATTTGTTAGGTATATACATCTTTATTTTTCCATCAACAAGGTATTTTTACCGGAAATAATATTTAATCACTCACTCTATTTTTTTCTCATTGAAAAACGAACCGTTCGTTTTATTGTTCTATAGACGGGTATTTTCTTGATAAAAGCATGGAAAGTATGCGGTAGTGCAGTTCAAGTATTTAGGCATTTTAGAAAAAAACATATATAAATATAAATATGTGTGAATATTTTCTGGCACAATGTGACGCTCGATTCCTTCTCTTTTTTTTTTGTGCCTTCATTCTATTGAATTGTGGTGGCTTAGGTATCTGCGCATATATCTGATGGCTCGTTAGACGTTTTCTGTGAAGGCGTGCGTACATAGCACGTTGAAAAGAAATTGAAAAAAAAAAGAAGAAAAAAAAAACGGGAGACGAACAGGAAATCGTTCTTTTTCTCTTTTCTAACTACGAGTAATATAAGGATGATGATGATGAGCTTCTACTTTTATAACCGACGCCTCATCCTCTCCTATTCTTGTTTTTGTACTGGTTGCTATTGTTATTATTATTATCATGAGAGAATGGTATTAAAGAAATGATAGTCACGCTGCCTAGTGCCTGTTAATCTCTCATTAAAGACGAATGAAGCTATTTCGTGTTAAAGTAAGTTTTCTAAATATAAATATGAAATGTCATCTGGGACAAATATATATTAATATAAATAACATTGAAACATGTAGCATATTACTTCTTTTTTTATTTTTTATTTTTAATTATAGAAACGTCCTCGAACGAAGTCTGAAAATGACTTGTCAAAACGTGGTAGTACTGATCAAGACGAAAATGTAAGTATAAATCAACTGTTGACGTTTAATTTTTTCTTTAAATATCAAAAAATCAAAGAATATAATTTATCTAATTACTTTTCGTTTTTTTTACAAATAATCAACACCATTGCTTTTCTAGTTTTATTCCTTTATATTATCGATTTATCTTGTCTTTCAATAGCATCGTTAACAGAAAGAATATTCTTGTTGTCGGCTATAATTTACGCGAATACATGTTGCTCATCTTCTTCTTCGTCTTCTTTTTTCTTCTCCTTCTTCATCGTCTCTCATCTACGCATACACCAGGAAATAATTCTTCTTCATATCTCTTCGTTTTTGTCGTGAAAAAAAAAAGAAATATGATTTTTTAACATAATGAATGCCTCTGTTTTATATTGTTTATCATAATATCTCTACGTTATCAATATAATAGTCAAGGCATTTTTTTGTTCTCTAATAGCAGTGACAAATGGATAAGCGTGTATATAAAAGACATTTTCCTCTTTTATGGATATATATATATATATCTTGTTTTGTTCCTTTGATTAAAAGGTTTTCTTTCTCTAATATAGTCAAGGTCTTATATAATCTAATAGAGTAATTCACTATAAGAAATCGACTAATTATTCAGGCAAATAATTTTAAAGAATACTATTCATAGATATCAATCAAGTAAGTTTAAAAAAAAAAGGAAGATGAATACGACTGAGACCATAAAAAATTGGTTTCCTCCTCTTCTGCTTCTTCTTACTCACACATTCTTTCTCTTCATCTATACTGTTATATGAGACCGACGCATGCCTACATGTGCTATGTGCTTATCTAATTTTACGATATAGTGATTTGCTTGTTTTCTTAGTGAATCGAGAACGAATAAGCGACAAATCATCGTTCAATAGTATTAAGAAAGCAAAAGCTCTTCTGAGTTCGCTCATTCTCTCATGTTTCCCACGACAAAACAAACCGTTCTCAATAAGACTAAGAACAACGAATGCAATGTGTAAGAGTAACAAAACCTCTACATCTATAGAAGAAAAGGAATAGTATATACTGAGGAAAAAAAAACTAAGAGTAGAAGACACGATAGCATCGTCATCACTATATTGTGTGCTTTTTCTTTCTTCTCGTTTCTTTTTTTGTTGCGGTTTTTCCTTTTTCAACATGTTCGACGGACGTTTATATTAATAACCTTCAAGTTACCATAAACTTTTTTTCTTTTTTCAATGAGTATAGCTTATAAATAAAGGAATAACATTATATATATATTGTGTAAGTATGTGGTCTTTTAACAAAAGAAGATAAATGAAATCAAATTGTACTAATTGCATTCTCAGTTTCTTCCTTTATATATCATAGGAACTAATTGTTGTTATTTTACCATTTCTTTTCTTCTTGTTCTTTACGGTTTGAGTTCGTATCATGACAAGTCCAATAACTATACTAAAGAGCAGATACTAGCATGACTAATACTACTAGGTACAACTATATCTGACATCAGACGACGCGACCGCCAATATACGTATGTACACTCATCATCACGCGACGATGAATAGTAAATACGAAAATGCGCGTCCATGTGTGTTTTAAACAATGAATATACTCCCTTTTATACTACATGTGCAAACAGAGAGAGAGAGAGAAGAATTTTTAACGCTACACCTTGACGTCGCGTCGCGCGAGAAATAATTTAGATTAACTAAACTAACAACGACTGACGAGACGAGAAAAGACTAAAGTGTGTCAAAAGATACACAGAAAAAATGAGAGAGAGAGAGACAAATGTAATTGATTATGCATACTAACACTAGTCGTGATCATTGTGCACTGTTTACAATCATTATGCCAATTGAGAATTGTTCATAGTTTGTTTTTAACTATTAATTGGTAATGATTAGCTTATGTAGTGTAGAGAAATGTAATAGTAGGTTGAACATATATTTTAGATGGGCTATACGTATATGTCCATGAGAATGTTATCGATTATCGATAGACTGAATCTCGTTTACAATTTCTAGTCCTGTGGGAATGAGAAGAGAAAGAAAAATAACAATGAGAAAAAAAAAAAGAAAAGACGGATGTTGTTTGCGCCTGTTAATGCCGTGTCGTCGTCGACAACTAGAGTAAACATACATACTTAACTTTAGTTCTTTTTTTATGATCCGAACGACAATTGTTAAGTAAAATATGATAAAAAACAAAAAAAAAGTTACACTTTTTCTCTCGTTTCTTTTTTAATAAGAAGATTCAAGTACCTCTTTATTGTGGAGAACTCTCTTTTTTCTATTTATTATCATAAGTAGGACAGGAGGAAAAACTCTAGTGTTTACTTGAATACAATTCTTGCTTTTTTATTCATAACAAAATTCATGAAAGACAAAGGTAAATGTTATGCTTCATTAAGAGGATAATCCTTATCAAAAAATTTCCTTTTCCTGTTTTGAAAAAACTCTCAATACAAATAGATAAAAAAAGAAAGAAATTTTGATTAACTTAAAATATAGAAAAACTAAGTCTATTATTATTTAGAAAAATCTATCACCAACATATTCAACATTTGCTATTAGTCCAATTACAAACGAAAATCTATCCAAAACTTCTTCACATCAACATCGTCATCATCATCAATCGAACGATAAAGTTAATAATTCAAATAGTGTTATTTATCGTGACACATCTCGTCGTTATTCAAATACATTTTTTTCATCAATACGTTGTGGAGGCGCAACAGGAGAACAACATCAAAGTCAAACATCAATTTCTGCTATACCATCAACAACTAAAACTTCTCAACCATATCAACAAAAACAACAAGCACAGCAATTGAGTCGTTCCGCTGATCGTCTCAATAGTAAATCAAGTCGTCGAGAATTGCGTTATGAAGAACATAATGATTACATTCCGCCACCATTACCACTTAATTCAATTCAATGTCATCCAACGATCGATCATTATGCACGAGCTTTAAATCAATCATCATATTTCTATTCAACACATCGTCGTAGTCAGATAGAAGTATATCAACTCTCATCACCCAACAATCGTTTAATATTACCCCGACCATATTCAACGAATTTTTCTTCATCACAAAATAATCCATTATCAACAACAACTATTCCTATAACTTATAGTGCAACAGTAGATAATTTTCGTGCAATGTCTCAAACATCACTTGATAATAATACATATGGAAGATTGTCTGATTGTCATTCATCATTAATACCTGTAGGAAATTCATTAATTAAAGCACCACGTCGTATTGAATCAACATATAGTCAATTTCCAACAATACAACAAGAACCTGTCTATGCAAATACACAATCACTTTATGATAATATTTTATATCCGGATTCAACATCAACAAATAAAATCTCAATTAATCGAAATGAAAAAAAATCTTGTGCTTCACAAACACAATTAACATGGACAATGGCAACATTTTCATCGTTTGTTGATTTAGAAAATCAATCAATTATTATTCAACAACCAGATCCAACAACACTTTATTCTGTTGTACGACATCAACATGCAGCAGAACCACCACCATCAGCATCCCCAGCAACTATAGAACATATGAAAAGAATGTCACCAAATGTATGTTCTATTTTATTATTCAATAGAAATTTTAAGATTTCTTTCGAACAAACACATATATATATTCTATGTAGATAAATTATTCAGACATAAATCAATATTTACCTTTTTTTAAAACTAAACTATCTTCTTTTTTATTTGTTATAGTTACGATATATTGATGATACTACTTCTCCAAGTCATAATCAACGTCCACATACTCCAAATTCATCGAAAATGTTGATGATTGAAAAACGTGATGGGTCTTTTCAAACATTACTTACTATTGCTCCAATGGATGATATTGATTCTACTAAACCAATTATTTATCATGATTCAACTCCATCACCATTATCAACCGGTTCATCATCAACAACTGATCATCATCATCATAATCATAATCATCGTCATCGACGACATAAATCACGTAGTAATACAAGTAGAAATAATATAAGTACACGTGATGTTGGTCTTCAGGTAAGTATTCAAACGGTGAAAAAAAATTACTTTTTCAACACAACAAAGTGATGATTCATCATTAACAACAACAGCAACAACATCATCATCATCACCGCCAACAATAAAAACATCACGTGAATTAAAAAAATGTTCAAACAAATACGGAACCATTCATAAATAAACAAGATCGAAGTACATCTTATGAAAAAACTCTTCATATGATAACATCTTCATCACAAACACTTGATTCTCCAATGCATACAAATCGTCAAACAAAATCTGCTCAGACACCAACTAAATCTTTACGTGATCAATCAACTGAAACAAATAATCAAGGTTTATTTCTTTGTGATCTTAGTTCATTCTTAAAAAATGGTACTGAGAATACATCGTCAAACTTAACTGTAACAACCAAACGAAAAATTTAGGCTTTTTCTTTTTTTTCTCTCTCTCTCCCTTTTATTCAAATTTATCAGTGTGTTTCTTCTTCTTTTTTTTTCTTGTTTTATTTTGTATTTTTTTTGAAAGAGATGTTACTATTATTAAATCCTGTGTTCTAGCAGACAGATGAAGAATATTATCTTGGATTACAATTCAAATGAATATTAAATAGTCAAATTTAATATTAATAATTTTTATACAAACATTTGAGTTTATTTCACATTTGACAATCTTTAATTAAATAAAAATCTACATTTTAATCATTAAACTCAAACACAATGTTAACAGATCATTAATTGACAGCTTTTTTATATACAAATTTTATACTACAATTGAATCGATATAATTAAAGAGTTCAGTCATTCATATATTTAATAATAAATGAAATTATCTACGACCTCCTAATACTATCAAAAAAATAACGAACCAGTGATATAACAACAAAGAAATTAATGTTAGACGCGACAAAAAGATGAAATTTGTATTGACATTTCATTTTCAAAATTTCATTATCAATATATTTTTTCAATCAATTCCTTCGAAACTTGAATAACGTCGAATTCTATTATAATATAGCTGTATGAAAACTCCTACGTATAATTTAATTTACTAAAAGATCCTTGGAGTTACTTGTTCCAACAAAGGATAAGAACAGATCAGTATCTTTATGAAGCTCAAAGGCATATATTATCAAATTCCTTATAATTATATTAAAAAAACCGACTTATAAATCTTATATGTGTATTGAACTTTGAAACTATTATTTTATGCAAATTGTATGATATACTATTTGTCTGAAATACTTCAAAATAAAGACATTAAGAGAGGAAATATTTATAAAATGCGACAAAAAATATATAGGAACTAGAATAACTTCAATTGTTAATAAGAGCTCAATAATTATTTTCTTTTATAAAGTACATCATTTAATATTTACCTCTTTAAAAAATATTTGTAAGTACTCAATGTATTCAAATTTTCTCTTGAATAGCTTGAATGAATCAAAATAGTAGTACATTCATAAATTTTTAACTTTACTTTATACATCTTGAAATCGAGTTTTTTTCTTTCAATGACATCTCAATGAAAGATTGATGAAGAACGGCAGTGTGGCCGAGTGGTCTAAGGCGCTGGTTTTAGGCACCAGTCGTAAAAGGCGTGGGTTCGAATCCCACCGCTGTCATTATTTATTGCGACAAGATGGCTTGTCTCTCTCTTTTTTTTTTCTTTCCTTATTTATTAATAAAAAAAAAAAATTTATGATTCAAAAAATTAATTGAAAAAAAAACCAGAGAATCGGTCTAAAAACATTAATTTGTTTTTTTGTTTTGAAAAAATATTTTTTATGATAAGAAAATAAATACATGTTTATACTTCTTGTTGATTTATAACGGGAAAATGTTTTAAACGAATATTAAACTAACTGTTTACGACAAAAAAAATTTATTTAATTATTTTTTCTATATGTCATTGTTGATTAGTATAAAATAAAATTACTTTATTTTTCTTTGACATTTAATATATAGTCTAATTATTTCTAAGCTAACTTATCAAAAATAGACTATTCGTGCTTGTCAAATCTGAATGAACTTTATTAATATTTAATTGAACAAGCTATATAATCTATTTTTTTGTTATTGTTGTTATTTTGAAAGAGAATACTCTGTATAGTTGAAATTATTTATGAAAGAGATTCATATTTTAACTCATAAGTTGATTGATTTATATTAATTTTATATCAATAATTAATACTTAAAAAAGATGTAATTTATCATTATTTTATATTAAAGGTTAGCTATGGTTTAATCAGCCAATAGAATAGAACGCAATGAACCGTTCATATGTTGTCAAGTCAACAACCTTCATTACCGCCCTCTTGAATGTTTCTATTGGTACATGTCAAAATGCTGTCTAATGTAATGAATCATATATATAATAAAATTTAGTTAGGATTATTGTTATTAGTAATCTTATTTATAGAAATAAGTATGATGAAATAACATATATATGTAAAACTATAGATAAAAAAAACAAATAATGGGAAATCTATTTGGAACGATTTTTGGTAAAAAACGTTATCGGATATTGTTACTTGGACTTGGTATGATTAATAAAATAATAATTTATATTTTGTTTATATTATTATTTAGATAATGCTGGAAAAACATCAATTCTTTCTCGTTTACGTTTACAAGAATTTCGTTCAACCGTACCAACTGTTGGATTTGCAGTTGAAACAGTTATTTTAGATCGTGTTCATTTTACTGTATGGGATGTCGGTGGACAAGTATGATAATTTTAAATATTATAGTAAAAATTATGAATAATTTTCAAATTAAAATATTGAAAAATTTCTATAATTAGTTCTAAAGAAAAATAGCAGTTAGTATAATTTCAAGGAACAACAATTCTTTTCAAAGTTAAAATACTATAATCTTTTATTTTCATCTTTTTATGATATATATTAATCTTAAAAACATTTTCTTTTCAGGATAAAATTCGTCCATTGTGGCGACATTATTTTACTGGATCTCAAGGTCTTATATTCGTTGTTGATTCAACAGATTATGAACGAATGGATGAAGCACGCCGTGAATTAGAAAAAATATTAAATGATCGTGAAATGCGTAATGTTAGTTTACTTTTACTTTGTAATAAACAAGATGTAGCCGGTAGTATGCAACCAGATGAAATACGACAAGCATTACGTTTAGATAAATTTGTCCGTCCTTATGCAATAATACCTTGTTCAGCATTAAATGGAAGTGGTTTAACCGAAGGTCTTACATGGTTATCTGAACATTGTAAATAAAATAATTATATACATATACAGTGATAAACTGTCAATAATTATATTCTTGTTTATATCAGTAATTGTTTTTTGATATTAAAAAATAAATAAATTATATATGTGTGAGTTAATACAAATCTATCGAATTAAATATCAAAGAACAGAGAAGAAAAAAAAGAAGGATAGTTGTTATTGTATTTATATAATAATAATTATGTTAAGTTTTGTAATGATTGTGAACGATAACGTTGAAATGGTGAGTTTTGACTATGCTTCAATTGTATATCATGTTTTCGAATAGATTTATTAGATTCTTGTGTTTGAGGTATTTTATAAAAAACAAATTTTTTATTTGTTTGAAATGGTTTCCAATGAATAGTTGTTGGTAATACTAGTCTAGCGAGATTATTTGTTGCGGAATTTTCTTTTCGATGTTCAGTATTGTACATAATTTTTGGTTGTTGTTGTTGATGATGATGTTCAATGTTCGGTTTTAATCGATGAACATGAGCATTATTTATTATGGTTGAACGATTATGACGAGCTAAACTTGAATCTTGTTTAGTAGTTGTCTTAACTGATGATTTATCATTAAGTATTGGATAAGAAGGTGGAGGAAGAGAATTATTATAACTACAAATGAACAAATCAATCGATTCTATTGAAGAATTCTAAAAGAAATACTTCTCTTTTAAATCTTGTTTTATATAATGTACTTGTTCATCATAGTTATGTTTTGTTGTTAGATTTGATAATAATTTAAATAATAAACTTCGTTCTTTTCTCATTTCATTCATTGTTTCAATTAATAAAGATTCATTTAATCTTGATCTTAGATATTCATTTTCTCTTGATAATATTTCACGTTCATCTATAAGTTGATTAAGTACTGAAATCATTTGTTCGTGTTCATTATTAATATTTGTCATTGGTATTTTTATTTTCAGATCAATACAGAATGTCTTATAAACAAGATAAGATGTCGATTTATAAAAATAAGTGAGAGATAATGATTACATTTATTTCTATGCTTTTACGTGATTTAAAGGCAAAAAGTCCTTACTCCGCCTACTTCCATTAAATTAGGTGAAGCAGTACATGCTTTATTTCGTTTGCATTACGAGTTGTAGGTTGTTATAAAATGTTTGTAAATAATGATCATTGGAGTAGTAATTTTATCTTTCCTACATGATGACATACAAAAGAATGAATTTCTAATTGTATTTATCATATGAATATATGTTGTAATTTTAAAGATCAAACGAAAAATATAAATTATTGAATAATGAAATTTGATTAACTACGTACAGATATAGTCATTAGATAACTACTTAGATGATAGTTCATTGTTTTTTATCTATTTTTATAGTAGTCTTAGAGAAAAGTATGTAATTAATTCGAATGTATTTACCGGTAAATATTTTAATGAATAAACAGAAATATTTTTAACAATGACTAAATTCTTCACAATTCCATTGTAACTATATGGCACACCAGTCGAGACTCGTCTGAGAAGTGCGATGTGAAGCTCGATTTCGAAATAACGATTTTGAAGTTTTCACAAAATTCTCAATATTCAGGATTATAGTCGAATGAGGTTAAATTTCAATCACTGTAGTATGTTAACATTTACTTTGTTCAATATTCTCATCATCTTTACTATAGTTTAATTTTCTATTTGTGTAGTTTTTATAGTCTAGTCAAATAACAATAAACCAAACATGTGCATGCTTATTTAGTCAAATTTTTAATAAGACCAAAATCATAACATTATTATATATACTGCTGAAATATTCATAAAATAAAGATAATCAATTAGTTTTACATTATTATGGTATTTCACCGATGTTGTAAAATTATCAAGTTTCGTTAATAAACCTTCAATGAATATGAGATATTGATCGAGTCAGCAATGTACCGTCTACGGGATGCAGACAAGGAAGGAGTGTGCACCTTCTCTACTTTACTTTTAGAAACTTGTCAGCTTTTTTCAGTCAAAATTGTATATTTTATTGTAAAAAAATATTATTAAATGAAAAAAATATTATTGTACATCTTCCCATTTTTGAAAAATTGTATGTGAACCTTTTTAGTTCTAGAAAAACTTTCTTCCATATCCTCACTTTTTTCTTTGTGCTACATCTCTGGATCGCATTTTGTATAATAAAAAATCCATCAGATATATTTCATCGGGAGGAATATAATGAAATGAAATTGTTCTATCACCACAACAATTGTCACCCTAAAAAAGAAAATACATAGTTTATTTAAGACATAACTTCTTCAATCAACTTACAGTTTGTAACGGATTTTCAGCGTATTCCTTAAGCCAGATCTTAAAATTGCCATAAAAATGCTCGATATATTTGAATGGATGAAATAATTCACGATTTTGTTTATCCAATGATTTACCCATATAAACATCTTTAGTACGAAGACATCTAGCTATTTCATTGTCTTCAGCACCACCATCTGCACGACACGTGGAGTTTGGATCTCTATGAGCCTCATAAAATCTTCGTAATGATTCTCGACTTAATACATATGATGCTCCACCTGCATGAAATCCTTTTGGAACATTCACCTATAAACAAAAAGAATAAACAATTTTTATTAGTCTATTATCATAGATAAAAACCAAAATTATTAAACTAAACAATCGCAAAAACTCATAATCAAATTTTTTTATTGATATGACCTGTTTACATATACTTCCATCAACTATATACCTACAGAATAATATCTCAGCTTTTGAGTTTTATTATTTCATTTGACTCAAAGATAAATGAGATAAACGTTTATATTAGTTTAAATCATAAACAAAACAACTCAATCTATAAAAGTGCATAGTAGATATATAGTGATCTGATAATTACCTTATAATTATATCCAAATGTCACAGGTTCAGATGTATTTTTTTGACTTAAAAAAGCTCTTAAGTTTTCAACAATCAAATATGTATCGTCATCTGTTTTGACGAACCAGTCAAAGTCATTGAAATATTTTTCATATGCAAAGAGAAAAGCTAATGTTGATTTTTGTGTTAAATGATCATAACCAGGTGTAATATTCTGAATGGGTGCAATTGGTATTTGTTGTGCGAAATTAATTTGTGCAAGTGTCATATTCTGTGGAATGTATTCTGTAATAAAGAAATAACGATCACATCGTGGACCCCATGTTGCATTAACGGCTTTTACACGATCAAGAAAATGTTCTGGTGCTGTTAATATTAGACAAAGTATACGTGGTGATAATAGTTCTGAATAAATCTTAATATTATCAAGTTTAATATTTTGAAATTCAATATAAGATATATTCGTATGAGAACCAACATAAAAAGTAGTAATTAGTATAAGACAAGTAAGCGCCAATCCAACTGAAACAGAACGTGTCTATATAATGAAAATTATGTTTAATAAATACGAATAAAAGAAAGATTGAATAACATTTCGAAAATAAAGACTTTGAAAAGGAAATGGCAAATATATATATATCATTCATTGTTATATAGAAACCTTGCATTTATTCATCGCGGAGAGAAACTGAATGGAAGCTTGAGTCGAAAATAGTTGTTTGAAAATCTTCTTTTAGAAAACCTTTATCTGTCGAGCGAACACTTTCAATTGATAAGACAATACAAATTCTTATTTTTTGAGGGTATGACTGAAATTGGGCACATACACCCACACCTGGATTGTTATGAAAGTTTGAAAAAATCTTGGTTTTCCAGAAACGCCGGCCTCTAGAAAACCCACAGAGCCAAATTAAATAGTAATCGTTTTCATATGTTTTAATAGTCCCAATACTCGTCTTTTTAATGGTGGAAACCACAGCTTTCTACCTTCTTCCTATCAAAAGTTATTTAGAAAGCCGTAAAGTCTCTTTTATTTTGAATGGGATGGTAGTAGGGTGTTTATGAAAACAAATTTAATTTCTTAATGATAGAGAAAGCTTGTCCAAAATCTATACGTAGTTTTTTTAATGTATATGTGACGATTATAATTATAGAAAAAGAATTACTATAGAATTTGTCTATGGTGAGTTGATGTCTTTGGAAGGTATTACCTATATGAGAGTCATATATCTATATATAGACTAGCTCATGGTGAATGCAATTTTTTCAGTATTTTCTCTTTGAAATCGGTTAAAGTTTTTTCATTGCTTTGAATTATATCAGAAATATCCATTAAAATACTTGAAAGCGAGAGTTGGACAAAACTTCGATCGGTGAGAAAAACGCTGAGTTTCATTGGGAAAAAAAGTCGCCAGGTCAGACATGCTGCTTTTTCACAGAGGATAGGATCAAGAAGCAATGTTATTAACTTCGAATTCTATACTAATCCAGCGGAAAAATAAAAATTCATATAAACAATGCTTATTTCTAAGGGAAAAATGTTTTCAAAGAACGGATAAATATATGTAACTATGAGAAAAATTCTTTCTATACATGACTTATTTACAAAGTATTCCAGCGGAAAGATAAATTCCGCGTAATAATGCTTTTTTCTTCAGGTAAAATCATTTACAACAATGAAGGTGACTCTGAGAAAAATATTTTTATTGATCGCGCGTATTCGGATATTTCGTTAGTGAAAAGACAATATATTGGTTGCTCTAATTTCAAGTTATAGTAAACTATAGGATTCTAGTAGAAGGATTATCAGGATGCATGAGTATCATTTTGTTAACGACTGCTTCTTATAGTATGATTATGTAATGTATATCGTCGTTTTCTTACTTTTCGGTTGTATACAGTCATTTGTGCTGTAGGGTTATATCACTATCTTATAATAACATTGAATGCATGCAGTTGTTTTCGATTAAATCCTGTTTTAGTCTTTCTATCATCTTTGTCATTCTTACATAGATGCACGATTTTCTTAAGTAAATTATGAAGAAGACACACACTTTTCGATTACACACAAGCACAATTTATTTGTTGTTTCTAAAAGTGCCAACAACTGCATCACTATTTTTAGTCGTTTCTTTTTCTTTTTCTTTACCATGTGACGCTTTGTATTACGTGTTCAAGTCATATATAAACAGATGATCTCGACATGTAATATGTATCGTAACAATGTGCGAATAGAAAGAAAAGATAAAAATTTTCGTCTTGCAGTACTATACGCTTTTGTGAAATGTTTTCTATGCTGAACGAAAAGTTAATAATTATTAACAATTACTGGTATTATCTTAGAAAATTAATATCATTTAAAATGTTTGAAAAAAACTCGCTGACGGGCAAACCGAACAAACAAAATAATGACAAAATTTAAAATTATGACTGTCTCTGAGAACTCTTCAGATTAACATCATGACTGTTTGTGAATAACAAGATTTTTCCAGTAGCTTCGTGGTTCTCGTTAATAATACTGTCATTATACTGAGCACCATTTTTCCTTACAAATGGATGAGTATATACGGTTACAATGCAACATATTGTTTGTTCTAAGCTACCATTTTTTCTACTAATGTATTAAATGGAAGTGGTTTAACCGAAGGTCTCACATGGTTATTTGAACATTGTAAATAAAATAATTATATTCTTGTTTATATCAGTAATTGTTTTTGATATTAAAAAATAAATAAATTATCTATGTGTGAGTTAATACAAATCTATCTAATTAAATATCAAAGAAGAGAGAGGAAAAAAGAAAGAATAGTTATTGTTGTGTTTATATAATAATTATTATGTTAGGTTTTGTAATGATTGTGAACGATAACGTTGAAATGGTGAGTTTTGACTATGTTTTAATTGTATATCATGTTTTCGAATAGATTTGATAAATTCCTGTGTTTGAGGTATTTTATAAAAAACAAATTTTTTATTTGTTTGAAATGGTTTCCAATGAGTAGTTGTCGGTGATATTAGTCTAGCGAGATTATTTATTGAGTTCTCTTTTCGATGTTCAGTATTGTACATAATTTTGGGTTGTTGTTGTTGTTGTTGATGATGTTCAATATTCGGTTTTAATCGATGAACATGAGCATTATTTATTATTGTCGAACGATTATGACGAGCTAAACTTGAATCTTGTTTAGTAGTTGTCTTAACTGATGATTTATCATTAAGTATCGGATAAGAAGGTGGAGGAAGAGAATTATTATAACTACAAATGAACAAATCAATCGATTCTATTGAAGAATTCTAAAAGAAATACTTCTCTTTTAAATCTTGTTTTATATAATGTACTTGTTCATCATAGTTATGTTTTGTTGTTAGATTTGATAATAATTTAAATAATAAACTTCGTTCTTTTCTCATTTCATTCATTGTTTCAATTAATAAAGATTCATTTAATCTTGATCTTAGATATTCATTTTCTCTTGATAATATTTCACGTTCATCTATAAGTTGATTAAGTACTGAAATCATTTGTTCGTGTTCATTATTAATATTTGTCATTGACATTTTTATTTTCAAATCAATATAGAATGTCTTATAAACAAGATGAGATGTCGATTTATATATATATATATACTATTAAAATAAAAATAAGTGAGAGATAAAGATTACATTTATTTCTATACTTTTACGTGATTTAAAGGCAAAAAGTCCTTACTCCGCCTACTTCCATTAAATTAGGTGAAGCAGTACATGCTTTATTTCGTTTGCATTACGAGTTGTAGGTTGTTATAAAATGTTTGTAAATAATGATCATTGGAGTAGTAATTTTATCTTTCCTACATGATGACATACAAAAGAATGAATTTCTAATTGTATTTATCATATGAATATATGTTGTAATTTTAAAGATCAAACGAAAAATATAAATTATTGAATAATGAAATTTGATTAACTACGTACAGATATAGTCATTAGATAACTATTTAGATGATAGTTCATTGTTCTTTATCTGTTTTTATAGTGGTCTTAGAGAAAAGATCGATTATCGATGCTAGAATTAAGTAGGGATGTGTATAACAGGAATATTATGGGAACAATAATAACTGATGACCTGAGATTAAGTTGTGACATCATTAATTCAATAATGTCACAGATGAAATTTTGTTTTTAACTTTTGATTTATATAGAGAACCTTCATATTCATAGTTCAATATAGAATACAAATGACTTTGTAATTTTATTTTAGTTATAAATAAACAGGATTGTGTTTACAGCCACGAAATAATAAAGAATTCTACTAGTTTTGACTATATTTTCATTCATTTTCTTCTAATGACTTGATGTAATGAAAAGTAAACAAGTACATTGTATGATGAACTATAGGTGTAAACTTGTTCTATCTAAATCAAAGATTAAAACTGAAATTTCATCTAGATGATGGGTCATTTTCATACATTATCGAAGAAGAAGACGTCTCAACTTAGTCTCTTTTGATTTTGGCGTCAACAATAGTCATATATGACATGAAATTCTGTTGTTCATCGTTTTTACAAAATACTTTCTTTTCTTTGTATGTACAACAATGAAATTAGACCAATGAAGAAACAACGACGACTTCATGCACGAAGTCTCGATTATTGAAGTTGGCTGTTTCCCTCTGGAATTATACCAATATAATAAGACACATTTGTTTGATGACAGAGAAACATCATAAAATCAATCCTTACATATTCATGTCAAAGAATTTATAATAATAGAAAATATTTATTGATCTGAGATTCTCCAAGAAAAAATATTTCGTGAAACCACAATATGTATGTAATTAGAATGTATTTACCAGTAAATGTTTCATGCATAAATTTTTCACAATTCTATTGTAACTAGATGGTACACCAGTCGAGAAGAAATGCGATGCGAAGCTTGATTTCGAAATAACGATTTTAAGGTTTTCACAAAAATCTCAATATTCGAATGAAGTTAAATTTATGTATTGACAAAATACACGTGTCATTAATTCAATAGATCAGCTTACGCTTTCTGTATCCAATGATTTGCCAGATTAAATCAGTGTAGTATGTTGACATTTACTTTGTTCAATATTTTCATCATCATCTTGACTATAGTTTAATTTTATATTTGTATAGTTTTTATATACTAGTCGAATAAAAGTAAACCAAACATATGCATGCTTATTTAGTCAACTGTTTAATAAAACCAGAATTATAACAATAATGTGCTACCTATGAGATGCAGAGAGGGAAGAAATGCGCACATTTCCTCCTTCACTTTTAGAAAATTTTCAGTTTTTTTTTCAGCCAGTGTTGTATATTTTATTGTAAAAAAAACATCATTAAATGAAAAAAATACTGTTCTACATCTCTCCACTTTTGAAAAATTGTATGTGAACCTTTTCAGTTCTAGAAAAAGTTTTCTTCCATATCCTCACTTTTTTCTTTGTGATACATTCCTGGATCGAGTTTTATATAATAAAAAATCCATTAGATATATTTTATCGGGATCAATGTAATGAAATGAAATTGTTTGATCACTACAACAATTGTCACCCTAAAAAAGAAAATACATAGTTTATTTAAGACGTAACTTCTTCAATCAACTTACAGTCTGTAATGGATTCTCAGCATATTTCTTGAGCCAATCAGGAAAATTACCCCGAAAATGATCGGTATATGAAAGTGTATGAAATAATTCACGATTTTGTTTATCCAATGATTGACCGGGATAAACATCTTTAGTACGAAGACATCTAGCTATTTCAATGTCTTCATTACCACCATCTTTAAGGCACGTGGAGGTTGGATCTTTATGAGCCTCATAAAATCTTCGTAATGATTCTCGACTTAATACATATGATGCTCCACCTGAATGGTATCCCTTTGGAACAATCACCTATAAGAAAAAAAAATAAACAATTTCAATTAGTCTATTATCATAGATATAAACCAAAATTATAAAACTAAACAATTGAAAGAATTTTTAATCAAATTTTTTTTATTGACATGATCTGTTTACGTATACTTCCATCAAATACAACTATAGAAAATATCTCAGCTTTTAAGTTTTATTATTGCATTTGACCCAAAGATAAATGAAATAAATGTTTATATTAGTTTAAATCATAAACAAAACAACTCAATCTATAAAAATACATAGTAGATATATGGTGATTTGATAATTACCTTAAAATTATATCCAAATGTCACAGGTTCAGATGCATTTTGTTGACTTAGAAAAGCTTTTAAGTTTTCAACAATCAAATATGTATCGTCATCTGCTTTGACGAACCAGTCAAAATCATTGAAATATTTTTCATATGCAAAGAGAAAAGCTAATGTTGTTTTTTGTGTTAAATGATCATAACCAGGTGTAATATTCTGAATGGGTGCAATTGGTATTTGTTGTGTGAAATTGATTTGTTCAGGTGTCATTGTTTGTGGTGTATAGTCTGTAACGAAGAGATAACGATCACATCGTGGGCCCCATGTATCATTAACCGCTTTTACACGATCAAGAAAATATTTTGGCGTTGTTAATATTAGACAGAGAACACGTGGTGACAATAGTTCTGGATGAATCGTAACATTATCAAGTTGATTTGTTTTTGATTCAATATAAGATTCATTCGTATGAAAAGCAACATAAAAAGTAGTAATTAGTATAAGACAGGTAAGCGCCAATCCAGTTGAAACAGAACGTTTCTATATAATTAAAATCATGTTTAATAAATAAGAATAAAAAGAGATTGAATAACATGTAGAAAATAAAGACTTAGAAAAGGAAATGGCAAATATATATGTATCATTCATTGTTATATAGAAACCTTGCATACATTCGTTGAGGAAAGAAACTGAATGGAAACTTGAGTCTATGATATGTCGAAAATAGGTGGTTTAAAACCTTTATCTGTCGAGCGAACACTTTCAATTGATATGAGAATACAAATTCTAATTTTTTGAGAATGTGAGTGTGGGTGATATAGGACACCCACCCTCAAGTTTTTTCATTACATTTGGTTATATCAGAAACATCGATCAAAATACTTGGAACCACATAAAATTAAGATTAAATATAAAAATGGCAATACATAACTTTCATGTTAAATAATGATGTATCACTTTAACGGTATTTCGAGAATAAAAGTATTTTCGAAATATGTTTAACAAAAGCTATCTGAGAATGTTAAAAACAACATTTTTCTATGTAACTCGGCGTGCTTTATTTAACTATGCTCAGAAAAAAAAAACTTTAATAAAAGTTCGACTCGCTAGTACGTTATTCAGATAATAAAATTAATACTTTGTTATATTAAAATCTTTAAAATAAACATAAAAATTCTCTGCATAACTAATCATCTATATATAAAAAAAAAAAGAAAAATGAATAAATTTTCACCATAACAATATATTGATTATTCATAACAGAAATATTTTTACAATGTATAAAAACAAATTCTAAAAACTTATCTTTTAAAACTGAATATTTTTTATTAAATATAACTATTCATAAAATATATATTTGTATTTAACTTAATTAAATTTCCGTATGTTTTCATTATAAAATCTATATTATTTTCATATTTAGACTATTGCAATAAATTTTATTTAGCAAAAATGATCCATTTTTTATAATTATGTGTTCATTCTGACATATATTCTTGTCAGAGAAAAAAAAGTATAAAATCACTTTTTGAATAATATTTGTCAATTCTATTATCAAGTATTATACATATTTGGATCTGATATAACTACTCTCATAAGAGTACGCTATTCTCCTTCAGAAACTATGTAGTTAGAGTCTAATAATGTTATCAGTTTAATTTGAAAGTAGTTTTATTTATTTTGATGAAATAATAAAATCTGTTTAAATTAATACACTTACTTTACGTATCATATCTGTTATCGTTCTTTATTCGTCTTCTTTCATAAAACAAGAATCATTGTTTTCTTCACAATGTTCACCCCTTAAATACTCAACCATATCAGTAGTACGTGAGAAAATGAAAGAGAATTAGTATTCTTTATGGTAAGAAACATATCATACCATAACAATATCAATGTCTGTAACGAAAACAGAAAACATATACAGATACACAGCATATATTCTTTATGAGCAACAGCTGATGTAATCAACATTTTTATATTCATTTAAAATAGTTTTTAGCATTTTATTCGTTTTACAACTAGCTACAGATATAAAACTGATTAACATGGATACGATGTAGATTTTTCTAGATCTTTTTATATTTTAATCAACAAGTAACGCTTGTCTAAAGACTCGCTTAGCTCTTTCTCGTAGAAATGGTGTTCTACAATGCTACGGGATTTTTGGCTTATATAACTTGCGAACACTTACATAAGATTCGTGTTCCCCGACCTCAAAAACCGTTTTGTTAAATTTTATATAAAAAAAAAAGTTTTTTCGTAAAAAAATGGTCCTTTGTCTAAAAACATATTTTTTTTAAAGAATTTTGAAAAACTAACATCAGATTCGAAGTCCATGCATTGGAAAATTGATTTTTCGATGATATTTTATCCTGCGGACAGACAAGCAAGCAGACAATTTATGTTTGCAAGACTCTTCTCTACGAGAGAGAGAGAGAATTAACTTGATTTGCTTGTAAAAATTATGATATTTGATTACATCGATTTAAATTAAAATTACTCATTCTAATCTCGGTTACTAAAAATCACGTTCTCCTGTGGTTTCAGTTTGATAATTCTAGGTTTAGACTTCGCTCATTGACAAATGGTAAGTATAGTATCCAATCATCTTCCAAGATGCGATATCAGCTAATGCTTATAAAGAATGATGAAGCTATTTCTCACAAGATTACTATTAATTTTTATTTGCAAAATTTATCTAATCAAAAAATTCAGTTTAATATAAAATAAACTGATACTTACACATTCTCTTGATGATAACATTGAACATTAATTATTTTCATTACAATTTTATATTATTAAGAAAAAGGTTTAATTGTTAATTTCAATAACTAGAATAATAATACGACGACATTATAAACCTTACATGTATTATTTGTGTTCTTTTTCTGATCATCTACAACCGATCGTTTTATTCGTGGACAAAAGAAAATAAATCGATGAGGAATAAGTTTTGTTTCCAGATGAATTATCAAGATTATTTTGTGTATATGTGTTAAACATAGAAAGAATAGTTAATGAACGGATACGCTGTTGTTTAAATATATTCATTCTCTCTTGATTAAATAATCACATTTATGATCAAAGTAATAGAAATACAAAAAACAAAACGAAAAAGATGATGTTAATAAAACAATCACATGTTAAATATCGATTGATCTGTTCACTTAAGTTTTTAGTTCAATTTGTTTTATATGACATTTGAACAACGAGAGAACTTTTTTATTTTTTAAGAAATATATTCATCGATATTAATAAGAAAATATTATTACATTTATTTTATAAAAAATTTGATATATGATTTTATCAGATTCAGATAAATTTTGTAATAATTCATTGGAATATAATTTGAATTATTAAGTATTTAACACTCGCTTCAACAATATTTACTATTACAATCATTAAATGCCTCTACTTAACATAAATAGTGCATAATGATATAATATGCTGATAACTAGGATAAAATATATGTCGATATGAGATCATAATAAGAAAACTACTTATTTTTTTATTTACCGTATACAAAATTAATTTTTCTACTTTATAGTAACTCAATAATTATTCAAAAATTGATTATTCGTGCCTATAAAGAGTAGACTACGCTGTTCTGTCTGTCTAAATAATTATCTATGAGAAATATGAGTTTTGTGAATGTGATATCTACTGTCTGAAATATGATGAAAGTCTTCTATCAATTACATATTAATCCAAATGTTTATATTTATTATCTTAAGCAGTAAATCAATAACAAATACATATTGTATACTAATATTATTTTATATTCTTCGTATTACTTATAAACAAGCCAAACATATTTAATCTTTACTTGCTACTATTACTGAAAGAAGTAATTTTACTAAACTAGCGAATGGACAGATGCTTCCAAAGAAAACTTGGAAATCTTCTTCCACAAATATCTTCGATTATACAAGTATGCTCCGAATTGTTTTGTCGAAGAGGAAAGAAATTACACTTCTATATATACAACATATAGTATATCTATCGACGATTTGTCTCTCAAAAAAATCACTTTTTTAGTCATTTATAGTAGTAGAGAAACGAACCTTTCCTATAAAAAAACAAATTTTCAAGTTTTTTTTGCAAACATTTGTAGTTCAGATATCGTCTAGTCGTCGATATGTAGATTGTATTTCTAATAGGTTTTTACTTGAACGACTCATACCTGCAACGAATTCTTGTAACTCAAATTCATTCAACACGTGTGTTCGTTATAATACACCAATCAATCCATTATTTGATTATTACTTTATGTGTACATATAGAAATTTATGATCATTTACTACAAAGATCTATTGTTGTTCGAGATGTAAATTAATTTTTAATTAATTTAAATAATGGATTTTCGTTTTCGATGTTTGTATTGATCGGTGAGTATCAGAATTTATATGACGTCTATTCTAATTTATATAGCATAAAAGTAATTCAACTAGATGGTGTTGTTTTTTTAACTGTCTATTGATGGATGGATTTGATGATTTATTGCAAGATCTCGATTTCTTCTGGGTATATGGTTCTTGGATTTTATTTAGTAAACAAATCGAACGTTTCAAATGAATAACGCATTCAAGAATATTACAAGAAAGATATTTCCGTGAAGTTCTAACAGAATTTGTAGTTTACATTGAAAAAGATCGAATACTTCTAATTCAATTTATATTTGATCGAGAAAGAACCAATAATTGCTATTTTTACTTTATACATTTCATCTTGACGTCGTTCAAGTCACGTCTGACGAATCTAAAATGCTATCGATGAGCTAAAGTTAATTAAATTGTGAAAAACAATACATACCATTAATGGTATTACAAAGTAATAGCTAGGGAGACATAATGAAAAAAAATTTTTTAAATATTAGAGATGAGATGCTCATTTTTCAGAATTATATCTTTGGTACAAAAATTTTCTCAAATTTAAAATATGTTTTTTGTCTGAGATTCGTGGTACTCCAAAACTACTTATCTTTATTAAACAGTAATGGTTAATGGCTTCCAAGATTAATCTCTTTCTCGTAGAGAAGAGTCCAGTAAACATAAATTGTCTGATTGCTTGATTGCTTGTCTGTCCGCAGGGTCAAAAAATATCGAAAATCAACTTTTAGAAAAACACATTTCTAGAGGTATTTCGATGCGGGGCCGTCGAATCTGAGGTCTATTAGGTGATTACGGTGAGGGGGGTGGGTGGGTGTGGGTGAAAGGTCAAAAAAACAGTGAAAATCGATTTTCTGGAAAAGACATTTCTAGAGGTATTTCGATGTGGGGACTTCGGGGCTGAGGACTATTGGGTGACCGTGTCGAGGGAGGTGGGAGATGAGAGTTCAAAGGTCAAAAAAACATCAAGAATAGATTTTTCACGTTTGTTATTTGTTTTTTCAGTAAATGTGAAGAAAATGGATTTCTACGAGAAAGAGCTAAGCGAGTCCTCGGAGGAGCGTTACTTGTCATATAGTTATTTTATCAAAAAATATTTTAATGAATAAATAGAAATATTTTGTAACAATGATTAAATTTTTCTCGATTCTATTGTAAAAAAGCTCGAGAATAAGTAGCTAATAATCCTGCTGCTAAACCACTTTTATGTGATAAACAAGCATGATTCATTTCTTGTTCAATTAATAAATGTCGTTTTTCATGACGATGAAATCGAATAGTTTCTGATGCATCACTAAAACAATCATAATCAGGATGTTGCCATGTTAATATTGTATTAAACCAATCAAAACGTAAAAAATCTTCATAACCAATTATTGAACAAAGTAATATTTGTTCAAGAAATAAATCTTGATTTATATTATTAAATAAATTTAATTTAGCATCTTCATATATATTAGCACAAAACATATCTTCGAAATGATTTACTCTTTCATTTGCTATATCTTGATCTATGCAATTTATATTTTTTGCAATTAAAAACCATAATAATTGATGTGTTAAACGGTAATTCTTACTCAATGGAGATGTCATCATTTTCCAACATGATTTACTTATAAAACATTTAGTCGAATTTAAATGATCGCTTGAACCTAGAAAATATTTAAAAAAGTATTTTACAATTTAATCATAGAAATTTTACCAAGTAATTCAGCAAAACATTTATCAGATTCTTCCTCATCAAAATTAGCATTTCTTTTGCCTTGTTCAATTAAATTCTTATTAATTTTTCTTATTCGATATTCAATTATAAATGGTTGGTAAACAACAAGTGAAAATCGATGTAAATATAAAGATTGTTCATGTGCAATTGTATTTAAACTAATATTTGCTATACGTTCAATTTGTATTGATAATGAATGAATAATATGATTTTTATCAGTCAAAATAATTTGTTTATTTTTCGATGAAACTAATATTTGTTCAAGAGCATTTAATTGTCCTTGAGCGATACGTAAACCATACAAACCATCAAGATTTAAATTATCTGCATTAGATTCAAAGAAATTTAATAAACGTTGAAGAGCATTTAAAGCATAACCACCATATTTGATACGTGATTCAGATGTGTGACTAATAGGAGTACAGATAAATAAGATAGAAATAGTTAGAATTAACATCTAAAAATGATAGTTATATATGTCACTGTTAAATTATATTTTCATAATATATAGATTTCTTAACTAAAAATGAATATTATGCGTACACTGTAAACTAGAAAATGAGTTATAGAGTGTTTTGAAGAATATTCTCTTTCTCGTAGAGAAGAGTGTAGCAGAAATAAATTGTTTGCTTTCTTGCTTGTACGTCCGCACATTACTGGTTCGTCCAAAAATTAGGTAAAGATATGAAAGGAATTTTTTTTTCTGTAAGAGTTTACCGAGGAGGAATTGGAATCAAGGAACTCGAATCTGGTGTTAGTTTTTTTAAAAAAATTTCGGAGCAATTTTTTACAATAAAAGTTCTTTTTATATGGGTTGACTGAAGGGTAATCGGTGTCGAAGAATTCAAATCTGACTTCTGTTTTTTTTAATTATATAAATCAATAGCTTGATGGTTGTTTAGTAACGCGATTTCTACGAGAAAGAGCTGAGCGAGTCTGTAGATGAGCGTTTTTTGTTGAAGAAATGCCTATACAAATTCAACGAACATATTCCAAGTACTTGAAAAGCACTAGCGATTTTCAATCTACAGTTTTTTTGCTGGGAAACAAATTTGAATTCATAGATTCGCGGAAATCAACTAGTGAATCATAAAATTTAAAAATCGATTGAATATATCCCAAGTCATTTCTAGAATTTCAAAAAAATTTACAGTATAGAGTTAGTTTCATATATGTTGTTACTTGCAATCTCAAATCAATAGGATATTTTCAAAAAAAAATTTTGTTTTACTACTTACTATTTACATGAGTATATGTCTATGATTATAGAGAAAAAATGCGCTTAAGATAAATAAATAAGTAGTGCCTACACATTGTATATCATAAAAGGACATGAGAGAAATCGTATATAATATACTTCCAATATTGGTAGAACAGTTTTGTTCTTTTTTTATCCTAAGCGACTGAAAAGGAAAGAAGAAAAAAACAACAAACACATGTGAGTTGCTTATGTCAATGTTTAATGGAGTGTTGATTCATATTATTATCGATATTATAAACGATATTGAAGTAATAGGAAAGAATAGAATAAATTTAATCACATGGATTTTGTACAACCTCGTTTCATTCTTAGAGAAAAAAAAATAGATTAATACAGTTCTAGCTAAACATATCTACATCATACTTAACTTTTTATAAAGTCTAACAGCAGTTTAAGTATACTACGAACAATTTATTAAAACCGAGATTTTAATCTATACAATATCCATTTCATTTGTCCTGTAGGAATGATATTCATAAGCAGGAGTGGCTCGAGGCAACCAACATCGGGGGGAGGGGCGTAGCAAATTGTTTTAGAGTAAAAAGATGAATTTCGCGATTTGGGGGGGGGGGGGGGTAGCATTATCTTTGATATAAAACCTAAGAAGATTCACTGAATTTTTAAGCAAAAAATAGAAATGTCGAAAGATTGGGGGTTGGGTGTTACACCCCTTCCTTGGTCGAGCTACCCCTGTTCATAAGTTTAAGATCGAGTAATGTATATTAGATCGAAATATAATATCCAGCGATTTGAGATTATCATTCAGAGTGTTTGAGAAAAATATATGAATAATCTAGTAAAATATTCTTATTTCTTACAATAATATTAAGAAATTTACATTTATCAACATAGAAAAAAAAGAAAATTAAATCCTGAATTATCCGATGAAATATATTATCTGTTTTGTTTTTAATTTGATGGCATATGAACAAGAGTAATTTTTACATTATCATGTTTGCCTTGAAATAAAACTTCATATTCTTCTGAAAAATGAATATAACCATGTTTTCGTGCTCGAAGTAGAATACCAACGAGTTTATTTGAAATATTTGTATAAAACTAATTGAGAAAAAAAAAGAAGATTTTTATTAATTAAAATATCTTTTAACATACATCAAATAATTGTTTAAATGTTATTGTATATGTTGATGAATTATTGTCTTTTTCTCCCATATTTTTGATAATTTCACATAAATATTTAACTTCTTGTTGAATATGAGCTTGAGCAGCAAGACCTCGTTGTTCTGTTCGACTACCTTTCGGTGGTCGACCATATCTAATTCATATTATTTCAAAAATAAATTGAATGAAATTTTTCTTACTCTGGATCATCTTTTTTATAAATTGGACGAGACATTGTTTGATAATTTGTAGAATATGATGATTTCAATAGACAATCGGGTAGTGGTGGAGCTGATGGCAACATGATGAGTATGTGTATATATCGTTCTATCTTTTTCTCTTTGCGCTTTTATGACCTATCTATATATGTCTTATTTATACATACACATATACAAGGACGAAGTACTACTATTGGGATAGGCAGTTTGCTTGCATATGTAGATATTACAAAAAAAAAAAGGAATCAACATAATCGAACAGGAAGAAAGAAAACCGATTTACTGTCATATGACATGATGCTATCTTGATAGTCTACATAACAATATAAACGGCATATATTTAGGGGAAAAAAAAGTTTAATTCTAATTAATTAAGTTGATGAAAGAAGATTTTGAATGTCTTCTTATATGTATCTATATCCGATTCAAGCTAGCAAAAACTAGATTTTCTATACAAATCAAGTTATTCAATAGATATGATAAGTTCCTCATTGCTGTTACCATTCAGTAATTATCGATATATGATAACGCTTGAGCAAATGCTTAGAATATGAACTCATGTTTCCTTTTACTAAATTGATGAAAGATATTAACCATTATGGTACTATCTTATAATATAGCCTTGTCAAATATAACACGCAAATGTATAAAGAACCTTTTCATACAAGTTGAACAAAATAGCATATAGGGAGTATTTCTTATTTTTTTCGATAATATTATGTAATATTAGCCTTAGATATTAATTTTTCGATTAGTTAAACAAGTAACGCTCGTCCGAGGACTCGCTTAGCTATTTCTCGTAGAAATGCATTTTCTTCACATTTACTAGAAAAAACAAATGTTTTTTTCGAAAAATTGGCTTTCGATGTTTTTTGACCTCTCACCCACCCCCTCATCGTGGTGACGCAGTAGGCCTCAGATTCGAAGTACCCACATCGAAATACCTCTAGAAATGTCTTTTCTGAAAAATTGATCTTCGATGGTTTTTTGACCTTGCGGACACACAGGCAAGCAAACAAACAATTTATGTTCACTGGACTCTTCTCTACGAGAAAGAGAGTATATTCTTTTTATTCTATCTTCTAAAACATCATATCGATTTACGAAAATATTTTTATTCAAGAAGAAGAAAAAAAACATCAATAAACACACACATACAAACGGAGGGGGAAGAGGTAGTGAGAAATGATGAATGCAAATCGAAGTTTAATTGTGTCGTTTCTTTTTATATGGTTGATGATGTTCATATGCAGTATTACCATAATAATCGAGTGTTGTAGTATTTCCAGTACCATACGGTGATGATGGAGATCCATAGGAATATGAATGATATGTATTTCTTTATGAAGAAAAAAAAGATTTTTTTTTCAAATTAATTTAAAAGAAAAAATTTGATAAACATACCGATTATCAGAACTGTCTCGAAAGCCTTTAGCAAATGGATTGTTATCAATTTTAAGTTGAGTTACCTGTTCAGCAAAAAATGAATTTATGATGAGAGAAAGAGAAAGTAAAAACTTACATCAGTATTTTGATAAGCTGTAACTGCAATAAATTGTGTTTCAGGAAATGTAAATGTATGTTTTGGTGCTGAATTCGATTTATTTGATGATGTTGGATCTGATGATCGACTACTTACTTCAACAATATTTAAACGTGGCATATATTTATGCATTGAATTAAGAATAAGTGTCATCTAATGAAACAAAAAAAACGAATTTTTAAATTTATATTATTATTATAAAATTTCTTACTTGATTTTGTGGATGACTTGTTGGTAATTGTTTATTATTAGTTAATTTTAATTTTGAAAATGATATTTTGTCATTTCTCATCCAATGTGCACCACTATTCGGTGAATCCGGATGTAAATAAACATGATCTAAAATAAATCAATCTTTAATATTTCAAGGAAATTTAAAAACAATTTTTTTTACTTGTTTTTTGACATTGTTCAGCTTGTCCAGATGGAACCCATTTACCAGAATTAAATTTCCAATGATTAACATCAATTAAAATCATATCAACATACATATTATATGTTGCTTCAGGTTTTAAACCATAAACTTTATATTCAAGTGTTGGAAACATACGACGACCAGCTATAAAAAATTTATTTAAAATCATTTAGAAAAAAACAAAATTCAATAACATGATACATACTTTTTGTTATGATATTTTCAAGTGTATGTGGAGCAAATCTTAACCATAATGGTCGATTGACTAATTCAACAATGATTGAATCAGATCGACAAGCTCCATTCAAAGGCGACTAAAATTAAATACAAAACTTTATAGCAAACGAGTTGTACTTGACCCTATATTCTCGATAAGAAAATTTTCATATTTAATAAATTATACGACAAAGTCAAATGTATAAAATTTCTATCTATTTTCTTATAACTAATACTAGTAGTAGTTCTATTTTACTTAATTAATAGAACTGACTATACAACAGCGGCGGATTTAGGATTTTGGGAGGGGGGGGGGGGTTTTTTTTTGGGAGGGGGAAAACCTGGGGGGGGGGGGCGATTTTGGCTAAAAACTATTTTTTGAGCCCAATCGAAGTAGTGTGAACCTATTTTGCTGTAAAAGTCAAAAAAATTTTCTGAGGGAGAGAGACGATCGTCCCCATCGCTCCCTCTAAATCCGCCACTGCTATACAAGCTAGGGCCGGATCCAGAATTTACATGAGGGGGTGGCGGTTTATAAAAAAAAAGTAGAAAGTAGTATTATTTTTTAGAAGAGAAACCTATAGTGTCCTATCTGTCGAAATATCTATTTTCGAGGAGGTAGCAGTCGCCGGTTCGCCGAATAGCTAGATCCACCACTGATACAAGCTTTTTTCAATGTATCTTCGTAAGAGAAAACTGTTTTTTGTAGATTATAATGGCACTAAAAGAAAATATTATCTTACGTAAGGTGTTAAATAATCTCCAACATTACTGGTACTGCAAGCTGTTTGTTCTGCAGGTGTTTGAACATAATTTGAATGTTGATGAAACATTTGATTTGATGGTATTGTTGGAATTGGTGATAAATTATAATCATACATTGATATTGGTTGTTGATCGGATGATTTTTGTGAAAATAAAATTTCTTCAGGTGAATAATGATGACGATGATGATGATGATGATGATAGACAGGCATGTAAACACCTGACGATACTTGATTATTTGAATCATCTTCATTAATACGTACAGTTGTTTGTGGATGAGAATATCCAGGAGAAAGTGTACAATATTGTGTTGGATCATAAAGATTTGGTGTATGAGGATGATGAAGATTATTTGAATCATCATTAAATGGAACTGGATGATAATAGTAATGATGTCGTTGTGGAGTATAATGTGTAGAATAATATTCTGAGGAGATTTTAGTTTCATCATCTTCTTTCGTAGCAAGTGGCGTTAGCATAGTGGTGCTGTTCACGCTCTCTATGCGACAGGTGCTAATCGACTAAGCGAAAAAGATGAACAATAATGAACGGAAGTTTAAAAAAAAAGGAATAATATGTCTATTTAGAAAAGGGAGAGACTGGAAGAGAAGAGAAAGAAAGTAACCAATGACACATTTGAACCAATGAAAAAATAAAGAAAAAAAAAAAAAAGAATTTGTCTTCTTTTCTTCGTATTTGATACATCAATATGGAAAAGAGAAAAAAAAAAGAAAATCTAAAATTCTATATTATACATCAAGCACAGCAGGTTATCGTTTGAAACTTTGATTTAAAGTGATAATTATATCCACTTATTTAAGTCGAATTCATTCATTACTAAATAAGTGAAATAGAAAAATGTAACACAAAAATAAAAGAGCAATACCTATATCTCTATATCATGTGTGAATAACATTGGAAAGAACTTCTGTTAACAAAATATGCTATGTCTATATAATATACAAGAAATAAGGAAACGTCTGAATTTCAATTGGTAACTTGTCAGTATTCAATGAATAATTTCGAAGGTGTTATTATGCATTTCAATTCTTTTCTATTCCATTATCAGCTTTTATTTCTGTGATTTACTTTCATCTATCATCAACATCAATTCGTAGATATATATAGACGGAATTGAAGATCGAAGAAAAATCAAGTTGTGTGTATATACTTTTCTTAACGCTCAACAAACAATATTGTTCATTATCGTTTTTTGAAGAATTATCATTCTATAAACAAATGATGAATGCTATCGTAGTCATCATATTATGTCATCATGGATATCAGACATCTTGTCATCAGGTGAATTTTCTGATAGTCACTCTGAGACATAGGCATGGTTACGGTCTATATGAAGTATAACTGATTGATACGATGATTATTCATTTTGCTATCGTTAAGAAAAGCCAATATCAATTGGTATGTTTTGTTTTCTAAGCAAGACATGATTGGATATTTAATTAAAATTAGTTCAAGAATATTGTATTTTTAAACTTTAACCAATCTATTATTTAAAAACTGAATAAGGTCGATTTCATATGAGAGAATACTTTTTTTTTTGTAATGAACGAAATAATCTTAGTCCTGCTGTGATTTATTGGAATAGATTATTCTACTAGCAGCAGCTTAATTTGTCCCATCTTGTTTTTGAATAAATTAATTGAGATTTGAATTTTATATCAACACGCGATATAATAAGAATATATATATATATATACACGTGCTTTATGAATACTCTCTTGTGGTATGCACCTTTCATCTAACTAACATCATGTATCACACGTTCACTTTTTGCTATTATATGTCTATTATCACATTGTGAACAAGTTACCGCTGCTAGTATGGCAACATGTAGTGATAATGAAATCATGAACATTATGTTCCTTTTTTTCCCCTCTCTCTCTCTCTAGTCATCTTATCGCCGCTTATTTCATTGACAGAAAAAATGTTTTTTTTAATATGTTAACAATGCGAATCTAGTGAACAATAGATGAAATGAAAAAAAAATTGAGAAAGAGAGAGAACATACGTAATAGTATATTAGTCTGATTGATATATAAAAAAAATCTGAGCATAAGAATTTCATTCTTTTATTTTAAATAGAAATAAAAAATCTGCTTTCTTGCATAAAAAAATATTTTCATAATTAAATAGTATAAATCGTAATTTCAATATCATCTTCTTCGAATATATGTTGAATAAGTCTTGATACTTGATCCCAATTAAGTTTATCTAATCCACAACCAATACGAGGCATTGCTAAATGATGAATATTATTTTTAATACATAAATCTCTCATTGTACGTAAACTTGATTCTAATGTTTTCATTGTTGGTTTATAAAAATATTTTTCTTTTGTTACTAAATAAAAAATATGTCGATCATTTGAAGTTATATATGCACAACCACCGACGGATACATTTTGGTTTTTAAGTTCATTGATTTGACCGAATTTATTACGAAATAATGTTGCTATACCTTTAGACATACTCATATCTTGTGAAACACAATGTGCAAGTGATACATTGGATGCAACTGAAAATAGATCACCATCAATTTCTTGAAAGACTAATGGCATAGTTTTATTTTAATCTAAAAAAAAATAATCGATGAGAATAGATTATTAAGATTTTATTTAATACAGAAATAAAAGAGATTCATTTAAATTTAAAATTGATTAACAATGACGAATAAATAATAAATATACAGTTAACAAATGGACGGCACATAAATATAGAAAAAATACGGATGATGAACGAGGACGATGTGTTAAAGTTATACCAAGTTTACTAGAAAAGATATTTTCAATGCATGAAATAATCTATTAATTGAATTTACCTTTTTAATTCACCAAATAAATTAAATAATGCAGCTGAAGTATCAATTATGGAATCTAAATATTAATAATTAACTATAATATTTAATAGATAGGGATATTACGTTTATTTGTCGTTGTCAATGGAATTTCTTTATCTTCTATATTAATTGTTGTCCTAAATATTTAATAAAAGTTTATGTTTAGTTCAAAATGTATGGAATAGATCTCGTATATACGTCAAAATAAGTATTCTCCTAATCGATAGTATGCTACGAGATCTACATGGACTTGATTGATGAGTTTCACGAAAAAAAAAGAATTCAACGTGGGATAATCAATCTATATGTAGCTTTTATTTCTGACTAAGATCTATTGAATTGAAAATTCTCAAATTTGATAGAAATATCATAAGAAAATTAAAGTATCGATTGTCGTTCTTAAATAGGTAAAGAAAAACTACTTTTTTCAATACTTCAGATCTCTGATTACCTTAACATGATGTGGGAGATACGAAAGTTATGTTATTTTATAATCTCCAGTATATCTTACGAATCGAACTAAGAGTTAAAATAGGTTGAAGAATATGTACCATAGATAAGGAATATTTACTAAATTTTATCATAAGAATTTAAAATAATCAAACGTCAAGACACGGTGATTTATATTTCTTATGTTCATTCTACTTTATTTTATATGGCCGTCATCGCGTGAATATTAGCTAGTGCTAAACCTTCGTTTATAATAACTGGAAAAAGCTAACGAGCTATCCAGACACGCACCCAAAAAAGATTTTCTGTAGGGGAGATCAACTGTTTTAGGAGGGGGATAACCGTGTAGAAGAACTGTTTTTTGGCTTGCAACATTTGATAAACTCGTACGGCCTTCCAGTAGAGACCTACACGGAGTCATTTTCGAAGTCAGATAAACTCCATGTCAATAGTCCAACTTTAACGTTACAGATTATTTAAGCTCATAGTTTTGTTGTCCGACATTTTCTCTACAAAATTATGTATTTTGAAGGATCGGCAGATGTCTTAGGGAGTCTCACAAACCGAAATAAAATACAGAAATAAGCGGAGTCGAACATAACAACGACTTCTCTTTTGTCTTGGTGAAGGTCGACAAAGCATCGACCTATCTTTCAAAATACATAATTTTGTAGAGAAAATATCGGACAACAAAACTATGAACTTAAACAGTCTTTAACGTTAAAGTGGAATTCTTGACATAAAATTTACTTGACTCCGAAAATGACTCCGTGTAGGTCTCTACTTTCCAGGGACCAGTATTTTTCCAGGGGTGGGACCGGTCCCCTCAATCCCCCCCCCCTCTGGGTTCGTCATTGGAGCTATCTAGACATATCAAACGCTTCCAATTATATATTAATGATTTCTCTATATTATTATGATTCACAGAAAAAATGGTAAATTAGCACTACATGTTACTCATAAGAAGTAACTGAGCTATCATTGCATCTTCACTAAATAGCTACGAGATTTTGTTATTATTGCAATTGTATATTTAACTAACCAATTATTAGATTCAGTTGTTTGTTGAATAGGTGCTTGATAATGAGATTGTACGACTGGTTCAGATTGTTCAGTATCAATAATTACTACTTGTGAATCTATGTTCGAAAACAACAATTATTTTTATAAAAAAAACAGAAAATGATTCTTACGTTTATTATTTTCATTATCTTCTTTATATAAACGATATTCATCTTGTAATTGTTCATATAATTCATTTTTATTTTGTATTTCTTTTTCAAAATTTTTTATTTGTTGTTCATTATTAAATAAACATTTTTCTAATTCATTTTTTGTTTGATTATATTCATTTATTATACTTTGTTGTTGATCAATATCAATTAATAATTTTTCATTTTCTCTATCCATTTGTTCATATCGATGATTAAGTATTTGATGATCTTCTTGCATTTTTAAAATAATATCAACAATTGAATTTATATCATCAACATTTTCAAATGTATCTAAGAAATTTCTTAAAATAAAAATAAAACGAAGAAAAACTCAAACTAAAACCTTTAATTGTTTGAAGAATTGTTTGTAATCGTTTATTATCATCTTCAACTATCTGTTTTTGTTCAATTAATTCTTTTCTATTTTTTTCTAATTGATTTTTTTCATTGATTATTTGACGACAACGAGATTCGTATAGTTTTTTTTTGTACATCATATTCTTGCTGAAATGAATAACGATATTAAAAAAATATAAGCCTTTTTTCTTTATAACTAACTTGTATTGATTTTATTTCAAGTTTCATTGTTTCTTGTAAATCTTGTTGTGTTTTACATTCATCTAATGTAACTTGAATTTGATTATTAATACTACGTTTTTGTTGTTCAAGTTCTTCAATACGATTTTTATAATCAATTTCTTTTCGATATTGTTCATCGAGAGATTGATTAATTTGTTTAAGCTATAAAAAAAAGAAAAAACAAATTTGATTTCAAATCAAATATTCTTTTTACTTGATTTGCTAATGTTTCATTATTTATTTTCATTTCTTTCATTTTCGTTAACATTCGTTCACGTTGTGATCGAAGTTTTTCTATTGTATCTTCATGTTCACGTATTTTTTTATGTTGATCAGTTATAGTAATATTTAATGTATTAGCTGAATCATCGATATTTTGTAATTTAGCTGAAAAAGATTAGGAAAAAATGTTTATCGAAATAAATGAATGTTTTAAATTACTATTTATTTGATTGATTTCATTGAGACGATCGAATATTTGTTCTTCATTGTCAATTGATAAATGTGTTAGAAGTTTTTGTTTAAAAGTAGAAACTAGAATAAAGGATTTATACTGGTTCATTTTAACACTGGTGTCAATGTTTTTGCTATAATCTGAGAAGGATTAATATTTACTTCAGAAGTATAAAATTAAAATTTACTAGTCGAAATTCAGTTTAGTAAGAATTTATTTCCCGAAAATGACTTCAATTTCAGTTTGATTCATTTATTTTCTATACTAGCTGTCGTCTATCGAATGAGGAAACATTGTCAAGTGTCAGATTGCTTTTAGATCGAGTATATGCTCAAAAAATAGATCTCAATGAGTTATTAAACACTCTAGATTATCTTATTTATATTTTGACTACATGCAGCTTAATATTATATCACTTATAGAACATCTAGTACTGATCAGAATCTCAAAGTTTGACGATAAATTAACGGTTCTTAACCCTTATAGTACCGCCCTCAGTTTTGCAGTTTTATTTTAATATGAATGAGCCCGACCAATGAATTTTAATGTGATTGTCTATCCTATTAAAAACCAGTGCCCTAAGCGAAAAATTGAGGTTCATTTCATATCGACACATCCTTCTGTCGCTCCCGTTTTGGATTCACTCTTGTCTTGGCTCATACATATCCTATAGTCACTCGTACTCCAAACTGCATAGTTAAACTCGCCCGACACTTTTCCGTAAAAATTACGAAATAATCCAAAATTTTATCATGTTGTTACATTTATCGCTAGCGGGGTCAACAATGACCCCGGCTGGTACTACTAGGGTTAAAATCAGTCTTCATTGTTACTCAAAAATCTAATTATCGATTCATCTTTTGGTTCCCGTGTACTTGCATTGATCATTCAGTTGTCTATATTGTATGTATATTCAAAACTTTTAGCACTGTCGCGAACCTTTTAGGTTTATGGGGGAGGGACGTGATCATTCCTAGTCCTCGATAGCCGTAGATACTCTGTTCCCAGGGGGAAACAGCGGACTTCAAGAGACTTCAACAAGCGAGACTTCAGTTTTTCGAAAGACTTCGATGGACTTCAAAAGATTTCAAGAGACTTTAAAAACTTCAATAGGCTTCTAAGACTTCATGAGACTTCATACATGAAGTCTCTGTTGTTTATACCTTGTCTCCTCGTGGAATACATGCATCCATAGAAACTCTAGAAGACTTCAGGCGTGAAGTCTCTGTTGTTTCCCACTCGTCCGCTCTTATTATCGATCGCAACTCAAGAAGAAAAGAATCATCTGTATGATTTTTTTTCAATAAATCTTAAAATATGAAATACCAAGAATGCTCATTTATTTCGAGTTACTCATTGTAACACAAAAACTTCTAGGAATTTTCCTTAAATTAAATTTCTTACTTTTCTCAATGATATCTCTATCATGTTGAATCTTTTCTTGATATGTAATTAATGTTTGATCAATATTAATATTATCATGAGAGATTAATTGACATAAATTCTTGACTTTTGTTAAATAATTTTCTAATTTCAATGTATAATTTAAATGTTCTGATGACTAAATAAAGAAAAAATATTGATAAATTTTCTTTCGAAAATTTTCTCATATACTTGATCATAATCAATTTGTTTAATTAATTCTTTAAATTGATTATTTTCTTCTATAACTAATGGAATATTTTTAAATAGTTCCATTAAATTTATTATTTTAATATCGGAAGATATTAATTGACTATATTCAAAACAAAATGTATCAAATATCGCACAAATTTCATCAATTTGTGTTCGTGATGACGAATCTAAAATAAATATTTTGAAACTTAATCTTCTACAAATAGAAATTCTTTACCAGATGATAAGCCGACTTTATCCATCAATCTTCCAATACTTTTATTCATAATATCTTCTTCTAAAAAATAAAATAATTAATTGAATAGAAATTAAATATTTCTATACTTTTAATTAATATTTCATATTCTTGTTTTAATTGAAGAAAGTTTTCATTTAAATTCATTGCAGTTTCAATAAGACTATCATCATCATCAACATTGAATAAATTTCGAAGTTTTTCATAATTAGAAAACAACATATGAATTTTTGTTGGTGAAGGCTATGAAATGAAATTTAAATAAAACTAATTAATCCTTTTAAATCATTGTTTACTAGTTGAGATAATTCTCGAATTTTATCGATGATCTTCTCAGGATTGTTTTCTTCATTATTCATTAATTCTTTAATTTGAGTATAAAATTCATCATTATTATCTGTTGTTTGTGATTCGGCATCTATATTAAACGGTATAAAATGACGTGATAATAATAAACATAATCGAACTTTGTTTTTCTTGATACTGTAAAATATTATCGTTCGAATTTGTTAAAGATTCAAGTAATTGATGAATACGGGTAAGATTGGAATCTAGTTTTTTAAGAAAATTATTTATAAAATATGAATATATATATATTTTCTTTCTCGTAGAGAAAAGTCCAGTAAACATAAATTGTCTGATTTGTTGTGTGTTCGCGGGATCAAAAAAAACATCGAAAACCGATTTTTCAAAAAACAACATTCCTAGAGATATTTCAATGTGAGGACTTCGAATGTACGCCACATTTCCTCAGACTACCGAATGAGGGGATGTGGATTGGGAGAAGTTGTGTAGACTGATAGTAACCGAGTTTTCGGGTAATGTATTTTTATGGGTATCCAAATGTTACCCTATTTATAATGCAGAAGGTGGCGACTATAAGCTGTTGGCTTTCTTGCATATACGATTACTAACACTTCATTTATTCGTTAAATGCTAGTTCGAAAAGTCATCGGTACCGACTGCTCGAATATGTTTTGATCTGCGTTTGCCACTAAGCGGGATGCGAGTATGTGCTAAGAGTAGCGAATAACAAAAGAGAGTGCGATTTTCAGTTGTTTTTTCAGTAAATGCGAAGAGGATGCATTTCTACGAGAAAGAGCTAAGCGAGTCATCGGACGAGCGTTACTTGTATATATATATACCTTGATTATTATCAGTTATTGGAATAAATTTATCAGTGATTTGTTCAATATTAAGCTGTAGTTGATTTTCGTTATGAATTGTTTGATCTAATTGCTTTTGTAGATGTTCAATAGTATTTTCTGCATGTTTCTATACAAATGAAATATTTAAGAAAAAGTATTTAAATTTAATCAAAATTTTACCATAGTTTCTAATTTTGTTATTAATTCAGTAGTTGTTTCATTTGACCAATTGGATTTATCAGAATTTAATTCATTAATAATTAATTGATAATCATCGATACGTTGTAAAATAAGTTCATTATTATCCGTTACAGATAATTTATTAGAAAGAGTTTGATGAAAGTTAATCAATGATCGAAGAAAAGAATAAATAAGATTATATTGTATTTCTTCTGAAATAGAATCTTTCATATTCAAAAATAAAACAAAAAATTATCAGAACATACCATTATCATTATTGTCTAATTTTAATAAATTAGTTATTTCTTTCAATTGAATTTTTCTTTCATTTATATCTTCTTTCAATTCTTGTATTTCTTTTGTTAATTCATCGATTGTTAACTGTTGATTTGGAATAGAATCTTTCTCAATTGATATTTGATTATTTTCATTAAGTAATTTATATTCATGTAAACGTTGAAGAGCATCATCAGTCGATGTTACTAATATTTCAGAAAAGATTGCATGTTGAAAATCAATATTCGATTGAAGAATTGTTCGAATACGATTCAATTGAGAAACTAAATAAAATAAAATTGAAACTTTCTTCTTCTAGTATTAATTCAAACCTTCACTAGTATCATGATCAATTGATTGATTATAAAATGTTGCAACAATATTATCAATTTCATTTTGTCTTTCTAATGTTTCATTTATAGAATCATTTAATTGATTTTTAATTTGTTCATAATTTGCAATACGTTCATTTAATTCTATTCGAATCTTGAAATAAAAAATCAAAAGAAAGTATAGAAATAAATTGATATAAAAAAAACGTACGAACATGATTTGCTTCATTACAACGTTCAATAAGAATTGGTAAATAATTTCTATCATTATCATTCGTATTATTAATATGTAAATATTCTTTCAAATCAATTTGTTGTTGTTGAAAATTAAAATAATTGTGCAAAACATTTTTTATCAGATCAAAATCAGTTAAATCAGAACTAGAATCAATTTTTTGACGTAAATATTCAATACATTCACGTTTATTAATTAAATCTTTAATTATTTCATCATTATTATCATCATTTGTAAGATGAAGTAATGAACGAATATGTTGTAATTCTTTACTATCACGTGAAAGTGTTTCTTTCAAACGACTAAGACTATTTAAATGTGTTAATAATTCAAATAGAATATCATCAGAATCAATAAGATGAGAAATATCTTCTGTTGTTAAACTTTCTTGAAGAAGATCATAAAATTTTCTACGTTCATTATCATGATATTGTCCAATAATTGTTTGAGGAGATAGATCTAATAAATTATCATTATTATTAAGTTCATCAAATATTAATTGGCGCAATTCCTGATCGAATTTAATTTGAAATTGAAGATCGGAAGTTATTGATGATGTATCTTCAGATACTTGATGTTCTATATTATTACTATCTATTTGTTTTTCTTCTCCATTTTTAATATGTTGTTTAAGTTGAATAATTAAATCATTTAAACTTTGTAATCTTTCATCTTTTTCTTGTAATTCTTGTATTAAACGATCATTTGATTCTTCTTGTTCAATCATTTCATCATTTAATTGTTGAATACGTGAACGTTTTTCATGTAAATCATTTTGATTTTCTGAACAAACATTTTCCAATGTTGTTATACGAAGTAATGCACTATCTAATTCACGATTGAGACGAACTATAATTTCTTGTGAATTAAGAATTTGTGATTCAAGACCAGCAATACGAACATTTTCCGAATTAATAGAAGATGATTCTTCAGCTTCCATTATTATTGTAGACATATAGAACTTTATATAATAATATGTTTTTTTCTAAAATTTCCAAATATTGTCAATGTTAAAATTATTCGTTATAAAATGACAAGGTTTTGTAGCAATTTGTCTCAAGGTTGACACGTGGTTAATGCTAATAGTTGATGTTATGATAGAAAAACAGCATAGAATAATGAATATTATAATTATACCAGTTCTTTTGAATTTTAAAAGTAAATGTACATTTTAATTATTAGTAAAATAAATTATAATAGTAACAGCTGGTGAAATGAATAACCAATCGAATTTTACTATCAGGTGTCACTAGTATTGATTAAAAAGTTTTAATGATCACCAAATAATTATTTTTATACTTCGAAAGTCATTTAAGCGAAAATAATGAGTTACATACATTTTTTCCTATGAATTTGTGACATACATAGTCTGAATAGAAAAATAAGTGATTTATAAAATGTTGCAATACTTAAAAGAAAAAGGATTGCAGGTAGTAATTTCAAAATTATATTCATAAAAGATATTTGGAAGGAAAGCGTATAAACACTTGAGAGTTATGTATGCTATTATATCGATGTTATTGTTGTATATTAGTTCTTCAATTCAAGAACAAAATAGTGGTACATAGAACAGTAATAGAATTTTCTAAATAATGAACAACAAAACAAAATATAACATTGATCGCAATTGAAAATTTATACAAAGATCCTATCATTATATTCTTTTTCAAAATATTGCATTTTGAAATATTAAAATTGAAAATTTTTTATCATCATAAACTATAAAATATAGTTCGAATAAATATATATGAAAATTTAGATGCAGTCTATGACCAGCTTTGAATTTAAATAAATAGAAAAATAACAATAAGATTTAATATTATAATAAATAACTGAAGTGTACACTCTTCATATATATATATATAGAAAAAATGCTGTAATATTTTTCATTTAGATATACGGCAATTCACAATTTTTTTATCACAAATAATGATAATATTTGGAATAAATTCTTAGATTCCATTCATTGAGAAATAGAAATGAATACCGGCCGATCCATAATTTACCTATGTTGATTCCTGTGAAGATTCTCTCTTATTTCTAATCATTGTTTATTATCAATTGTAAGAATAAACGAAAAGTACAGTTCGTATTCTATATTCTATATTCTATTATTTCAATAAATAAAGCCGTTATATTCTTATCAGAGATGTCGCTGAGTTTTTATCATAGAAAAAAAAAGAAAACAAACAATTAACAACAAACGTTCTTAACTAAGAATCCAGTGAAATTTCTCTTTTCTATTAATCATGATCGAAGTCTTATTCTTATTAGTTGATTTTTCTTATTTAGATCTATTAAATAATTCTTTTTTTATTAAAAATGAATGACAATGGAGCTTTGACGAAGCGTATTGTTAAAGTATGTTTTCTTTTTTTTAAAAATAATTTTATTATAAATATTTCTTATTAGGAAAGTGCACGATTACTACAAGAACCAGTACCAGGTATTAGTGCATCACCAGATGAACATAATGCTCGTTATTTTAAAGTTGTTATCGATGGACCTGGTGAGGTATTCGTATTACTAGAAAATAAATTTAAAATTTTTATTTTTATATAATATAGAGTCCGTATGAAGGTGGTAAATTTAAAGTCGAATTGTTTTTACCAGATGAATATCCGATGGCACCACCTAAAGTTCGATTTATGACAAAACTTTATCATCCAAATATTGACAAATTAGGTCGTATTTGTTTAGATATTCTCAAAGGTATAAGAAATTGTATATGTCATTTTTTTATATTATGTTTAATTTTTTGTTTTTGATACAGAAAAATGGAGTCCAGCTTTACAAATTCGTACTGTTCTTTTATCTATTCAGGCTCTATTAAGTGCACCTAATCCGGATGATTTTTTGGATGCTGATGTAGCTGAAAAATGGAAAGCTGATGAAAAAGGAGCAAAAGCAATAGGTAAAATTTGTTTTCGACTAAAATATTAAAGAGATTTAGAGTATTTAAAAATATATATTCGAGTAATTATAATGAACAGTTTCAATTAAGTAGTATTCGAAGTAGTGGAAGGTTTCTTGAAAAATAACTACTATTTTTACATTATCAACATCACGAAGCCACACTGTGTGCTTCCGACCTTTTATATTTACGTGTTTAAAGTTCTTGTGATTATGTATACTGCTGTTCAGAGTAAGAATTCATGAGTATAAATAATTCTATGATCTCGTTAATGTCACCAAAATCTATTTAAAGACATAAAATGTGTATTTCAAATTGATATTAACTATTCTTAGTTTGAGATTCCATCGGAATTACTTTGACCTTCAAAGTTATGTTCAATAATAAAGAAAATATAATTACATATTATTATTAACATAACCATCAATAATTGATGTTTTTTTGAACTTATCAAAAGAAGATCTTCAGGATAATTATTCTAACTAGTAGCAATAATGTATCACTGGATTAAATTTCATCCGTTTTCAAAAAAATCATTAGATTCCCAACAATCGATTACAGTGATCTAATAGTATTTTTTTTATTTTAAGTTCATCGGTCTTCTGATAGTTATGTTGTTTATTTTTATTATTTTAGCTCGTGATTGGACTCAAAAATACGCACATGAACATTAGGAAAGTTATTTTTATTCAATTTGTTCGAATCATATTGCATTACGAACAATTTTTCAAATATTAGGACGGTGTATTTTCTTTTTCGTATTGTTCTCTTTGTATGTCTATAGCTTCTTTTTCCTTTGTTCGTTTCTCTAATCTAACAACAAAAATACATGTTGTAACAAACAACAACATATTTATAGCTAATGATTGTCTTTAAGATTGTTCATCTATTTTTAAAAAAAACATTTACGTCACTTTCCTTGTTCTTTTCGATTTTGCTGATGAATGACTATATGTACGAACATGAATAAAATAAAAAAAAAGCAACGGATGATATTTATTATAATTTTTATATTTACAACAAATCAAAAAAATTTATGACAATACTCTTACAGTACCTATATTTTTTTATCGAATAACACGAAAACAAGGAAGATTTTTATTATACTAATTAAGTCCTATATCATACACTTTTAAATATTCGTTTGTTTATGACTCTTCACGCTTCAATACACACTCCACATCATATATAAACTAAAAAATTCAGTCAAAAGTATTGTCGACCAACCACATTGCACATATTTTATTCGTATCGATTTCTATTTATTTAAAAAAATTCATGACATTTAAAAATAGTTAATTATGCCATTCATATCTAGTCAATACATACATCGACGATCAAATTATATAATAAAATATTTCAAGGTAATAGTTTTTCTTATTTTACTTTTTACTGTTTATTTACGATGGTCATTATTATCATCAAATAATGAGACAAAATTAATCGAACATGTAAATGACAATATATATTTACCAAGAGCAAATGTTCAATCAATAAAACATGGTCGATTAGATTTAGCAAAGTATATTCATCTTGATTTAAAAGGTGCACCACCAAAAGCAGAAAATTTTTATGAATTATTTTTTAATTTTCTTGAAAAATTACAAATGGGTATTAAAGGTGTTGTAATTGAATATGAAGATACACTTCCATTAGAAGGTAACCTTGCTAATGTAAGTATTTTGAAATATTGAAAATAAAAATTATTTTGATTTTTTTTAAATAAAAGATTACTCATCGAAATGGTTATACAAAATTAGATATGAAATTAATTGAAGAATCTGCAAAAAAAACATCAACTTGAAATTATTCCACTTATTCAAACATTTGGTCATTTAGAATGGATACTTAAATTACGTGAATATGAATCATATCGTGATGATCCAGATCTTCCAATGGTTATTTCACCATGTTTTAATTTAACTTATGTTTTATTCGAAGGTTATTTAAAATATTTTCATAGAAGAAAATATGTTTCTTAGATTATTTATTTAGATCTTTTACAACAAACATTGAATATGCATCCAAATAGTAATATAATTCATATTGGTTGTGATGAAGTTACGTTAAAAAATCTTCATCCTCATTGTCAAGCAAAACAAATGAGTGTTTCTGAAACATATATTGAGTAAGAAATGGAAAGAGAGAAAGAAAAAATTACTTCTATATTATTTTTAAGACATATACGACGTATTGTTGATATTGTGCGTAAAATTCGACCTGGAATTCGAATACTTATTTGGGATGATATTCTTCGAGGTAGTTCATTTATTCATAATGAAAAATTGGTAAGAATTTTATTTGATATAATTATATAGGAACTAGTCATATTCGTATTCAATGAACTTCAGTTTAGAATATATACAAATCATAATAGGATTATTACTATGATCAACAGTTGAATTTTCTGATGTTTATTGATTACTAAATACGCTCGATCATAAGTTGAAGTTCGTATTATGAGAATGATTATCACATTGAGTGAAGAAAATTTTATGTTCTTTCGAAGTGTAAACTCTGTGTGTCATAGGAAAATGTTGTTCTCAACCTTAGCCTTCGAATAGTTATAAATTAAAAAGAAAACTCGAATACTATGAACTTTCTTTTTCCAACTTATAAATCTTACAATAAGCTTTAATAGAGAAGAGTCTTGCAAACATAAATTGTCTGCTTGTGTGTCTGCACTTCACTCATCGGTCGAAGACTAATCTGGACACAAAAACGGTTGGTTTCAATCGAGATCGAGGAACACGAATCTGATGTTAGTTTTTTGAAATTCCTTTTAGGATCGTTTTTCTGCACAAAGGAACACTTTTCTACAAAACAAGATATTTTTTATAAGAGTTTGAAGATTCAGGAACTCAAAATCTGAAGTCGATGTTTGAAATTGTTTGAATAAATAGTTTACTGATAGTGAAGACACATCGTTTCTACGAGAAAGAATTAAGCGAGTCTCGAGACAAGCGTTACCTATGATCAGCATCAATCTTTGCTGACCAAATCGATATTTATTCTGTCTTTGAATAGTAATATTAGATGTCATGAACTTTTCCGTAGAAATTTCTTATATATCACAATAAACTTCATTATATCTTAACAATTAATTCTATTTAGCTTCGACAACTTGAAGGTCTTATTGAACCTGTATCATGGAATTATTATACAACATTTGATGATAATTATAAATCTTTATCTGGTTGGAATATTTATCCGAAATTTTTTAAAAATATTTGGGCTGCAAGTGCATTTAAAGGTGGTCTTCATCGTTTTTCAATGATAACAAATTCAACACATCATGTATTAAACAATCGCGAATGGCTTCATTTTATAGAATCATCAACTTTTCAACATAATCCAATTTCAGCAATTATACTTACTGGTTGGTCACGATTTGATCACTTCATGCCAATATGTGATATATTACCTACATCTTATGCATCACTTCTATATAGTTTACATGTATTAAATACAGATGAATATCTTGTTGATGATTCTAATCGTGATTGTGATATCTTATTAAAATCAATTAATAAAGAATCAACATTATGTGATACATTACCAGGTAATTATATATAAAATCTAAAGAATTATCATAGATTTTAATATTAAGGTCGTTCAATTTGGTCAAGTATATTCTCTTTAAAATTTCATTTATTAAAAATTCAAAATCGTTTGAAACTTTTAAATACTATTGCACCGGAATATAATCGAAAATATTTATTTGTACGTCGTTATGATCTTAAATCACGTTTGTCTGAATTACAATTTTTATTAAAAAAATTATTACAAAATAAACAAAAATTAAATCAACATTTCAGTAATCTGTATTCAAAAGATGTTATTGATGAATGGATTGATCTTTATTTAACGCCAGTGGAAAATCAAATCAATAGAACATTCATTGAATATGCACCTGTATATCATAAAACAATTTGGGAACGACGACCACTTACCTAATGATAATAATAAACATTTTTTTTATTCGCTTCTGAATACAAAATAATAAATACAAAGAAATAATTATTAGCAATTTACTTGCTATATTAAGTATTCCGAAATATAATAACAATAGTGATACCTAGAACAATTATAGTAAGTATAATGAATGATTCCATATAGGAATTGTCAAGACAATAATAACATGATCATGCTCGAACAAAATTTCTATTGTCATTCTGTCTTAGAATTCATCGTTGTCTCTAACACGCAAGTCAGTTAATTGAAAATAATATGCCCTTTTATTGAATACGATCTATAAAGCACACACATGTATATATATATATAATTTATACTATCGTAAGTAATTAAAAATAGAACTAAATAATTCATGATTATCATTACTAGTCATGAAAATGTCTATGAATTTATGTTTAAATATCATAGGCATTCATTGATTATGATCTTTTCAGTTGATTTAATAATACAAAATGATACTTTAATTATTAAGAATTTAGATTTTTTATTTTTTTCAGAATTCTCTTTTCTTTGTATTGTTAAAAAATACTTATGAAAGTTAATAAATGACTCTTCTTGATGCCGCATTAATTTGTCACATCTTTTTAGATTATTTGAGCGTATAAATTCAATTGTGACATATGCCTTTTTCCTCTCTAAGTATAATATATATATATAAAGTGTTGGAATGGAAATACTAATAGTATGACGAAAATTGAATCTATTTGTATATATAGAATTATTATCGTCTACACAATTTTCTAGAGATCAGTTTTGTTTTTTAATTAAATATCTTTCGAACTTCATTTATTTATACTATATAGACTGCATTGTAACAAAAGTTCTTCAATTTAATACAATGTCTATCATCAATTTTTAATTATAGATTGTCACATATTCATACTTGAGATAAATAAATGAAAGACTAACTGTCAATATAATAAGATATTGCATTTTATCGATGTGTTTCTTTTCTATTCTATTCCAAATAACTATATATTAGATCGATGTACGTTAACTTCTATTGAAGATTTTCTTTGTTCTTCTTGCGTGAGACGACGATAATTATCTATTTTCTATGAATATCTATAATAATAATAAAAATACGTATTAAATGATGTCAATTATCACTTGTCTGTCAGAATTTCAATAGAAATAATTATTCTATGTACAATTGATTTCTTTTTAATCAACAGCATATATATATCTTAATGATTTACACATTATATTATTCCCTACTGTCATCATTAAAGATGATGTTATTTCGATCAAGATCTCGCATGAAATCAGTCCCTATATAACAGTCTGAATTAGATTAGGCAAAATACATGCGAAGGAATTAAATAAATGAATGAATGAGAGTAGAATTTTATATGAGAATATGTAATATTCAATAACAAAAAAAAACTATTTTAGTAAAATGTTTTTCTTTCAAATAATGTATATTTACATACCAATAAATATAAATATAAAATTTTTTCATTAGAAAAAAAAAGCTAATCTGCTTGCCTTATATTATTTCCTCTAGCATGTGTACATAAGATGCTTATTCCGATTGAAAATTGATTTTTCTTTTAATCAATCGCGACATAAGAGTATTAGAACATTATTTTATTAGAAAGAAAAAAGCAGGAAGGTAGTGTTACTTAAGGCAACTTCCTTTTATTATTCTAGAGTTTTTTCATACTGTCTAAAATTATTTATTATCAAAATATGAATAGAATTATTTTCTATATCAATATATTTTCTTTTCAAGAAAATTTATAATTATAAATATTTCTTTTTTTTTATATTACATATAATTAATCATTCATATATCTCAATTAGTTGTTATTCAATTGTATGTAGAAAAAAAAATCTGTCTTTTTTTAGCATATTTTTTCTAGTAATTGATAGAAAGAATAATAAGAAAAGTAGTTCATCAATAATATAATAATTTGTATAGATATGATTAAAATAATCAATTTCGGTTTCTTCTTCTTTTTTTTTCCTATTAAAATTTAGTAGATATATGCAGATGATAAGTAATGACAATATTATTATCATTATCGTTTGTTTAGATATAATATGTAGTAGTGAATAGGAATCTTTTCTATGTTCTTCTTTATCTCTTTAGTTTTATTATTGATGTGATCAATTTAGATGCAGACATAGAGAAAAGAAACCAAGCAGAGTGTTCTCCGATTTTTATTAGCATCTCATCGGTTGAGATGTATGCTTAGATATTCAATATTCTTCTTCTTCTTTTTTCTTTTAGTTGTTCCACACTATTACTCTATTTTCTATTAAATGTAAAGCAGCTATCATTGCGTTTGGTTTTTGACAACGACAATATTATTTGTCATAATTCCGATGCCGTCGTTTTTATTACATTCAATAATTTATTCATTCATCATACGAAGACGATTATGTTTAATTATGTCTGTCAACGGTCATTGTCGACCATTTCAAAATCACTTAAATTTAATTATAAAATTTCAATTATTTTTATATTATTTAATTTATTTAATTTATCTGTTGTATATGGTAATGAATCACAAACAATTGAAAAATTATCATTACAAAAAATTTTTAAACAACGACATATTTATCAAACAAAAAAATTACTTCGTATAATATATTTTCGTGAATATGATATGACTGTTGACGAAAATCGTATTAAAAATGATGTATATAATCTTACGGAATTATATGGAATTGATTTAAAATTAAATATTCTTGATCAATCAACATCGATATTAACTAAAAAATTATGTTCATTAATATCAGAAGAACAACGTGATACAATATTTATTGCTGATTTATATACCAAAGAAATTGATTTAATGTCCCGTGCACTTAAAATTCCTACAATTGCTACAACAAATCGATATCAAATTGTTCAAGGCAAATTGGTAAAAACAAAATCTTAAGAAAAAAATATATATACATGTCATTTTTCTTTAGCATAATCCTTATCTTTTTAAATTAATGTCAGATCCTATCGAAGAAGCACAATCAGTAGCATATGCTCTCGATACACGTTCAGTTTATACTCGAATTGGTAAATGAAATTTTTTTTGTCTATTTGAAAATAATTCTGATTGATTTATTTAGCTTTAATTTATGATCTATCAATTGATATGATTGAATATCGTATATCATATCTTCGTATTGCTAAACAACATATTATTTATCGAGCACATTTACCACGTATATCATATTTAATTAATCTTCGTCATACAACAAGAAAAATAATTCGTGATTTAACACATATTAATATTGATCTTATTTTATGTATTATGTCAACTGAACGTGAATTACAATTTCTTCGTTTTATTGAACAATATAGTACAGTATCAGAAAGAAATATATTATTAAATAAAACAAGTTGGTGGTTTGCTTCACGACTTGGTGAAATACGTAATTTAACATATTTTCCAAAAATTTATACAGCAAATGCTGATCGACGAAAATTATTTGGTTATTTTTCAAATTCAAGTATGAAAATGTTATTTAATGCTGTTATAAGAACATATACTCGTTTACCAGTTTCATCATCATTTATTGGTACAACAAACTGTGCTATTCAACAAACCATACATCAATTAAAAAAGACACATATGTTTATTAAGTAAGTAATCGATAATAGAATTAATTGAAACTGACAATATTTAAATTAAATAAATAGTGAGAAAATGAGAAGTTCATCATAATGAATGACTTTATGTTATTCCAATGTGAATATATGCATCAATTAGTATAGTTTTAGTTCTTTGACAACGAGCTTATTTTTGTGTACTCAAAGAGTCAGTACACTCTAGAATCGGTCAGTGTGTCCGTCCAGCCGTATACACGATAACTTTCGAAAGGAGCGGCAGATTTTGATGAAGTTTTCTATACAATTCAATCTCATTAAGATCTCGGTCCAGTTCATATTTGAGCCTAATTGGACGAGCCACTCTCGAGTTATTGCAAAAATACTGATTTCCGTATACAATTTTTGCAGTACACATAACTCTCGGATAAAATCCGGAGTTTCCGCATTTATTCTTTTTGAAGTAACTAATTATTAATTAGCTTCATTTATCTTTCGAGATGTATCATAAGTATGTATATAATACGTTCTCTACATTTATAGCAATATGAGATAGAACGATAAATAGATAGTTGATATCTTGAGAACTCAATTACCTCATGGCCGATGATGCATATTGCGTCATTTGTCTTCAAGCCGTTAAATATTTTACTCAGGGGCACAGCGAGATCTCCAAGGCGGGAGGGAGGCGCAAAATTTCAGTACTTTAAGCTCTAAAAGCAGAGAGCACAACTCCTTTCTTGCTTAAATCTAACGCCAAAAAACACGTAAAAACCCTTGTTTTTGATTTTATTGACCAAAATAAAACTAAAACTTTTCAAAGCAGGGGGACGTAACATCCCATGCACTCTTTAGTCGCTACGCCCCTGATCTGCTATTAGTATACTAACAAAACTTGTATATACTTGTTGATTTTTCGAATACTCCACATTGTTCAGCGAAGATTAGTATTAGATTCTGTACTTTGAAAAATATCGTTCATTGATATTCATATACTGATAAAGTTTCATTATCTAATAATATAAGAAGAAAAATGTATAATTATAATCTGAACTAAAAACATTATTGACATGTATATTATACATGAAAGTATTCTTCGAAATTTTTTGTCTATAAAGTAGTGGTAAAAGTTTCTTGGAGAAATTGATAATGTAAATAAAATATTTTTGTCCTGTTATTTTACTATTGAATACAAAATCGAATTAAATATCTCTATTCGATCGGATAGTTTTCAATGATATTTTAAGTGAAGAATTCATATTGATATTTATTACTTAATACTAACCCCTTGAAATTGATTTTTCATTTATTATTAATTGTAAAAAGTAGATTCACACATATGTTCTACATCTTGTTATATATGATAGCACTTGAGTGTTTTTACATTATACTATAATACAATTATAACATTCCGCAATATAATTATTATCATTGATATTAATGTCTATTTATTTCGGATGTTCTATAATAACTCTCAATTCAATCCGTATTTTTAATACGTGAATTCATACATCCTTGAAATGTAATTAATTCTTTTAAACAAAAATTTTATATTTAAAGATTATTTACAAATTATACGGAATGGAGTTGTGATATTCGTGTTGGTTCTGGTATTGATCCAATTTTATTTGAACCAGATACTCTTCTATGGCGTGTTCCAACAATATTTATGGTAAAATATATAAAAGAATTCTTTTTTTTATTTTTGCTTTGAATTTAGGTTCATACGGAACATTTATGTCAAGGTATGATTACTCGTCTATTCTTTTCATCAAATAATAATGCTGAACAATTATTTCGTTCATGTCGTCCATTAACTTCATCATCACGTAAAAGTTCATCTTCAACTCAACAAGATAATTCAAGTCTAATAACATCATCAAATGCACTTGTTAATTTAAAAAACTATCATCAAATGTTTGGTAGTTTATCAAGTGGTGGTAAAGCAGATGATTGTCAATATGTTCATATGCAAACAGTATCAGAAAAACCAATTATTGTTGGTGTTGTTGAACCACCATATATATTTGTATCCGATGCTCAAATATCATCGGAATTTCATTGTAATTATGGTATACCATGTTATCAAATTGATCCATTATTAATTAATTTTACAACAGATGCACTTTTTTTTCATTCAAAAATGACAACATCACCACATTGTTGTTATGGAATTTCGATTAATCTTTTATTACGTATAGAAGATTCAAGATTAGTTGCGCCATTACAAATAACAAAATTATTTGTTTTCTCTGATAAACCAAATAAATGGTTAGCATTAACAGAAGCATTAAAACATCATCGAGCACATTTTTCAATATCAGCTATACCTTATGAATCATTTTTTGCACGTTCAATTGATTTAACACCACCTTTTTATCATTCATCCTATGTTATTTTAACTGTACCACCACCCACAGGATTATCATTAGGTGCATTTTTACAACCATTTTCATGGCCAACATGGTGTATTATATTTTTATTATTAACTATTACTGCTTTATTTGAAACATTTTTTGAATGGCATAGTCCTTATGGGTAAAAATGATGAAGAATAATATTTTTGTTAAAAATTTTCTTTTTTATTTATAGTTTAACACCGAAAGGTCGTCGTCGACATATAATATTTAGTTTAGCATCAGCATTAACACTTAGTTGGTCGATTATTTTTTCACATACATTTAAAACCAAATCTCCAAAATGTTGGTCAAATCGATTTTTAGGCAATGCAAGTTTCAGACATAAAAATAAACAAAAATATGTATTATTTTCATTCAAATTAGGTTTGGGGTGGTTTTTGTATTGTATTTATTGCTATTTATACTGCTAAATTAGCTGCATTTATGGTTGAAACTGATAGAACACAAATGGCAAGCAATATTCATGGCATATTTGTAAGTTTGAAATAATTATAAGCGCTTATCAAACGAATGTTTAAATATAAAAATATGTTGTAAATTTTCCAGTTCCTTTAAGTAAACGTACTTTCGAGTGTTTTATCTAAGTTTCCTTTTTTGGATGAGCGAATCGAAATTTAGGGTGGGCAGCGTTCTTCCAGCGCTCACCCATTGGATAAAGCACTGGTAGTTTCGTTTGTTTATTTTGAATATAGCACTTTTTCTTTTAAATACAAGTAACGCCCGTTCAAGGACTCGCTTAGCTCTTTCTCGTAGAAATCCATTTTCTTCACATTTACTGGAAAAACAAATAAAAACCGTGAAAAAATTGATTTTCGATGTTCTTTTTACCTTTGACCCTACCCCCTCCACATGGTCACTCAATGAACCTCAGATTTGAAGTCACCCCATCGAAATACGTCCAGAAGTGTCTTTTTTGAAAAATTGGTTTTCGATGTTTTTTTGACCCTGCGGACACACAAGCAGATAATTTATGTTTACTGGATCTTCTCTACCAAAAAGAGAATAAAATTTCATGTGAAAGATTATTTTTACTATTACATCACTTATAATTAACTGAACGAAAAGTGAGTTCGTAATTAATAAAGTTCTTCGCTCATTCGAAATTCAAATTTCGATTCAACGTCAGGTTTGAATAGCACTATGCACATATTCGGACTAAACATAATGTCAACATACCGCTTTCTATAGTTAAATATAAAACTTCTGTATATTATATATTGTTCTAATCTGAACTTGATCGATGGATTCGTTTTTGAACTATTTGACTCATATTTTCAATGACGGTACTATCTATTTAAATCGAATAGCCACTTCATAAATAATAGAATTATTTATTTGCATCAAATGACTAACAAATCCTATCCGATTTCTTTGACAATGTTGAATGAAATCTCATGAATAATTGGATTATACTTGTCCTTCACCACTAATCAAAGAGCATTAAATTCAACCTTATTAATTGTCTTCTATTAAGGATGTATGTCGTAGTATGCCTCGATGTATTATCGGTGTTGTTGCTAATACAAGTGATGAAGAATATTTAAAAATATTTTATACGAATACACTTTATCGTCATATTTATTATATATCATCTTATTCACATGGTATTGAATTACTTCGTGATCATATTATAACATATCTACTTATGGATCATTCAATAGCAAGATATTATTTAACACGAGATGTTTCTAAATTAATTCGTATTAGTGGTGATAATTTTGGTGCATTCGGTTTATCATTAGGTTTTTCTAAATTTGATACGGATTTAAAAGAAAATATAACCAATATTTTATTATCTTATATTGATAAAGGTAGCAAAAAGAAATATTTTTTCAAATAATATTTTTTATATAAAATTTAGGTATTATACAACGTCTTCATGATGATTGGTATGTGTATGAAAATTGTGAAACAAAAATATTAGATGAAGTAAATTTTCAATTGATCTTAATTTTGATTAATATCTTTATTTTTTTTTTCTAGAATCTTGAATTACCTGTTGATCGATTTTTTGGTGTATTTATGTTATTACTAGGTGGTATACTCGTTGGATTAATTATACTTGGATTAGAATGGTTAATATTTAAATATGCGGTACCATATTGGCGACGACGACAATGGCGTGGTTGGCTATTTTATTCACAAGTATAAAATTATAAAAATGTAGAATATGACATATTGCTTTTGTTTTTTTCTTCTAGCGTTTATATGCAGTATTAAATGTATCCGACGAAGTTTATAATCAAGCTTATTGTTTATCAAAAAATAGTTCATTAAACTGTGTTGGAGAACGGTTTGTATTGATTTTTGTTTTGTTGATATTATAATTCTTCTATTTATTTTGTATATTATAGTCTTCATAATTATTCAACACGATGTGATAGTTTAGATTTACATGTTGTTGATGTTCCGAAATTATTAAATACAACTTATCAATTAAAAGAACAAATAAATACAATACGTGAACAACAACAAATGTTACTTCTTCCTCCTAATGGTGATTTAAAAATAAAAAAAGATAATTGTGATGAAAAACAAACTATTCAAAAACGTATTAATGAACTTGAACAGGAATTAAATCATTTAAGATTACAATTACAAACAAATAATTCTTAAATATTTATTTCGTATATATATTATTGGTGCTATGTTATATACATATTTTTGTGGATAGTAGCTATTCATCCAATGTATGGATAGATAGTCATTAAATTGTAAATCAATAAAAGAATATAACTTAAATGAACTCTATTTCACAAGTAACGCTCGTTTAGAGACTTGCTTAACTCTTTCTCGTAGAAACGATGTGTCTTCACTACCAGTAAACTATTTATTCAAACAATTTCAAACATCGACTTCACATTTTGAGTTTCTCGATCTTGATAACTCTTATAAAAAATATCTTGTATTGTAGAAAACTGTTCATTTGTGTAAAAAAAACGATCCTAAAAGAAATTTTAAACAACTAACATCAGATTGGTGTTCCTCGATCTCGATCAAAGTTTATTGAAACCCATCGTTTTTGTTTCAAAATTAGTCTTCGATCGATCAATGAAGTGCGGACACACACGTAGACAATTTATGTTTGTAAGACTCTTCTCTATGGGAAAGAGAGTAGTCAATTCTTTTGATTTTCTCATGAAAATCTATCTTACATTTATCAATCAGAACGTAGAAAAATATTCGATCTCTTTTCAAAATATATACATAAAAAAATAATCACTTAAGAAAAGTCCAAAACAACTATGGAATTTAAAAATTCATTAACCAAACAATCTGAAATGTTCTCATCTATCAATAAGATAGTTGTTTTTAAAGCAGAATGATGAAAACAAACTCTTGTTTTTGTTGACCCACACTTAAGAATACATTTGAATAGCAACAATAAAAAGAAAGCCAGACATCTGTGTTTTGTTTTCTTTTGTTTCACAGTAATGCATAATAGCATTATAAAAAGAGAGAAAAAAGAGAAAGAAAAGTGTTAGTTGTTTTTTTGTCATTTCGTTTGATTTTTAGTTGAGAGTTAAGCAACAAACAGCAATCATGAGTATGGAAGCACAATTTTACGAAGCAAAACGTCGTCAACGTGCTATTGAACGACGTCAATCTCATCGAAATCCGCATGAAATGGCTAAACCAGTTCGACAAATACAATATCAACCATTACAACCATTCAATCTTCCTACTCGTTCATTTCATCATGAAGATAATCGTATGCGATGCACATGTACTCCTATGCATATGATGATATTAGATGATAGTGTACCAGTTTCATTCGAACGTAGTCGAGATATTTATCCGTAAATATTTTTTTTTTATAACAAAAATAATTTTCTTTTTACTATTAAATCTTATTAGTCGACCAAAAACAACAGCTGGACCAGGAGCAAATGCTACACCACGACGATTTTATAAAGATCCTATACTTACTAGTCGATTTAGTGTATGTTATTTTATTGAATATCTACCTAGGAAAATTATTTTTACTTTTTTTTTATTCTAGTCGACTGAATATAAGCAACAATGGTAAACACATTAATGAATATATACGCACGTTATTATTTATAAACTTTGATAAGAAAAAAAAAACAATTTTATGCGAAAGAAAGCTTAACCTGATTCATATTTTTCTTTTTAAATTATCACATATTTTGTATTAAGAATAAATAATAAATTATAAAGCATTATTTATTTTATTTCAATATGGTGACAATGATCAAAAACAAATTTCGAATGCTTTTTAAATAGAACAGAATACACTAAAGTTACTTCCGACAAAATCAGTTTTTCGATTCTTATTGAAATAAAAGTTGGTTGCTAAGAAATTCGAAATCATGACTGTAACAATCGAGCATGAGGTTAAATATGTTGGTATCTTTTTGATTCGCAAGAAAGGAAAAATGTATTAATTACTAGTTTAAACAAAGTTTTGAATAGAAAATTCGAAGTGCAGACAGCTGACGTTTATAAGTATATATATATTACCTTTTTTTATAACAAAAATTCTTATTGATCCAGGTTCTTTTTCAAGTTGCACTTATATAGATATTCATACTTGTCATTCAATTATTAGATATATTCTAATCATGAGATTTCAACGAACACAGCAGAATTTTCGATTATAATGATGTTGTAATCAAACTCAAATTTAATTACAAGGACTGATCAAACTGTTTTTCGAATCATCTATATTATTTAAATATAAGAATTCTATTGTATCTTTAATATAAACCCTCGATTGAATTTTCCCGACTATTGTTTGTTTATCAAGTGATTTACACGTGCATTATATTTATCCTTGATTCTCTGCCTAACATAATACTATGGGAGAGTGATAGTGAATCTTCTTTTCTCTTCTTCTTCTTCTCTCGTGTTCGACGATTTTCTTTCGAGAATAAATTAAATCAGTTCGTTTTTTTTTATATTCATCGAGCATATACAATATCTAGCAGTATAAATCGATTTAAATTTAGTTTAAAAAAATGTCAATAAGTACGTAGAAAACATACATTTATATATATATTCTTTTTTAAACAAATTATTACTAGGTTCTTATCAATCGATATTGAATAATAATATAACTGCTTTATCAACAATGTCAACCGGTTCTTCAATATCAAATTCGTCATCAGGTTCAACGGGTAGTAATGCACCGGTATCATTTGCTGCTGCTAATGTTGTACGTGGTATGATGGAAAAAGTTTTAACTACACCACCAATGGGTTCTGGAATGATGTCTTCATCTACAAATATTGCTCGATTATTTAATGAAAATGATTATTTATCATCACCAGGACTCGATTCAGATTTTGGTGATACATCGCCATTACTTTGTACAGGTTCATCAAATAATTTAGCACATCAATATCTTCGTTCAGCTATGAGTAGTAATAATCATAAAGAACAACAACAATGTCAACATACAAATTTTCTATCACGGTAAAACTTCTTCATTTTTTTGAAAATATTATAAATTTTATATTTCTAGTCATTGTTTACCACAAACTACTCGAACAATGCATAGTCCATTTTCACATCATCAATTTACAGATTTAACAAATTTAATTGATTATTCACCACCATCAACATCTCTAACAACATCTCATGATCATATGAATATATTTTCTGATTCCGATGATACAAATGATTCAAATGGAAATAAAAAATTTATTGCTAAACGAGCACAAATTGGTAAGAAAAAAAAGAAATAATTTAACATTAATAGATTTTTTTGATTTTTTTTGTTTAAGATATGACTAAACAAGTAACAGATGCTCGTGCTTTGTATTTTATGTTAGGTATTAAAATGAAATGTAAATTTTGTTTTGAAAATGGTGAATCATTTGAAGTTTATCGTTCACATATGTTACGTAATGGAGCTGGAACAATACTTTGTCCAATACTTCGTGCTTATGTATGTCCAAAATGTGGTGCTACTGGTGATTTAGCACATACATTACGTTATTGTCCATTACATCAATCACCTGGTACTAGTCAATTACTTGGTAATGTTTTTGATTAAAAATTCTAATAATAGGAACTTAAAATGTTGTTTTTTTTTTGGTGTGCCAATACAAATATTTCTTGTGTATACTCTAATGTAGAAACGATAAATATATTAGTTTTTGTCTTTCCGCATATATCATATTATTAATAATTTTCTTCTATTCAAAATAATAATTCTTTCTCTTGTCACTTGTTGTTATTATATTATTGTTGATTGATAAAGTCCACTAAAATCAAAAATTTCGTCAGTGGCAATGTTTCTCTTTTTTTCTTTTTGTTCCGTTGTATATGTGTATGTTTTATGTGAGAGAGTTATTTGTCTATGTATAAGTGTGTGGTTTTTCTTTTCGTTTATTCTTGTGTTTATTGTCTCAAATTTTGAGTCAAGAAATTGTTGCAGTACGTTTTTCTTTTTTTGTTTTAATTCATGAAAAAAGTCAGATGAAAAAAAAAGAACATATGATTGACAATAAAATAAATGAAGAATGATTATTATATGAATATTTTAATGATTATTATATTAAAGATTTTTCGGAAACAATAATATCGGTTCTCTAATCAATAGAATATTGGATTCTTCGAAATGTGTACCTAGATTTACAGTAAAAACGCCGAAAGAAAACAGGTCGAAAAATGAATATCGACCGAGAGAGAAACAACAGAGACTTCACGCCTGAAGTCTTCTAGAATTTCTATGTATTCATGTATTCCACGAGGAGACGAGAAATAAACAACAGAGACTTCATGCATAAAGTCTCATGAAGTCTTAGAAGCCTATTGAAGTTTTGTGAAGTCTCTTGAAATCTTTTGAAGTCTATCAAAGTTTCCTGAAGTCTTTCGAAGTCCTGAAGTCCGCTGTTTTCCCCTACATATCGACGCAAAAATTCATCGAAGAAAATAATGTTGATCGTAGAAAATGTCGAAAATTTTGAGATGTCATTATTAAACGATACTGAGGGTGTGGATGTAGGTGTAGGTAGAATAAGAATAAAAACGCCGACACTCGGACTCGCACCGACACCTTAATTTCCTATACTAATATATATATATATGCTCTTTTTTGTTCATCTTCCTCATAAAACATTATTTTCCATTCATTCGGCATTTTCAGTACATACCGTGTACCTTACATCAACCAAATTTAAGCTTAAAGCAAATCCTTATGTATTAAGCACGATCTGACAAGAATACTGGCATATCCAATTATTAATTGAGATTCTCTTTCTGTGTCGTGACTATCAGTTTGATTATAGTATTACGAGTTGTGACACATTTTTTCTAAAAAAAAGAAAGCTAAAGGATTGTTCTAATTATAATTGGTGATTGAAGAATACATTAAGTATAGACAGTAGTTTCATTGATATAAGCCTTACAATCAAAAATAAATTTTCTTCTTTTTTTCTACGGAATTTGATTGTATATATTTCATTATACTTCCTAGTCGTAAGTCTTATACATGACCAATGGTAATATAGATTGTCTGATACCTGTTTCATAAGAGATTTCAATAACATTTCACTTTAAATGAAAAAAATTGACAACCAGAATACCGACGATCTGTTAAATACCAATAAAACAAAACCATGATGTGTGCATATAAACTATTCATTCATCTCTACAATGCTATTGAAAAATTCTAATGACGAGACAGAAATTCCATTATTCATCGTCGACTTGTCTATTTCCTGAAATATCCCATAATGTTATCAAAGGATCTGAAGTCGCATTATATACTCAAAGTTGTTCATTTCTGAATTTATTCTACAAAAACTCCAGAAACCAACTGTTAAATCATCGGTAACGATAAGCTAGGATTGAATGATTATTAGATTTTCTATTTATACGCAAAAAAAATTACAGTTAAGTCTACTTTTATAAAATATAGAGTCGCACTTTCCTAATTGCAATAATTTTTCATTACAGAAATTTTGCGTAGACAGCATTCATTATATACTTAAAAGATTTTCTCAATTACGAAATAAGATTATGTAAAAACTCTTGATTCATTCTAAAATACATCTTTTGATGTTATGAAGAGGTTGTCAAAATTTATATTTTCAATCAAGGCTATCTCTAAACAACATTGGTACATATTAACTCTTATAATAGCAAAATCTATTGTTTGCAATCAAATCCAAGGACATATGCATCAATATTTCTATCTTATTAACATATCTTTTCATTCCAGTTGACATGCTTCTAATTCAATTATCCTCATGTCCAATACAAATTACATTGTTACATCAATCCAATTATCACCCTTAGCGCTACATTGTATATACATGTATCTTTCCTATCAATTGCTTATCCTTGTTACATACATACATCTGTGTATCTAATCCATGTCAATACTATCGACAATTATAATTTTCTTCAAAAAAAAAACGTATTAATCTTCTTCAATTTTTTTATTATAAAAATAGAAAAAAAACCACGCATACACACAAATAGGATTAATAGGGAGGGATATTAACAAAAAAATGCACAACAACAAAATACATTGGAATGAGAAACAAAAGAGAGAGAAAACAAAACACTTTATACATGTACTAAAGGCATTTGTTTTGATGATGGTAATGAATATTTACTTCCATTAATTTTTGTATGTTTATAAGAATAATTTATTCCGTAATCATCTCTTCCACGATGATTTGCATAATGATAATGATGATTTTCATGTGTAGGTTTACAACATAAACAACGACAAAAAAAATTTTTCCATGATAAAATTGTTTTACTATTTAAATTAATCCATAAACCTGTTGTTATACCAACAATTAATAAGAAAAAATATTTTCCCATATAAATTGTAAAATTTGGTTGATTTGTCCATGATGAATATGATCGATTAGGACAATTATTACAATGAAGATTTTCTTCCCATGCTAAACGATAATGAAGTTCATAAAAATAAATTCCAATAACCTTAACAAAAACAAAATCATCAATCGTATATAAAATTACAAAAAAAAGAATTCTTACAAAAGTTGCTGGAACAGTATAAAGAATTGAATATAAACCAATTCGTACCATTAGTTTTTCTAATTTATTTGTTTTTGTACGATCTTGATTTTTCATTACATTTCTTATACGCATTAAACTTATTAAACCACCTAATAAAAATATTGTTCCGATTGTTAAAAATGCAATTAATGGTAAAATAACAAAACCACGTAACATTGATGAATCTGTATGTCCAACATAACATATACCACTTATGGGATCACCATCAATACCATTTAACATAAGAATTGCTATTGTTTGTAAACATGGTAAAAGCCATGCAATAAGATGATAATAAAGTGAATAATGAGCTATTGCTTCTGATGACCATTTAAAGCCTGCAGCAAGAAACCATGTTAATGTTAATATTACCCACCATATAGATGAAGCCATACCAAAAAAAATATGTTAATACAAAAACAAATGCACAATTTGATGGACCTGATACACGAACAAGTTGAACATAAGATGTTAAATCAGCCTTAAAATAAGAAAAATTTAATCGTAAAGAAACCACATTCTGAAAAGATATTAGTTGTTACGTCAGAAAGTCTATTCTTATTAAATCCCCCGTAGGAGCAAAAATCGCCGTACGGGGGTAGGGCGCTTTTTCCACAAAAAAAGGTGCAAGTTTCGGAACCATAATACAAGAGCCCGCGCCTTTTATTATGAGGGGGGGGGGGTATGTTATATTCCTTTCAGATGATTTTTGTTTTATTATATCATAAATGTATTTACCTTATTTTCTAATCGACATGCAACATTTTCATGTCCTAATCCTAAACGTATTAAATAACCACATGAAACAAAAAAATAACATAATGCCAAAAATATAATTGGACGTTGTGGATATTTAAATCTTGTAATATCAATAAAAAATGTTAATAAAACAAATGCACATGATATTGCACATAATGAACTTAAGAAAGTTAACCACATATTCATCATTGATTTTGATTGTTCATCAGAAAAATAGGGTGAATAACATGGTGGAATACATCGTTGAATTGATTCATCATCAATAAGACGATAGCCTAATGATGTATTGCATTGACAACATGATGATTTAGACGAAGATGACGAAGAACGAGAAGATGGTAATTTAGGTAGATTTTTCGATGATGATGCTTCATTTTTTCTTGGATCCATACAAATAGAATTTTCACTACTCGATGGATATTGTTCACATTTTAATGCATCTGGCCATATGAAACCATATCGTGTATAATATGATTCACATGGTGTACGAACTCGTTCACAAACCTAATAGAAAAGTATTAATAATGAACGAAAACATAAAAAAATTTTATTTTTCTTCTTACTTCACGACATGGTGGAATTGTTTCAGAATAGTTTGGTAAACATAATGGCATATAAATTGAACAAAGTAAAAAACGAAGTTCAGATGAACATCCAACAGCAATTAAAGCTGTAAATTGATTGATCTAAATTAACAATGATTTTGTTTTTTATCTGATCAAAAATATTCGCTCTTATTTGACACGTAGTTATTTCACACTCACTCATTATATCCTATGAACTAATATTTGAACTATTTCCCAACGGAAGCCTTTTAACATTCGACATAAATACTTTTTTTCTTCTATTGACACAGTCATTCTTTTCTAATGATATCATAATATACATTGTTTATTTGTCAGATCATTTATAAGGTCAGACAAATGTCAGAATAAGACTTTGCTGTCAGGATACAATATATACACATATTCGCACCTATCGATTAGCACTTTAGTAGGCGGATAAAAACAAGTTAGTCTTATCATACTTGATAATATGAACAATTATCGATATATACTAATTTTGTTATTCATATGATGTAATTATTATAACCAAAAAATCGTTTTTTTTTCTCGCTCTCTCCTATTCTTACCACAAGTGCAACATCTTTTTGATCTTGATGATTAAATTTATTCGGCAAATATGTTTGATTATATCCAATATTTTTACATTCATAATAAGTTATTGCTTGACACTGTTGTTGCTGTGGTTGTTGTTCGCCATTTGCTAAGCTAATCTTTGTTATTATTAGGAAAAATAGTAGTAGTAGTTGTTGTTCGAATAATCGATTCATGTTCTTATTGTATTAAATGTGTATTTATGTATACGTCCGATATATATATATATATATATAAATGAAGGTAAAGAGAGAAGAGAGAAAAAAATAATGATCTATAAGAGAAAAAAAAGAAAAGAAAATTTCTTTTCTATAACAGCTGGATATATGAACTGTCGCTGTTCAATTTGACACACAAGAAAAAGAGAATGAACATGTCACCAATTAGATGATGAGATACCTTAGACATGGTATAATTACAGAAATGAACATGGGAACGGAAAGACATTCTTATTCAAGAATGTTTGCCTATTCAACGATGTATTAATTTGATTTTCATACTACGTGCATGTGCAAATATAGTAATTGTTTTAAATATATTCTCAAGCTTTGATGTAGTAAATGAACATTATTTCTATAGTTGAACAAAAGAAGAAATAACAAGGCCGTTCTTTCTTAAATTTTGTATGCATACAGATATAAAATACTTCGTCATCTATTTTACTTACCATACACTTGAATAATTATCTTCTTTTCTATTTTTTCTCATCGTGTTAAGATCAATAAAGACGATACACTCACATGCACGAACAAATCCATCTACTAAAAATGGCATCTCGTCGTACGCGACAAAACAGAATAAGAAATAGAACGAACCAAGCAAGAAAAGAAATATTGTAGAGCAAAAAGAAAAAAGAAAAACGTACTATCAACAAATAATCATAGTAACAGAAATAACTCTTTGGGGAATTGTTAAGTTGACAAGGATATTCTCTCTATTTTTAAATGAACAAATAATAAAACCTTGTAGTCGTCTATTCACTTGTAAAGAACAAAATAGAAATATCAATACTAATTAGAGACTCTGTTGGTGTCTGTCTGACATATCATTGTTTTGTTGCTATTACACAAAATGTTGAATCAAACAAAGAAGCTCTACACGTTAGATGATAAGAAGACTGATTCTAACTCAGCAGTCAGATTCAGACATTCATCTATTAAAGACAGCAGTAGCTTAGAGCAAAAGAAGATCGACATTACGTAATCATATAGATGTGGGTATATATATATATTTTTATATAGAAAGATGGGAGGAGGTCAGAGAATGCTCGATCATATAAAAAAAGAAAAAAAAAAAGAAAATGAGCAGTAACATTCACGCACGCGCGAAGCCCGTGAGAGTACATATATACGCAATCACAAAAGGCAAAAAAAGAAGAAGAAGAAGAAGAAAAATTGATTTCATCGTAAAGTTGAATCGAACAAAAAGTGATTAAAGAAGTTAGTCGTTCATGTTTGTAATTGGATCTTAGTTGTCATTATATGAAAACATAAGATTTTATGTTTTATTGATACACGTAACTTTGTTCTTTATATAAAAATGAGTATTCTATTCTTAGTTACATATAGCATTCGTTATTTTTTATGTCAAGATCTCTCTGACGTTATTAAATATTATATATATATATATATATTAACCTGTGCAGTGAAGTAAACGTGTTGAATGGATGAATGAATGAATAAATGGGAAGATCGTGTAAATGACATGTAGGCATATGTATGAACATTATATTACGTTATCGTTCGATCTATAAAGGTGTATCACATACATAGTTTTTTGTTGATGATCAAAGTTTCTTTTTGTTCTCGTGTCTACCTAACTAATTTTATCTATATATATGAATTGAACTCATCATTTACCTTAGTAATTAAGCGTGAAAGCGAGGTGAAAAAAAAGGATTTGATAATGGTCAAACATTTCTTACTTCTACATGTATATATATATATATGTATATAAACTGTAGATTGTCATTTAATAGAGGAAAGAGAATAGGAGAGAGAAAAATGAATGAATGAAACTAGATGATCTATACATTTCATTGTTCGATAAATATAATACGATAGCATGTCTGTTATATCGTATAATTCGATTTTATTTTTGCTCGATGAAGTACATCATGAAAAGGAGGAGGTACGATTAAGATGATTGAAAAAAAAAGAACGACTTAGACGTGTGAAAAAGAATGAGTAAAGTAATAATGATGATGATGGTTAGACTCTCAAGCATTGAGTAAGAGAGAGGGAGAGAGAGAAAAAAAATGTAGTGTCGATGGTGCCTACTCGAATGACCCCGAGTGCTACTCATCCTAATGGACGACCACCTACCATCCTAACAACACATACGTCTAGTGTTTCCTGTTCTTTCGTGCAGCACGAGAATGAGTCCACTTAATGGTCAAATAGTGAAAAAGAAACTTGCGTGTTCTGTCTTTCACCTGTATGTTCAGACTGACTAACAACGAATGAATGAAGTAGAAGAAGATTATGGAGTCGATTGAAGTGACCTAACTCTTTTGCGTGTTGATGGTGAGGGAATTACTTGTTGATTGAAAAGGAGAAGAATGAAAGACGAACGTTGTTATAAATCTAGTTTTTCATCTGACAGGTAACACTGAACGAAAAAAAAATTCATTTAATCCTTTGTTTTATGTGTTAACGTACTCGAGCAATCTCTCTTATTACGTCGAAAGTGATGACAACTTATGTGACTAAGAAGAATCACTTGATTTTCAAGTATCAAAAATTGAATTTTTATATTCTGTTTCATAATTATTTTTCAGCTTAACTTAAGCTGAAATCATTCAAACAATCGATTTATATATAGATTGAAAGTATGATTTTATCTTTATACAACAGTTGTCTTCTTTCAGATGAATAGTTAAGAGTAATATTACGGAACTTTGGTAGTAGATTATTATCATCATTTTGTATTTTTGTCTATAATGATTAACAACGTTGGATCAAAGTAAAAAGCAACTGTCTATTGTCTATAATGCCATTAGCAATAAATACACGTCTTTTTTTTTAATAATGTCGATGAATGCAATACATGACTTGAAGGCATATTACTTAAAATGAACGTCTAATTTCCTGTATGAATAATATATAATTTTGATTTAACAGATTAGTTATCTTTTTAATCATGATTTACTCTTGTGTAACGTCTATCTTAATGTATTCTCTCTATGTATATATTATTAAAGATTCTATGAAATAATTCAATAGAAAGATTACTAAAGTTACTTGTAAATGTTATTATCGTTTTTGCAATATTAAATTTTTCTTTTGTATGTATGAAAGAAGCACAATATAACGAACAGTAGTAATTGCTATTGACGTTTATTATTACTCAAGCTGATTGTACTTCAATCAGACTTGTTGAAAAGTCATATTTTTAGATGAGATATAAATAGACAAAGAAAATAGTCGATATTGTTGAAGTAATAGATTAATGTTCCCAGCTTATGTATGTGAAGTATTTACGTAATATATTTTTTATTCAAGAGGAATGATTAGTTAGAATAATGTTTTCAAGCATTATATTGAAATCTAGAAAATTTGTTAATCAATTTATCCGAAAGTTATTTTAATCAAAAAAAAATGTTCATAATGCTCGAGGCTATAATTACATGTTATTGGAGTGATAAGTTCATCTATTGAATTTTGTATAAAATGATTGTGATGCATAATTCTTAGAGAAAAAAAAACAAACATTTATTGATATAATAAATCTTATCTAATGATTTTAAGCTTTATAAAAATATATATTGATGATTATTAGTTGACACTTATCGCTCGAATGAGCTTCATGTTAATCAGTGAACATTCTTATCGAAAAAATATATAGAATCGATTACATACATTATATTTCAAAATACAAAAATTATATATGAATGTTTATTTAAAAAGGTTAGATATCAATCATTAAGACAATATAATATATGATTGTTTTCTTTCTTTCAAAATTTATCTTCATATGTATCAAAAATAAATGTAAAGATGAATTACTAGATATATATATATATAGTTTTTTTACATGAATCTGTCAGTTTATATCATCCATATCTGATGATGATTCGACAACAGTTATATCAACATTATGATCATCATATCGAGATGATACATTAGTTCGATTAGTTGTTGATCGATTTGTTGCTTTAGATGGTTTTAATACACGTTGAAAATCATCAACTTTATCAAGAAGACCTGGATTTCGACGACAAAGTAAACGAACATCATCTGTATTGATTGTTGTTCGTTTACCATGTCTAAATAAATGAATATTATCATTTATAAATCAAAAAAACAAAAAAAGACAAAGTTTACTTTGCAAATGCATCAAGATCTTGACAAAATGTACCTATTTGTTGAAATGTAATATCACCAATAGCTGCAACAACTTGTTTATCTACAGTAACATTAGATTGTGTTTGTAATTGTTCACAAATTTTACCACATGCTGCATGAAGTGCTGCTTTTAATCTCTACATGAAATAAAACAAAATCAAATATTTTTTTTTTCTTTTAAGAAACAACGAGAACACTTAAAACTTAAGTTTGTACATTCAATAGAGTATAAGTTTTTAATTTTACAATAATTGTCAATAGTATATACAAAATAAATCGATTTTCAACGACCTAATGACATATATATATATAAAGGAAATCTAAGAAAAATGAAGTTATAATTGATCGTACTAAGATTTCTTTATACTGAATTTACTTGGGTATACAAATAATATAATGGAAATAGATTAATGATATTCTCTTGAAGTTTTCGATTAAATCGATATACAGAATATATTTCTTGTCTATAATTCTATGAAAGTGTTTTGCATCAAGACAGAAAAATAAAGGGTACAAATTAAATGGTCAGTTTTTTATTCAAAATGATCAGTAAAAGCGATCAGTAGTTTTATTGTGAATTATTAGTAAAAAATTTAAACTGGGTGTGGGCGGATAAGAGATGGACACCCACACCCACACCCACAAAACTACTCATCCCGTTATAAGAAAAACAACTGATCATTGTGAATAAAAAACTGGTCATTTATAATTCGTACTCAAAAATAAGTAGCAAAAATTCTTTCACAATATTACTGCAATGATGAAAAGATAAATAGGATGTATGGCGCTTCGTATCACCCCTTGCGGACATCTGACAGCATGACCGGGTGTTCAGAATCAAAAATTTTCTTTGATGATTTTTTGCAGGAGTTCATAAAAGAAATGTTTTTTTTGAAGATTTATGCCCAGAATTTGGAAATACTGTCTTACAGAAGATCGTAACAGAAAAAGTAAGATACGTCTGACGGATCGATTCAAAGTTCAGAATAGAATGTGTTTTGCTGTATCTGAGGATGGGTGCGGGTGTGGATTGGGAGAATATAAACGCCCATTTCCACACCCACTCACCCACCCACACCCAATAAATGTACCTTAAAAATATATAATCCCAATAGTCGAAATTAAGAGTGTTTTCACGCATCTCTGATTTTTTTAGTTTTTTCTATTACTAATAGATAAGAGATTATTTTTATTGTACACGCACCAAGACTGGATCTTGTAAAAGTCGTTCATCATCCAAATCAGCCATAATCTAAAAACGTCATAGATTTCATGAACTTACCTATAAAGAATTTTTTCAAGGAAAAAAAGAAACAATCGAAAACATTATTTATCATTTTTTCATTTTATCTCTCTTTATCTGTCCGAATTTTTTTGGTTTCTTATAAATAATAATAGAGTAAACAATCGTAGAGGAAAAACCAACAACATTAAACAACAAAAAAACGAAAATGACTGAATAAATATGATGTATCAATGATCATCAAGCAAAAACTGTATACACTTTTAAAAAGTTCATAAAGATAGGTACGTCTTTTCAATGAAATTAAAAAAAACCCGTATATTACGGAAATGACAAGAGAGATAAAAGATTTATAATATATATATACACATAATGAGAACAAGAGATAGATTTAAAATGTTTTCTACATAGGTACTTTATCAATATCATCTCGTTGTTCTGGTCGATTATTAACCATAAAACCAAGTTGTTTAACATCGATTTTTTGACCTTTCATTTTTTTTGCTTTTTTCTTTTGTCCATTACTTGATGCTAATTGAAAACCTTCATCACCACCACTACCACTATTATCATTAGAAGATGTTGGTGCCATAACTAATTCATTTAAACGTTCATTATCCAAATCAGGCTAAATTTTAAAAGAATTATAATTCTTATAATCAATAAAATTAATAATTAACCTCAGCATTAGCTAATTGATTACGTTTTGAAAGAAAATCATTAGCAAATTCTTTAGCTTTACTAACTGAGCCTATATATGGTTGTACATATTCAATTATTTCACCAGCATTATCAATATCTTTTAATAATTGAATAAGAGTTGGTACTAGAAAAAATGAAGAAAAAATAAAATAAAATAAAAGTTTATTTATTTTTTTGTTACCATCAATATCTTTTAAATTATCTTTGAATTGAGTTTGAGTCCATTTCGATAGAGCATCTTGAGTACGTGTTTGTGTATATAAATGTTTAGCTTCACGTTCACTTTTAATTACATCATCATTAGTTGGATTTATTTTTGCGGGTATAATTGCCGATGGTGATGTCGGTTTTAATTCAGTCCATGGAGTTCTATATTTAATTTAAATACAAAATAAATATATAATTCGAAAGAATCACTATTGAAAATAGGGATATTCCCGAGAATCTATAATGACTCATAGAAAAATGAAAGGAAAAGTATACCTAAAACATCTGTACATTTTCTTTGATACTTGACAACTTCTTCTCGAATAGTCTCGATCTAATTCCAGTATAGCTAAATAGAATCTGATATAGCTCTAGGTTAGTTCCAACATGATCTTGACCTAGCCTCTATATATTCCATAGTGATTCTGCTGTCGTCTGATCGGATTCTATGCAATTTGATTTTCAAAAGTTCTGCTAAATGCAATCTACTCTCGACTTGTGTTTTCGAGATCTAGAAAAAGACGTTCAAGTTCACAACTGTAATTGATTTAGTCACTGAATATTACTTTGTAAATCGACTGGCTCTACTGGAAGTTGTTTTGATTGATAATTATTAAAAGCGTATGATATGAAATTAATTAATCTTTTTTTAGCTTACGAGGGAACATCCCCAACTGAAGTATTGCTTCGGCGTTCGGGTTCGGTGCATAATGTAGACCCCAGTGAAGTATGAAAAACCCCAAAAGGATAAGGGCCCATAGGCCTTCTATCCCGAGTTATAGGCAGTATACTGAAGTTTTAGCCTATGGGAGGGTATGTAGAAATAAATCGAATGACGGTATTTCGACCTAAGATTTTGCCCACAGAGAGGCCTATATGTGACTAGAATACCCTGAGAATTTCAGCTCAAAAGAATGGTTCCTTCTTGAGATATTAGAGTCTCAAAAAACCACGTATATCCCACGAAACATACTAGAATTTCCTGTTTTTGAGACTTTAATATCTCGAGAAGGAACCATCCTTTTGAGCTGAAATTTTCAGGGTAGTCTAGTCACTAATAGACCTCTCTGTGGGCAAAATCTCAGGTCGAAATACCGTCATTTGATTTATTTATACATACCCTGCCATAGGCTAAAATTTCAGTATATTGCCTATAACTCGGGGCAGAAGGCCTATGAGCCCTTATCCTTTTGGGATTTTTCATACCTCACTAGGATCTGCTTAATGCATAGGACCCGAACTCCAAAGCGATACTTCAGTTGGGGATGTTCCCTCGTGAGTCTTGAACAAACTTTTTTTTCTTGTGATCTCGTTTCCACTGAATTTTTTCTTTTCGGTCGATTTGATTCTAGTGACCGAGAGACTAGAACTGATCTCACATCCACACTCCAACAAGTAATTATCTCATCTCTTATTCTTGTTAAGAGAATCATGATGTATTTATTAGCATAGGTATAATAAATCTATTGAAGGCCTCAGCAAAAAAAAAAAGAAACATTCAAATTATATATTATTAAGTATCAAACTCTAGGATACAATCTTTATTTAAAATATCTGTATTAGTTTCGTTTTTAATGATTATCTGAGTAGCAACTATTCTTCGAATATTTTATTTATATAAACAAAATCAAGAAAGAGTTTATTTTGTATTCAATATCTTGCTTATTGAATTGTATATCATAACATAGCAATAAAAAAAACACATCTGTTTGTATTTATAAGTTCAATAATTTACAGAATAGTTGATACATACGAAGGTTTATTGCTAGATTTGCTCGATAATGTAGATTGTTGATTATTCCATAAAAGTGCTGATGATGATGATGGTGATTGTTGAGATGCAGTCGGTGGCTGTTGAAAATTACTACCCCATACTGGTGTTGATGTTGATGAATGATCAGATAAAATATGATGTGGTTGTTGTTGTCTCATTTCATTCTAAAATATCAAGTAAATAATCAAATGTATGAAAAATATTTTCTTACCTGTGCTTGTTGCCGTTGTAAATCTTGAAGTGATGTATTAGATATATTATTAGTTCCATTCCATGGTGTCGGTTGTTGATTAGTTACTGATCGAGATTTCGGCTAGAAGAAAAAAAAATAATAATATAAATATGGAGAAAAAAAATCTAGATTTTTTCATTTCTAGTTTTTTGTGTTAAATATACAGAACAATCACTAGAGGTGAATAGGTTAGATAGACAAAACATGCAATGTATATATATATATATATATACATATAATCACAACACAACATACATGAATATTTAAAAGGGATAGTACCGCATTTGTTGCCTGTTGATTATACGATGTTATGGATGCTGATGATGATTCAATTCCTGTATTCTCATTTGTATTATGATCAGATAATATATGACTTGGTGTCGATGGGATATTACTATTGCCATTATTGCTACCAGCAAATAATGTTCGAGCCCATGAACTCGGTTTATTGGTTGATGGTGATGATAATGATGGAGAGGAATTTGGAATAGGTAAAATCTCAGATTTACCCTAATTAAATACAAATTAATTTAGTATAGGTTATCAAAAAATCTATCAAACGAATGAAACAATACTGTAAACAGATATTTACTTATCATTTTCGTATGTAAATAAAAATATACGGTAAGGATAACTGATCAATATTAGAATCTGTCTGAAAAGCTTTGAGATTGTCATTTATTTATCTTAACTTATGTATTGAACTGAGAAGTTTATTGATAATCATTTGAATTAAAATGATATTTGTTTTCTATCGATAAATAATACTAAGTACTATTCTAATAAAAAAATTCATAATGATTTCGACTATTATTAAGATTATAGTAGAGCTTTGTATTTATCCTAGAACCATCTATAAATAAAAGTTGAACATATTTTTGATTCATTTCTTTTCGGAGAGCTAGAATTGTTTATAAAACAGATTTGATACTTGCGCAGCGTAAAGGAAACCTTTTTTCACTCTATAGATTTGATTGTTGAATTACTTCACTTCTCAAGAGTGTCTGTCATCTACAATACACTCTGATATCAATGAGAATGTTGAACAATAGAGAAAGAAAGGTTACGTAAACATATCAACAGAGAATAGATAAGATATCATTATCAGAACAGCTGTATCCAATAAGAAGAAAAAATTCAATGCTAAATTTCTGTTCTTAATAATGAGATTTTTTCTTAAAAAACTAGTGAAATAATTTTATCTATCTTAATATTTCACATACGTATTGATGAGCAAAAGCAGTTGCTTCATGTGAACGTCTATCTTGTTCTTGTTTTTGAATATCAGTAAAATTTAGTAATTGTGTTGAATCATTATTTTGTGATAAATGTCGAGGCCAATTAGCTGTTTCTGGTATTTTATACATTGATTGTTGAGGTTGTTGTTCTCTATAATGTTGTTGATATCGACGAACATTTTCGGCTCTAAATAGTTTTAAATTTCAAAAATAGGTCTTTTTTTTGCTAAATTATTTTCATTACTGTTGTGCTTCAAGTTTCGCTTGTTCTTTTTGATATTGTAAGGATTGATATGCTAAAATTTGTTCAAAATCTGCTGATGATTGATTTTTATTCTCAATTGTTTTTGTTAATTGTTCAAAATTAATTTGTCTATTATCTTGTATTTTACGTCTTTCGGCTTCTTCACGTTGTAAACGTGCTTGTTCATATGATTTTAAACGTTCCATTTCTAATTCACGTCTTCGTTCTTCTTCAAATTTTTCTTGTTGTTGTTGTTGTTTACTACGTGTTTGCATGGCTTGCGTTAAACGTGACATTAAATCATTTGATTGTTGTTGACTAACAGATACATTTGAAGGAAAAAATAATGAATTATTATTATTTGATGATGTTGAGTGGGATGAAAGTTGACGAAATGAACGTTGCATATCATCGTATGAAATTGGATTTGATTGTTGAGAATTTGTTGATGACATACTTCGTTGTAATTGTTGTTGATAAATTATTGCAGGATCAGTAACTATATTTGAAGGAAATATAGATGATGATGATTGCGGTTGTTGCTGTTGTTGTTGTTGTTGTTGTTGAGAATTAAAATATGTTTGTAATTGAGAAGATATATTCGATGGAGATGATATGGTTTTTCGATCGTTGCTTGATATTGGCATTGAAGTTTGTCTAGAAATAAATAATTCAATTAAATATTCATTTAAAAGTTTTATTCAGTGATATAAATTTGCAATGCAGTAATAGACTTTGAATCGAAGTAGATAATATCAGTTCTAACTTTTGAAAAGATGTTTACTAGACTTAAGTGCATTCAGCAAATACTTATGCTCAGTGGGCTTTTTGTAATGATATATGATATTTTTCTCTACATCTGAACAACTAATATGATGGGCAATCCATGATTACCTATTCTTCGTAGATCCATTATATAGTAATGTATCTGTTATTGCTGAGAAATGATAATGTTTATTTTTCTCTGTTATTATATTGTAGTAACTGCATACAAGGAATATAAAATATTTCAACTAAATATCTCAAGTCTATTAAAACTGTTAAAAATAAACTTGAAAGCATTTTCTTCTCTATGATCTCCGACTCAGAAAAATCTACAGATTTACTTCATAGTAATAAAACTTTAGTTTAACTTCATTTTTTTTGTCTTTTTCCTTTCAAAGAAAATGCACAAATCTAAGAGACGGTTTTCTATGATTTAAAGCTTACCTATTGAATAATAATGAATGTTGTGCATTTTGTCTTGATTGTTGTTGTTGCATTAGATAGTCATCAATAAATGCATTGTTTGATACTGATGATGTAGCATATGTCATAGGATTAAATTTTTGTGGTTCAGGCACAATTGGTTGTTGTTTTTGTACAGGTGTCGATGGCAGTGATGGAGCATCACTGCGAAATGGTAAACGACCTAACTCTTTTGTTAACTGTTGAATAGTTGTAAATTGAGTTTCACCTAATCGTTTAACTGGCAAAAGAATAGTAAAATATCCTGCAGTAAACCAACGTTCCATATCAGCTGATGAAAATGGTCCTTGTACTGTATTTTGTGGATCCTTATAAAACCATTGTTTATCATCAATAATCAATGGTGCTCGTGGTTGTGGAATGATAGATGCAGTTGGATGAGTTTGCTCCATAGAAATAAGACGAGATTTTGAACGAGCAGAAATTGGTGGTGAATAATCAGTAGCCTATAAATAATCAATGTAGAAAACAGATATAAACAGACTACATCTGATCACTAAATAGTTCAATTTTAATATAGAATACACTAGAATATTTTATGGTTGGTAGAATAATCTTAGCTATATGTTGTCTTTTCTCTAAATGATTGTCATACTTCAGCAAGAGTTGATTCGACTACAGCTGTTGCTACATCACTATGATCAAAATCATCATCCCATGTAGAATGAGATTGTTGCACAGGAGGTGTTGGTTGAGATACTAAATTATGTAAAATAAAAAGAATTAATATTCCATATATAGTTTTATTATAAAACTAGTTTACCAACTGATTCGGCTACAATTGGAGCATTATTTGTAGTAGTTGTATCTATTTGTGGTAATGTTTTTTCAGGTTTAGATTCTTCTTCTTGTTGTGTTGGAATCTTTAAATAAAATGATAATGAATCATGATAAAAAAAAAAGAATGTCTTTCAAAACTAATACTTACAGCATTATTTTGTGGTAATGTTTCATCCGATCCTGATTGAGATTGTGTTCTTTCCAGTTCATTATTAGTATTATTATTATTTTGTCGAACTGCTGATGATCTAGTAAATGTTCCATCTTGTTCAAATGTTGCATTACTTAAATGATTATCCTCATCATCATTATTATCATCATCCATCCATTCGGGCATACCTAAATTAAGTTATATATAAAACGTTGAAAATGAATGTTATGAAAAGATAACAATTCAATATTTAAAGAAAAACAGTATCTTACGATCTCGTTTAACTGGTGGACGACGTGAATTGAAATCACGATCAGATGTAGATGCGTTCGTTCGCCAACCACTACCACCACCACGTTGTTGATTTGATTCATAACTATTTGATGGACCTGAAACGAAAAATCAAATTAACGATATGAAATGCAAACATTTAATCTATTAATTTTAATACCAGGTCGATCATCATTAGAATTCCATTTTTCATTTGATTTTGTACGAAGATCCATTGAACTACTACTACTACCACCACGTTTTGACGGTCCACCACGAGATGCCCATGAAGTTGAACCATTAGCTGTTGTAGGTGAATCTTCATTTTGTTCATTACTATCATCATCATCACCTCGTGATCGCCGCCAACCATCTGCTGTTTGACGTGTACTACTACTAGGGCCGCCGCCACCGCCACCACCACCACGACGAAATGTTTGAGATTGATCTCTATAAATATCAAAATCATTTATAATTAAAAATAAATTTCCATTACTTACCGATCATCAAAAGATCGTATTCGATTTCCAAATGATCCACCACGTGGATGGTAATTACTACGAGACCATGAAGATGATGATCCAGCTGTTTCATCACCAGTATTTCCATTCTCACCATTATCATCTGAATTATTATTATTGCCACGATTTGATCCATAAGTATTATCACGTCCACCTCGACCTCTTGAACCACCTCGTCCATTTGACATGGAACCACCACCACGAGTATTTCTTGGTTCTTGTTGTGATTGTTGTGTATTACTTCCAGTACGGCCAGCACCACCTGGTGTTCGGCCTGATATATAACTTGATAATGCATTCATCTTAACCTAATTTAAATATTTTTTTTAATTTCTCTTCATTTATAAATATAAAAATTAATCGCTTACAGTTTCTTCTGGTGTTGGTGCAGTTAATGCCAATGGTTCCATTGCATTTGGTCGAAATACACTTTCGACATCTCTTAAATTTTCTATTATTTCATTTTGTGTATTTTCAGTAAGACGTTCAGAAATATTAGCACGTAAGGCTAAGATTTCATCTTTTGAATAACGATATTTAGTAGCTGAAAACTTAAAAACATTTCCACTACTACTACCACCTGAAGTCGGAATTGAAGTTGCTGAATCAGGTGTTGATAGTGCTCGTAGCCTATATTTTTTTTTTAAATAAAAACGAAATTAAATATAAGTTTATATATATATATTAATGTTCACAAACCACTCAGGTCCAAAATTTAATGGTTGTGTCGTATGCTGAGCAACTGTTGTTGACGTCATTTTTCTTTGTGAATTTAAAAACAAAACAAAATATTCAATTTAAATCGATCGCCGTAAAATTTAAATCTTAAACAATTGCAAATAAACAAATCAACAACAATAATTTAACTATATTTTTAAAAGTTATTTATCACATATAAATAAATAAATCAAAATAGAGTATATATCATATTTATATATGATATACTCTTTTTCATTTACTTTTGTTTTTTTTGCTTGTCACTTATTATAAATTTATTATTTAAGGAAAAGAAAAATGTATAGAAATTCCACAGTTTACTTGTAATAATCAAAAAAAAACAACAACGGGTTTTATTTCGTCGAATAGAAATAAGCGAACAAAGAAAAAGAAAAAGAAAAAAGTATATATATATTTATAAATTCAACATAGTGAACATGACTTAACAAAAGAGGTCGCCATCTCACAGTTATATGTTCTTTTACTATACATGCATGATATTCACATATACTTCATCTTAATAAATTAATAATTAAGTAGATCTATTCTATATGTTATCTTAAAAAACATGAATTTAATAAATTTAAATTGATCAATTCAACAACAAATTCTGTTGATAACTATATACGATTGCCTTACGAAATTCATTCATATAAATAATCAATACAACTTATTTGAATGGTACTATTTATTTTAAAGAAATTTTATTATAATAAAAACAAACAATTGATAAAATACATTATTCTCAACAATACTACTATAGTGTGAAAAGATCTGTTTTTTCACATACATCGGATTTAGTGAAATTGTATTAATGCACTTTTCAAATTATGAAAAAAGTTTCTGTGTCACTTGTTGTTAGACAATTTCGTCAATAAAACTTTCCCAATTATTGGTGAGTTGATTAATACATATAAATGAATAATTTTCCAACAAATCTGTCTAGTGTAATTAAATAAAGCATTCTTCGTTTTTATTTTAAAATTAATTGTGAGTGTATGATCATATTATCAAAATAAACTGATGTGTTCATAATATCGATAAGAGATCCTGTAAAAAAAACCTTTCTTGCTTTTTTAGACATAGTTTACTTTATAACTATCACGAAATGTAAGCATTAAGTCATCGTGAGATCCAAACCAATAAGCTTCCATATTTTTCTAGATTTGGTTAAGTATGTTAGTTGACTAGTTTCTGTCTCATGAACAACCACTTAAACATATAAAAAAACTATATTCAGGCCAGATATTGATTTTGCAGTAGTCGAACAGTTGTTATTTATTGTTTTAAAACATATGATCTTGCAAAGATGATCCTATACATAATATGTGATTAATGGTATACGCGTATGGTAATTCAAACGATTGAAGTCTTTGTTGAATGTGCGTAGGAATCCATTTTCAATGTTTTAAAATAGGGTGGAATTGATTTATATACCTAGGACGATCATTTTGACTATCGACAAAGGCGTCTTATACACCTTGAAATGGTGGTGAAACATTATTGTTTTACATCTCTGTTTCTAGCCTCGGTAGATAGTAAATAGCAAAAGTATTAACCAGTATTCATTAATGAAATTGAACTAAATCGTTAGAATCTCATCAGTTATTTTAATAACTGATAAAACTAGTAGTGACGTCGCGTATAAAGATAATGTTGGTTGTATCAAGAAATAGATAAAATAGACAAAGTTTGCGTTGCAAACCAATATTTCTGTTACTAAATTTTACATTTAACCTCTACACTGGTGAACGTTTTTCTAATATTTTGATGTATAAATAGATTCGAAAGTGGAGGACAGGAAACGATATAACTAGTGGACTAATGTTTGCATTAGCTGAATTATTCCTTTATTATTGGTAATTAAACTCACATGTATATTATTTCTACAAACTTATTTCGTCTATTCATTTTGTTTTTCATTTTTGTTTTCGTTCTGTACATCCGTTATATGAAAAAAATATTTGATTAGCAAATTGATAATAATTATTACGTGTTATTAATTTATTTAAGTATTATATTGAGATATTTCATTAAATAAGCTTCATATTATTTGTATATATATATACTTCTCACAAGATAGAACTATTTATCAGAAAAAAATTGATTTAGTATAATGACGAGAATGTACAAGGAGAATAAAAAGATACATTGTTTAACGTATATTTTATATTGAAGTTTTACATAGAGTTGACTCGATGATCATCATGCAAAACTAATTTAGTATTTGTTGATCAACATGTTAGATCGATCGTATAAAAAAATTATCCTGCATGAAAAAGAACCTTTCATATTTATCAATCCGATCTGATACAAGACTCTATTTTAGACGTCTTGAATAAAATATTAAATTAGAAAATATAAATCATTTTATCGATCAATAGTAAAATGATTTTATCTTCGCAATAACTGAATCATTGATTCACATATTTTTCACACAACAACAATAAAGTCAGCATGTACAAATTATCATACAATTAATCAAATATATAATTGAAGGTAATAATTTCGTCTAAATATATGCTTAAAATAAAATAGCATTGAGATTCCTTTTATATATAAATAGATAAAGTTATATCCTATTCAAATGATATTATTGTTTTTGATAATATATATTGAGAATTTTTTATATTGCCGTTGGGTCTATCATGTCATTATTGTGTGACAAAAAGTAATGTCTTTTGGAATATTTTTCTTGATAAGAAATCAATTGTATAGTCGAAATCAATTATCATCTTTGTATGGTGTGATGATGATGAAGTAATCAACATACACATCAGTCCATTCGAGCAGAAAATTAATTATGTTATATGGGAAGAAGAAAAGGTGAATCTTCACCTAAACAATTGACATAGCGTGACGCTAATTGAAGTAATAACATTTGAGTTTTCGTTCTTTTTTTTTTACTCGGTCGGTCTCTTGCCTTCCTATTAATCTCGTCGCGTGCGTCTAACTGCTTGCAATACACAAAATTGATCGTCATTACATTCACAATGAATTAATAGAGACGAGAAAGAATAAAAAAAAAAAGCAATGATAATGATGACGACAACGTCTGTCAGCAATTATATTACTACGTCAACTTACCTTTTTCTTCTATTAAATATATGTTAAAGAAACGAAGTTATATATATATGCATATATTAAAATACTTAGGTAATTCATTGAATCATATTTATATATGTATGAATAGAAAAAGAAAAACAAATCTTAGCAGCACAAAAGGAAATTCTCTCTGTATACACATAATTTGAAAAGGAGAAAAAAAAAGAAATATGATGTTTTCATACACCTTAAGACCATACAAGATGATTTTTTCCATTATTTGTTGTACCAATGATAGCATTCATATACTCTTTGGCTTTAATACGTAAATGAGCAATTGAGTCATTATTATTATTATTATTATTTGTTTCATTTAATAATTCATTCGAATCCGAAGCAAATGAACTATATGGATGATGAAGTGGTGGAGTTGGATAAAGTGTTGATACATTACAATTAGTTGGAAAAAATGGTATGCCACCATGATTGTTTGATCCATTTGTATTTGTACAAAATGATGGATTTGATGATGTAAATTGATTAATAAGCCATGGATCCATAGGTAAATTGGATGATGAACATGATGGCGACGATGATGAAGCCATTGTACCATTTCTGGATGTTACTGGAAAACTTGACATTGGAAAATCTGGATTGATTTTTAATGTATTTACTTCAGCTTTTTCTTGTCGACGCCATTTAGCACGACGATTTTGAAACCTAATATTAAATTATCATAAGATTAAAAAAAAGAAGGAATTTCATTTATTCAATTAGATTCTATAGATTTTAATTTTTAGAATTATTTTTCTATCCTATAATCTTAAAAGATTATAAAATTACTTACCAAACTTGTACTCGTACTTCAGGTAAACTAATTTTGCCTGCTAATTCTTCTCGATTGTATACATCAGGATAATCTAAAATAAGACATAGTATAAAATCATGTGCATAAATCAAAGATAAGAATAACTTACGAGATTTTTCAAAAGCTCGTTCTAGTTCATGTAATTGAAATGTTGTAAATGTTGTACGATTACGACGATGTTTCTTTTTTTGAATTATGCTGATTATTTGTTAAACAATGGTCAATACTTTCATTATCATCATCTAAATCATCATCTGAATTACCATTACTTTTACTATTACTTAATGCATCTGTTTCATTACTAACACGACGAGCAGATTTAACCACTTAAAAGAAAAAAAGGAAAAAGAAAACGATTTAGAATTAGAATTTTTTTTCTATACATACTATCAGGATAGTGTCGTTTTTTATGATGTTGATGTATTTGTAATGATGATGGAAAATTATGAGAAGAAAATGGATGTTGTTGATGATAGTTTTCACCATTTTTTATACCCAAAATTGCTTCAATTGAATGAATTGCTTTAAGATTATTTGGATCAGATAAATCATCACTTGTTGTTGCTAATATAGAATTAGAATTTGTTGTTGTTGTTTTACTTGTATCACTTTTCATTCTGGATATATATATATATATACTTTGTTAGTATGACGATATAGTCGTAGATGAGCTTTGTGACGTTCTTTTTTTTTCCTTACTACTCTGTTGTTTTTTTAATTTATTTAATGAATAATCTAATAATGATTGTACTGAATAGGTTTGTAGTGTAATGATGAAGAGAAAAAAAAAAAGGGACGTAAAATGAGCAGAAAGAGAGAAGAAGCAAAACATTAATCAACATTGTTACTCTTCTCTCCTTCTCCTTTTCTTATTGCTTTTTTCTATTCGTCTAAAAAGCGACGACAGAACGAATGGCAAAGACGGATGTAATTATGGACTAGCACAACCAATGAATAAGGCGAACCAATTTATTCATCATTATTGCTGTCAACAAATTGGATCGATGTATTAGAGGATAAATGAAATTTTGCTAGATGATTATAGAGGAGACGATAGATGAAACTAACAATATATAAAACACAGAAAAAGAGAAAGAAATTAATTTTTTATATTTTTATTATAAATAAAACCGGTAAGTATTTTAGAATGAAGAAAACAAAAAATTTGATTAGAATAATGAATATATATATTTTTCTAATAATAATTACATTCCGTTATGCACTTATAAATATTCTATATGATAAACAAAAAAATTATATTATAAGATATTCTATAGTTATTATATTGAAATATTATTCATATTTATTAACATTATTAAACAAATTTCAATTATAGATATAATGAATATGTTTATGTTTATTCTAATACATAATTAACTAGCGTAATATTTCTATTCACGGTTATAAATTCGATTTTCTTTCGTGATCATTTTTTTTTTTTTTTTTGAAGAAAAAAGACAAAATAAATTGAAATTTTATAAAGAGAATTATCAAAGGAAATAAAAACAATAATTGGCATTACGAGATTTAGATGAAAATTGATTGATGAATAAAAAAAAAGTCTTGTAATCGTATTACTCAAGAGAAAAACAAGTGAAATTTGAATATATCACTGAAAGATAATCATATCTTTATTTTATTAAATAGTCCCATGATGATCACTTAAGTAAAATAGATAGATAATGCATCATCACGATTTGATTGTCTGTATTTAATATTTGATCAAATTAGTGTCTTTCTTTCAATGATCAAATTAAATATCTTCAAATAAGAAATTCAAGTAGACTAGCATTCTTAAACATCATTACATCTGCCGTTATACGTTGAGATTGAGTGGATGACTTTTTTCTTTTTCTTTTTTTTTTGATGTGTCGTATTCTATCCATTCTATTTTAATTAGCGGTTTCTGTAACGACAGTAAAGCAACTCACTTTTTCTTACTCGATTGCCTGCTGTGAAAAGTCAATTAGCTTTAACGAGTCTTCGAAGCATACTCATTTCTTTTATCGTCAAGAAAGAGAAAAATAAAATGACACGATGTTCAAAGAATGAAATCTTGTCTGTGACAATTAACGTCATCATTAATTTAGTTCAGATCTTTTAGCAATATATATATATAAAGCTTTTCTCACCTGATTATGTTATCAATCTCGCTAATCATAGCATGATAATAATAGAAGAGAGAAAAATATCCAGAATAATTTCATCAACATGCAATCAACAGTGTGATCATATTTTCGGAAATTTTGTCTTCTGCTCTAGCACCTTTTTTTCTTCTTCTTCATTTCAAGCTTCTATATATATATATGTGCTCGACAGATTTTTTAATTAAATGTAAAAAAAATAGCGTGAACTCGATTCATTCATTTAATGATTAGTCCATTTTACTACTACTACTACTACTGTCAACAATAATTTCCTGACTTGATGTGTGATTTTATATGTTCGTTAAAAAAGAAGATTAAATTCACTATTCTAATCGAATATTCACTTTCTCTTGCTTATTGATTTGCTAACAGAATTAACGAATAAAGTCTTTCAATGACGGTATATTAATGTGTGACCTCCAATAATGATCCCATACATACACACATATATATGTGTTAGGCTTAATTATCGTCAAATTGACATGTTGTCTTCATATACTTATTTTCTTCTAATCATTGTCAAAGTGAAAAGATCAGTTGATGATTTTATATAGTCTTTTTATGAAATTATATCACTCGAGATGGTGATGATGTGAGAATGGCTTTTTCTTTTGAAAATTCAAACGATTAGAGATTTTTATCACAGATTGAATGCTTGATTGTAAGAAAAGAGCTATTTAGTTAGATGCTGCACTATTGTAAACACTTATATAATGATACATATTTTTCGTTATATATGGGACGTTGTTAGGAACAGTCTTCTCTAAAGAATTTACTTTCAAATACTGCAAGATGACTAGTAGATAAGTACACGAAATTAATTGCGTTGATCCATTATAATCAATATAACATGTCAGATATCGATACCATGAACTACTAACTGAAATTCATGAAGTTGAAGAGACAGGTCTATTCATGTTTCACCAAAAAACTAAATACAAATGAATGGTGTTAAGTCAATTAGTAGGGCATATGTCTACTAATAGGAGTAGAGAAAGATGCACAGATTACAGTGTCAAAGCTTGTTCATTGTTAAGCAGCAGTTTGTGAATGTCTCTCTTTCTCTCTCGTTTAGTAAAACAAGAGAATTTTGTCATAAAAATTCATCACATGCAGAGTGTTTGTACCATTAATTTTTACGTCTGAAATAAGCGAAACTAACGGTTCACTTCAATTTTATCTGGGAGAAATAATTTCGGATTTCGAATGTTAAGCCAAAAATAAAATGTCATCAGTATCGGTATGAATAGAACAAATTTCTAAGATTTTTGTTAGCAATTAATGTGCATATATATCTATTCTAATAAAATCAGCGTGTCAAGAATATTTTATAAAAAAAATATTACATTTGTATTTCCATTTTACAGTTTAATGACTACTTCGAATATAATAGAATTTTTTATTTATATATAATTAAAGAAAAAAAATATATTTATTTTTAGCTTTCATTGAATAATATCAGTGGGGAAAAAAAACTGAGTTTTTTTTTAGTGTAATTAATTTGCTGGTACAGTTGATTGTCGACGTTGTTTGTATGCTGATGGCATCGAAACTTGATTTTGTATATCTTGTAATCCTAAATTACTACCTTGACTAGTGTCCGAATCTCTTTTACGAAGATTTAATATTGTCGACATCTGAGCAGATGATATAGGTGGATTTTTATTTTGTCCATTTGGTGTTCGTTGTGGAACAATAGTTGACATGATAGATTGTTGATAAATAGGTATGAATGGTTGTCGAAAGGATGGTGACATTTGAGTTTCAAATAAACGTAACATTTGTTCCGGTGGACTATTTGATTGAGAAGTATTATTATTTGATAGAATTGGCGGAAGAGAAGGAATTGATGATATTTTTATATCACTATGAAGAATATTATCAGCTAAAATATATAAAAGAAATATAAATGATGAATCTTAATATAGTTTGAGTATGTCTTTAGTGAATTTACAGATATCTTTTTAAAATTAAGTCAGATCCAATATGAGTTCGCGAAGTGATTTAGTCAATAATCATTATCAAGGGCACCCGCCCTCTTTTCTGACTAAAAACTCGATTTTGAAATAAGCATAAGAATTGATAGCTCCAAGTGGTATCTACAATTTAAGACATCGCTTCACCTCAAAGACCTTACCGTTATAGAGTTATGGGGTTCACAAGATCCTATTTTATTAGAAATCCTGTACTGAATTTTTCCTTGTTTTTAGTGTAGCGAAAAAGGAGATTTTCTGAATCTTGCCAAGGGTTAACCCCCCTAAACCTCGTCCGATCGAGCTGAAATTTTTACCACAGATACTTCGAACTATTCTCCAGAGGTAAAATCGACTGTTTTCAAATCTGATGTTCTCATCCTGGTTTATAGCATTCTGAAGATCAAAAACTTGCTTTTGAAAAAAGCCTTTATGTATTTTTCTTATAAAACAAAAAAGTAAGTAAGGTTTTTGAAAATCCTTAAAACTACGTCGGGAATATACTCATAGGTATCCTCAAAACAATTTTCCGCTCAATCGGCAAAAGTAAAAGGGGGGTTGCCCATGACAAGATGAGACCCTATGGAAAATCATGAAGACCGCGTCAGAGAATTATTTTCTCGAACACGGGTCTGATCACTTTAGGTGTTCTGTCTATGGTAAAAATTTCAATCCAATAGACTTTGCTGCTTTCGGAATCCAAGAATGGTCGAAAAAGACGAAGGGAGGGGGTACTCTTAAGGATACCTATATGAATTCTACTAAATTTCTATCTTATTAAAAATTGATTAAATCATTTACGTATTCTATTTGGAAATTTGTCATTTATATTTCTTTTAAAAGCTCGTAATGCTGCAACGGTTTTCCAATCATCTGAATTTTTTGCATTATGAATTCGTGTTTCTAATACATTAAAATATTCCGATGAAACGGATAATACGGATGATGAAGTTGTTACTATCTTTGTTTTATTAGGTAACGGTGGTAATGATTGTTGTAATGGTATTTCTCTTGACATATATATTGTGGATCGACATGCTTGAATAAGAAAATGACATATTTTATCATAACCAAATTTTCTTGCTAAATCTTCTGGAGTATAATTATATGCATCTTTTATATCGAATCTTAAACGATAACGTAAAAGATAATTAACAATTGCATGTACAAGAGTATCATTTCCATGTTCAACAGCATAATGTAATGAACATGAACCATATTGATCTCTTGTAAGTATATCAATATCACCTGGATATGAATTTAGTAGATAAATTGCTTCTTGTGTACAATTAAGATTTGTTGCCCAATTAAATAGATTTTTACCATAGGAATCAAATGAATGTATATCAAAATTATAGTTTGAAATAAAATATTCAAATATTTGAAAACGTTTTTTTATTAATGAAGAATCTTGTTGATATGATTGTTGTTGAAGAATATATACGAGAAGATTTTGTTTAAGTGTATTTTTAACATAAATATTATATCCATGTTTAATTAGATAGATGATCTTCTTTAAATGGCCTTGATCAATAGCTTGCAGGAGATGTTTAACAGATTTATGCGTCATTTTTTTGTATGTATAGAGGAAAAAAATGATTGTATTATACAAAATAAAAGATGATTTATATTTTCATAAACTATGATTTTGTTATATAGTAATGATATAAGAAGCACTTGTGAAAAAAGTAAACTTTGCATGAGTCGATGGTAAAATTATACTAAAAAAATGTATCGGTATGTTTAATTAGATTTTTTTCTATTCAGTTTTTATGTAAAGATTTGACAAGAAAAAAAAACAAGTTTTTTTTTGTTATGCTTCTGAATTTAAATGAGTAACTTTATTTTATTCGCTGTATGAAAAAAAATATGTTGTTTTTAATATTAAAATAATTGGCAAAAACTCAAAAGTGATGTAAAAACGATATTATGGCGACTAGACAGAACGTCGCAGGCGTATGGCTCAGTGAGGGTGAAAGTGTTTGTAAAGGTGCATCGAATATTCATATCCCACGTACAGACGCTGTACAACATCAAAGGTTTACTAAAAATTCGTTTTGAGCTCTAAATGAGCTGCGACGTTCTGTCCTAACACCGGTATTAGTTCCTCGTAGGAATAATGATGTTATCCAGCGGCGGATTTAGGGGAGGAGGCGATCGCCCCCCTTTAGAAAGGTTTTTTGTTTTTGTACAGCAAAAAATAGGTTCACACTACTTCGATTGGACACAAAAATAGTTTTTAGCCGAAATCGCCTCCTCGCTTCCAAAATCCTAGATCTGCCACTGATGTTATCAAGTACATTGACTGAACTATTTCTAATAAAGAAAACAAAAATTGGAGACAATTATATATAGATCATTTTTTATTTTTTGTATTGAAAATATCTGATATGAATGGGTTCTATAATATATGAAGATTCAAGGTATATTTTATTGAAACATACAACGACATCTATCTTACAGATACAAGATTCTTTTATTTCTTAATTAACACTTTGTTTTTCTTTGTCTTTGACGTATAGGTTTTTTTAATAAAATTTAATTTAATTTTTATTATATAACTTTTCTTATTGAGTCTGTTTCTATAGTAATAATGCATCTTATGGTTTTTATGACTCATCATTAGATTTACTCTTTGTTTGATCATAGAAAATTGAATAAGTTTAGATAATCAATTTATGTAAATGCCTCAACCAGATCGTATTCTTTTAGTTGTTTCAATTCTTGAAGGTAATTTAAAGAATTTTATTGTAGAATCTTCTATGAAAACATGATTTTTCTAGGTCGAAATTTTCCTAATCAATCTTCATGTCAGTTAACTGTCGATGCAAAATTTGATGGTGAAATACTTGTCACAGATCCAGTAGAATTTTCATCAACACCTGATATTAATCAAGAATTAGCATGGGAACTTGATAAAAAAAACATTTCAACAACATAAATTACAACGTAGTGTTATTAAATGTAATGCATATGCAACAACATCACCTGGAGTTCGTGATAATCTTGGATATTTTATGATTGATGTTCGACCATTGAGTACAACTCAAGTAATTTATCTTTTGATAAAGATTATTTTTATACAGAAATTTCTTTTTTTTGTAGACAATTCGTTGGCATCATTTATTACAAACGAAATATCCGAAATTAAAACCTGAATTCAGTATATGTGCTTATATTGAAGATGATCAAGCAACAAAGAGTACAATAACAACAGCAACAACAACAGCATCGAAAATTAGTATAATAAATCAAATAATTTTTTCATACAAAATACAAATTTTTTCTAGGTAAAACATCAACAAATACAACATCAGCGCGTTCAAAACATCTTCAACCAGTACTTCTTGAAGATAAAGGATATTATCAATTAGGTGCTGATATATCATCAGCAGAAATATTTTCTTTATCAATAACAACTTGTTCTGCAAAAAATCTTATTCATGTAAAATTATATATTCTCTAATTAATTTATATAAACTAATTTTGTTTTCTAAATCTTAGCTTATGCCATCGAATACAAATATAACTAATCAAGATGGTTATTTTTTTTATTATACACTTTTTGGTAATAAGATAATAACAGAAAAATTTCATGATTTAATACAACCTGAATTTAATCCTGAACGTGCTAGTGTTCGTATACGTACATCAATACAATTACTTCGATCTTATTTTGAAACATTTCATCCAATTGAATTTTGTTTATTATCAGGAAATGATATTATAGGTCAAACACAAGTTCCATTACATAAAATTGTTAAACCATTACAGCAAAAATCTGGAATGGATAAAATATTTGATGTATTAACAGAAGAATTTAATCTTCGTCTTAGTCCATCGAAAGACAATGAAAAAATAAAAATGACTGAAGATGAAAATTCACAACCATTCGTTAAAATTATTGTTAAATTAACACGAGAAACATCAGCTAATGAACAAAAACCAAATAATGAAAAACAAAATCGAACAAGATCAAATAGTGTTAATAATCATAATTCAAATACTACACTTATCGATCATGATAATAGGTAATGTGTTATTTTATTTTAACATTTTCTATGTATAAAAAGAAGACGTACTTTACTGAAAAGTATTATGTAATATTCTACGAAAATTTCGAATAGGATTGATTAGATTTAGCTATCATAATTATTATAAGAATCTCCGTGTTTAGAGAAATTAAATATTTTGATCTCAAACATTGCGCATATATGTTTCTTAACAAGATTAACTATTATAAAAAGATCTGGGGATTTTGGATCTTAATAAAAATATAAGCTACTTGTGATATGAAACTTTTATGTATGAGAAAGTCTTTGTATGGAATCTATACAGGGCAGTCTATAAAAATTCGAAAGTACAGACGGCGATAGTGTATTATCTAGGTTTTTCCTTTCGAGAGTGCGATAGCGATTTCCGGGAGGGCAAAAATCTAATTTCTGAAGGGCAAATACATATTACAGGCACAAAAATTGCAATTTTTCAGAGGGCAAAATCATTCTTCGGGAGGGCGATGCCCACACTGCCATCCCGCTGGATAAATCACTGGACGGCGATGACTTTGAAGAAGCCTCTTTATAACAAATATACAAGATGTTCGATAATCCAATCAAATTCTTTTTGCAGTTTTACTGGAAACAAAGTAATATGTTTAGACATAACGACTATGTTAAGGAAAAAGTATTCTATGAATCATTGAATATATTTAATTGTGGTCATCCTTATTTGTAAATGCGCAACTGATTTATACGAATAGAAAGAAGAAGAATGTCACTGTTTATATTGAATTACTTAATCTAAAATAGACTATTTATTTTTCTAGTATTCGACAACGAGTTCAACAAATATCTATTAATAATCATGCTACTACAGATGATCGTCTTCCTACACCCATATTTGACAATTCCAACGATCATCATCTTACTCATCATTATTGTTTATCAATTGATTTAAAATCATTGCGTAATTTACGTTTATCAAATTCAACATATTTATATTGTCGTTATGTCTATCCATTTCTTGGTACATCAACACCAATTTTAACTCATCCACCATTACATATTCCATATACATCATCAGCACCACCAAATGAACATCAATTACCACATGGTTTATGTATATTTAATTTTGCTGTTAATGCCGAACAATTAACAACTCATTTTCATCGTGAACCATTAACAATTGAAGTTTATTGTCGTGATCAAGAACGTAGCGAACGTAAAGATCAATTATTTGGTATTGTTCGTTTACAATTAGAGAAAGTATTACAAGTTGAAAAACAACGTTGTTCATCCAATGTTAATGGAATACTTGGATGGAGACAAACATGGACTCAAGCATTACCTGTCATTGGAACAAATACGGAGTAAATAATCATTTATATGATTATATTTAAATTAAATTAAATATTTTAGAAAATGTGCAGAATTATTAGTGACAGTTGTCATTGAAGATCTTGGTACACTTCAATTAAATTCAACTGCAACACCTAGACCTCAATCAGTACCACCAGTATGAATTAATACATCTCTTAACACTTAGAAGATAAATATAGATCATCAGGAATTATAGATTTCTAAATAACACAATTTCTATTCCCCAAAAGAACAGTATAATAATAAAAAGGTTTACAAGATCTTTTATCTCTACTACGAATATGATAATCAGATAAAATTTTATGATCTATATTATTTGATTTTTTTAGCAACATCTGGATTTGAATAATGTATTTCAACGTCCAAATGAGGATGCACAATTACAAGCAGCTTATGAATTACAATTATGGAAAGAAAGCAAAGAACTTGAATTTGAAAAACATGTTTGTATTTCGTTTTATGAATTTTTAGATATTTATTTGTTTTTTTATTTACAATTAGTTACGTGAAATTGAAGCAAAAAAATTGTATGAACTAATGGAAGCTTTCAAAGAAAAAGATCGTGAACGTGAATCTTTACTTCAAAAAAAAGGTTTTTTAAATGAAATATCTTATTCTATTTTATATGGATTTATTTTTAGATGAAAGAATATGGCGAATTAGAAAAACAAATGAAAAGAGCGCTAGCAGATATTGAAAAACGTGAAAAACAATTGAATACTAATGAACAAGAAGTAAAATATTTTCTTAGATTATTCTTTAACAATGTGTTTCTTTTTTCGATTTGTAGATTCAACGTATGCAAATTGATTTAAAACGTGATTATGATAATAAGCATATTGAAATACGTGAAGCATCGAAACGTTTACAAGAACAATCTGAACATACGATAACACTTGAAAAGTAAATAATATTTTTGAATTATTCAGATAAAATTAGGCGATTATTCCAATTTATGTAGGATTTGAAATTGATTCATATTTTTCAAGTTTAATTTTAAGTTAAGAAGAGAAAAATCGCTATATTAAGCTTCTGATTAATTCACCGGAATAAGAAACAAAAAAAATGAAAACTTGTATTTCAAAGAATTTTAAGATTATCTAATATCTGCTTTGCTGTAAACTGAAATTTGAGTTCTAGTTCAATGTATTATGAATAGTTGCAATAAAGTTTCGTTTTCATCTGAATCTAATAATGATTTTAAGAATAAGTTCTAGCAAGACATGGATCAACAGGGGCGTACCGAGGTCGTCACGACACGAGGGAGGGGGCGTAAACCCTCAGTACTTCAAATTTTAAAACCAGGGGAAGCGCGACACACTTTTGCTTAAATCTAACAGCCAAAACACGTAAAAACGCTTGTTTTTTATTTTATTGGCCAAAAAGAAACTAAAATTTTCCAAAGCAGGGAGGGGGGTAGGGAACTGCAAAATCACTTTTTTTTGGTCCCGGTCCCGGTCTTGATAAAAGCTTAAGAATAATTCTAGTTTTGTCTTCAACTATGCAAAAAAAAGTATGAAGTTTACGAAAACTCTCGCTTTTTCGATTGTAAATTCAATCTATACGGTTCTTCTTGAACTATAAAATAACACATTTTTGAATTTTTAATTAAAGAAAAAAAAAGAAATAAAAAAATTTCTGGTCTCATACTTGATAAAAACATTAAGGAATTAACTGACAATTTTCGTCTTGGTCCCGGTCCCGCTCTCGGCGGGACTGGGACCAGGACCACTTTGCAGTTCTCTAAGGTGGGGAGGGGGCGTAACGTCCCTGTGTATCAAGGAGGAGAGCAAATAGTACATTGATTTTGTTTATAAGACAAAAGTTCGAATTTTTCAATGTTTTATATGATATAGCGATAACTATTAGGAAATATTTAATATTCCGAATGCTTATTAAAAATCATATGATATATAACCTACTTCGTTATAGAGTTTATATATTTACAAGCTAAAATTTACTCTACTTATTTATAATGTACTACAAGACGTTAGATTAAGATAGAAACTCTGCATATCTAAAATAGCAAATGTTGAACGTTGTATCTTTACAGAGAACAAAAAGTTAATCTATGCTGCTGCTTGCTCTGAAGCTGTACTTATCAGAAATTTTCGAAGTATGTCCTAACACTATTCTTATGTTTCGGAATATTGAGAAACTTATTCAGATCAGTACTGATGTTGGATGAGTTTTTGGACTATTGATAGCTTGATCGATCATAACCATATAATCTTGTCGAACTCTACTAATCGTTTAACGTATGAAAATTCTTTTATATTACTGATAGCATCGACCTCAATATAGGCTTCTCTTTCTGTCTGATACTTCATCACATCTTATCTATATTATTCTCTCAGAAGCTATTAACAAATACTTTTGTTTTCAATACATTAAAGATATTTTATGGTAATAATTCAATGAACTTTTAATAACAAACAATAGAATATTATCTGAATAAAAATATATATTAAAACTTTTTTCTTCTTTTTTTTAGAAGTAAAAATCAAGCATTAGATGATGAAATCATTCGATTAAAACGTTCATTAGCTGAATGGGAAAAACGTTATCGTGATAAAGAACAAGAATATTTTTCTTATAAAGAAAAACAACGTAGTGCACCGGAAGTTAAACTTCAAGCTGAAATAAATATGCTTACACTTGAAAAAGTAGACTGATTTTATTTTTTTCCACAAAAATATTTGTATAATATCATTTAGAATGAGCTTCAACGAAAATTAGATGCATCATTAACATCAGCTGATCGTTATAAACAACAATGGCTTAAAGCTTTAAAAGAATATCAACGTCTTAAACAACGTGAACAAGATCAATCAAAAGTTTTACTACAAAAACAACAACAAGAACTTGAACATATGCGATTACGGTAAAAAAAACAAATAGAATAATTTTCAACTTTATTTGTTTTATTATTCTTATCCAATAGATATTTAGCAGCTGAAGAAAATGACATTATGAAAAATGATCATAAACAATTAGAAAGTATTAAAAATGAATTAAATAAGTACGAATAATTCTTTTTTTTATTATAAAATTGATCTAAATCTTGTTTTTTTTTTCTTCATAAGATTAAGAGATGTTTCATCAACACCAACTATTAGTGGTGGTCTACAAACAAATTCAACTTTATCAGATGATAATGATCATTTAGAACAAGTTGATCAACAATTAGGTGTTCTAATTGAACATCGAGATACATTATTACAAACAGGAACTTATACACATAGTGATGCTTTAATACAAGAACTCGAAAGACGAATACAAGAAGCAATGAAACGCAAGAGTAGCAGTAGCCGTCATTAGTAGTTTTGTTGTGTGAATGTCTTTTAGAAGTTAACTGATTTGTGTATACAAGACTTAGTAGATTTGTGTCGTTTTTTTTTCTCTTCTCAATTAAATATAATACTCGACTAATGCATATGCGCATTATTTATAATAGAAACGAATGTTCTCAATCTATGATATATATATTTATGTATGAGTTGATACTTGAAAAACAAAATGAATTATCATAAATATTATTCGTTAAGGAAAAAACTATTCAGCTTGTCCAAACGTAACGCTGTTACGTTTTTGAAACATTCTTCTTCCGTTATCTCGGAAAGATAAACAGATAGGAAGTTTGTTCAAACGCCATTCGACACAGCTTATTAAATTCTATTTATTATACAAAAAAGATATTTTTCTGGCTGAAGTCTCGGACATTTAGAAAGGTTTTATCATCGCGTAACGCTGCTACACAGTTTTTTGAGGTAGTTAACATTCTCAAAATGATTTGGTTTTTGTAACGATTAGTCTTTACTGTGTAAATAAGCGTTCTACGAAAGAATCAGATTAATTCATCGACATGAGAACTCAAAAACTGAACAGCAAGTTGAAAACTGTATAAGAGACTAAAAGTTGTTCCTTGCTACCAAAGCCGAAACTCTGCATTTTGTGCAAAACTTTCTTGGTTAAAAAACTCGAAATGTGATTTTTGAAAAGTTTAAAATCGAATTTTCGATGAAAAAATCTGTTTTTTTAGAAAATAAGTGTCAGATTCGTAATCAGCGTTAAGTCGTTCAAATCCGTTAAACTCCAAAAACCAAATTTTCAAAACTTGATCAGCGAAGTGTCACGTTACGATCTATTCAAATATCTTTTTTACTTCACTAATTGATGCTGTTATACTCGTCATTTCTTTATGTAAATAGTTTTTAATCGATTTAATGTATATGAAAATTAAATCAAAATTAGTAAAACACCTGACTTCAATGTCTAGTTTAAATCTATTACATAAAATTTTTTTATTGCCTATAGCTAATAAGGAAAGATCATCAGATGAGCTCCGAAGTTTTTGATGAAAAAAATGACTTGTTTATTTCTGTTTCTTCTCGATTGATTATCCCTTCCAGGACTAGTTTTACTTTCACGATCAGTGTATTAATCTTAAACTATCTTCTTGACCGCGACTCAAAAAAAAAAGTCTGGACCCCCCTCCAGGGTAGGTGGTACATATGTTGTACCACCGTCCTGAAAGGGTTATTCTAATTATTAATATTAAGTATACTCGTTAATAAAGCAAAAAAAGAATAAAAATATATCTTGTATCATAATCTTTTTATCCTGTTTCTTTATTTTTTCTATTGAATAGTAAAGTGAGTATTATCATTATTTATGGCAAGTTAATATTGATAACTCTTCCATTGTATGTAAAATGATATGAACGAAAAGAAAAAGAATTTAAGAAATCATCTTATCATACTTAAATTTCAAAAAAATCTTACATTATAATATGTCATTATATTTACTTCGTGTGCTTTTAAGTAACAAACAGATTTGTCAACATTCAAATAGTAAACATATGATTGATTTCTTTTAAAATACATGCATATAATAGCTGCATTATACTGTTAACAGCATGTGTACGTGATTCTTTACTAAACAGTATCATCATTAGATTCTTCTTTTTTTACCTTGAATCATACGTCTAGACAAAATAAATGACTAAATTGAAAAAAAACAATCCAACTATTTTCTCTGTCGATCACATTTTTCTTTTTTTTTGTTAAAATTTTATTCCATTCATTTGTTTTATTTGAATGAAGAAGGTAAGCATTTGATTTGATGAGTATAAGAACATGAAAAAGAAAACAATAATCATTAGTTTTATTTCCCGGGAAATGAGAAGCTAATAGTATATATATCTCAAACAAGCTCTTCTTCCGCTCGTTAGTCTCTTTCTAAGGAAATCGTTCACTCTATATCATTTGTACACCTCACACTATTGTTTACTCACGCGCCAACAACAGTTAGAGAATGAATATCAATGATCTAAAATCATACACAAATGGGACAGAAAAAAGGAAGAGAGAGAGAAAGAAAGAGAGTATGAAAGCATAGCTTTATTTCTCTTCCTCATATCGATATGGGATTAATGTGTACATTGATAGTAGTTTGGTGATGACATATTCTTCTTCACTATACATTGTTATCGGTGCACTGCCTTGTTAAACATGCCGCCGAGTTGACATAGTATAGCCATCGTCGCGTCGTTTCTCATTTGGTATGATACTTTCTTTTTCCCTTAATGTTCTAAATGAAGATGCAAGTAGTAAATATATATAACTAAAGACAAAAGTCAATTCATTAATTTCGACCTTATTGTAATTGTTGTCTATATCTTTCGTTTTTTTTACTATCAAAATGAAGTCAACGACCTAGAAACAATATTAAATAGAGACAGTTGAACATCGACTTTACATTTGTCTATCTTTACAGAAGACACATATGCCGAATGTATTATTATTATTATTCATCAGATTGACGAGACAAATGACTAAAATAAAATTTCAATGAATACAACATCAATCTATTACCATGTATATGTAAATTATTCGAATCGATAATCTATTTATTAGTACTGAATATAAACAGTATTGATTAATTAATAATGTTTAATACAAATTCTGTTTTTTTTATTCATCATTTTTATTCAACAATCATTAACACAACAACCACCAGTTGTTCCATTAACAAGTAAAATTCAAATTTTTTTTTTTTTTTCTAATAAAATTTTTATTTAGATGCTTTAACAGCTGTATATTGTCATACATCGGATGAACCTGGCATAATGACAATACGTTGTGGATCAAATGAAAAAATTCGAATGTTAGATGCATTTGATGCTGCTGTAAATAATAAATCACGTTTACCGATTCAATGTTTAAAACAAAAACAAATTTCAAAAGAATCATCAAATAGTGTCGATTGTAAAGTTCATACAAGTTTTACATCAGCTTGTTCAGGACGTGAAAATTGTACATTACATATGCAACGTATACGTTTAAATAGTCCAAATGATAATTGTCATAATGAACTAATTGATTATACAATGGCATTTTTTGAATGTATATCAGGTATGAAATATTTTAAGAGATAAATGATGGATTAGAGAGAGAGATATTTTATAGCACGTTCAAATTAAAAACAAAAAAAACACGAGTAAAAAGTATAGAGATCAGACAAGAGAGCAATTAAACGCAACTGAGATTAGATTACAACATCGTTCTTCTATGTGTCACCAAGCAATAATAATCGAGCGTTGTACAATTAATCTCTGTACAATTGAGGAGGAGCAAAGTGTAAATAGATAAAAATGATGCAAGAAAAAAAAAATTCAATAAATTAAAATATAAAAATTTTACTTCTTTTTTCTTCTTCTAATATAGATGTCTTTATACATGATGTATGTTCATCACAAGCAATTACATCTGCATGGGGTACTTTACAAACCCCAAATTTTCCAAATCCATACACATCAAGTAATGATTGTTGGTGTAAATTATCAACACAATTACAACATCGTCTTTTACTATCAATTATTGTCTTTCAGTTAATTCCTTATGATCGTATGTATTTATTGAAAAAAAAGCTTCGTATTTATTTATTTATTTTTATAGAACATTGTGCTGGTGCTGGACTTTATTTACAAAGTAGTAATGAACAACGAAGTACACAATGTACTTATCTACAACAAGGACATAATTATTTAAGTGATTCAAATTCATTATATTTCAATTTCTATAGTCAAACACCGACTGTACGTGGAGGATTTTGGATTATTTATGAAGGTTTGATTTATCAGTTCTAAAAAAAATTCAATTTTTTTTATGTATATTTCTTTTTATATTAAAGCAAGTCATCCAAATGCAGAAGTTCATCTACATTGTGGAGCACGTGATAAGATTGGTATACCATTATCATCAAATTCAGTTTCACCACCATCCGTATCAACATCATTTGACCATGGTTGGAGTCGTTTAGCATTTAATAATCCACCAAATCCACCAACAACAACAATCAATGATCATATGATGCGTATACATTTGACTGCAACTACGCCTCGTTCATCGTCTATCAATATAAACGATAGTAAGTCTATCATACATTCTAATCTGTAATGAAGGTAAACATGCATATATACATTGTCACCTCGATTTATGTTATACAATGACCTTACCTTTCGTAGCGTCGTGTTAATCTTTCGAGTACACATGTATAGCCATTTGTCCTCACATTCTTGTGAATTTTTAAATGAATAGAATAGAGGTGTGGCATGTGAAAGATTTTAAGATTAAGTGTTAGCATGCTAAGAAAATAAATAAAAAGTATTAAACAAGTGTGACTAAAATTGTTTTTTTTTTCAATATTTCTTCTCATAGAATCAAATGTTTCAGCACCAGTTGGAGCTTTTATATATCCACATGGAACATTAACAACATTCGAAGTAGCCTATGGACCAAGTGGATGGTATTTAAAACAACCATTTGAAACATCAAATAAAACAGTAACTAAATTATTAAGAACAACAACACATCAATTACCAATTACGAAATGGAATTTTACCTGGTATTATACGGAATCGACAAAGACAAAACTATCTACTACAACAAGTACTATAACAACAACCACAACAACAACTACAACAACAAAAAGTAAATAAATGAAAAGATATTGATCTATAGAGGTTATTTACCTGAATGAATCAGATTAGAAATCTATGAGAAATTTCCTTATTTGAATTCTAACTCGATATATACATATCGTCGAATCAATTGTCATACATATAATAATAAATATTTTACTTTTAGAACCAATCACTATCTCTATGACCACTACACAATCAACGATTATTGTTGTTACATCAAAACCAAGGTTTATGACAAAAACTCCAACCGTTACAGCTAATCGACGCTTATTATTTACTTATACACCATGGATATACTATAGTTTTCGTCGTTCTCAATTATCTTCAACAACAAGAGCACCAACGGTCACGACAACTGTAACAAAATTAACGTCTATTGTAACAACTACAATGCCATATCCAACTCCTTTGTATCCACGAGATGGTTCTTTTGACTTGTTCGATCGACAATGGCTTACAACAAAATCCAGATCATCATTCATAAATATGTATTCTACTACACACCCAACTAGTACAACGCGGCAAATACCTACTACGAGTACAACTGTTACTACGATCACTACTACAAAAACAACTTCTAGAACTACTACCAAAGAAAGCACTACTCGTTCAACTGAAACAATAATTAGTAGTACTAAATATAAAAATACTAATGTCTGGCCACCCGAGTCAACTAGAAAAACATATTCAATGGAAAACTATCCATTTATCGACATAATTGGAGGATACAATCCGTTCCGCGACTCTCATTCAACTAATAAAATTCAAACAAAGATTACATCAACTATTAAAACAAGTACATTAGTACCTATTCTAGTACAACATCCAATAGATTTTCTTCCAACAAAATCTCGTTGGCAAGTTATAACAATTAATACTCCACCGGGAAAGCGTGGTTATACACCACAAAATGCTGCAGGAATTCGAATTAATGGTATGAATAATTCATTTATTGTCTTTAATAATAATTTTTACTTGAAATAATGAAACAAACAGTGATTTTTTTGAGTAAAATTCTTCGATTAATTTCTTTCATGATATTCAAACATTTTATCGAGTAACTACCAACTCATTCAGGTTTGAGATAATAATATCATAAATCTAAAAAAGAATTCTGATTTCATCCATTGAGTTAATTAAACAATTCTATTTACATTTTGATCAAGGCGTATCTCTTCGCTTTCTTTTTCTATTTGTTGATTTAAGTCTTATATGTTATATCTATGACGTATAGTATCCTATCATTTGTTGATAATGAGATATCTACATCGACGTAAATTTTGTCCTATCTGCAATTGTTCATTGAATACTCAGGGTACAAAAGAATAATAATAAAAAAGTATTTGACAATATTAATTTTCAATTTAGGACAAATACCAGATTCTAATATTAATGTTGGACCTCGAAGTATTTTCGATACACGAACTAAAAAAAATTCTACGGAATATGGATGGTTAAGTAAAACTGATATGACAATTGTTGCTGTATCAGTTTTATTTGTTATACTATTAGCAATTATTAATTTAATACTTTTTGCTGTTCGAAGGTAGATAAAACGAAATTTTTTAAAAGAAATATTAATGTAAACAAAAACATTTTCTAGACATCGTCATCGAGCACAAGGTCGACATTTACTTAGTACTTCATTTCCATCTTTATTAGACGATAGAAGATTAGGAAGCAATGGTCATTTACATGGTCCGATGTTTGGTGATACAAAAAATAATTTAATTAATACTACAAATAATAATAATAACAATGATATCTTACCCGCTGTTGGTATGTCTAAACAATTTCTTTGTATATTATAGTAAACTTATTCTTTGATATATATTTAGGTGAAATTGTTATATGGGATGAAAAAGATCAAGGTGGTTATATGATTGATAATAATGGTACATGGGCGAAAATTGAAGGACGTCAATGGTTTGGTAGTAATATATTTAAGAGTTGTAGCAAGACATCACTTTCAAAAAGGTTAATACTTTTTAGAATTTATTCTCATACACAAGTGATGAAATCGAGTATAACAATCAGTGAAAGTCAATGGCGACTTGATTACAGGGGCGGATCCAGGATTCTCATAAGGGGGTGGCGGTTTATAAAAAAAATGGAAAGTAGTATTATTTTTTAGGAGAGAAATCTACAGTGTTCTACCTATTTTCGAAGGGGTGGCGGTCGCCAGTTCGCCGAATAGCTAAATCCGCCACTGCTTGATTATTATTTATTTTCTTAGAAATATATTAAAGAACCTATCCCTTCCTCAATACTTAGAGATTTTCCCTGAATAAATGATTTGATACGTCTTTAAATCAGTGGCGGATTTAGGAGGGGGCGATCACCCCCATCGCGTTCACTTCCGAATTTTTTTTTTGTGATTGTTTGCAGCAAAAATGAACGAAAAAATTGGTTCACACTACTTCGACTGGACTCTACAAATAGCTTTTAGCCAAAATCGCCCCCCCCCAGGTATCGCCCTTCCATACCAAAAAAAAATCGCCCCCCCCCCCCCTTTCAAAATCCTAGATCCGTCACTGCTTTGAATCTATCTATAGGATTATCTTCTAATGAACTCATAACAATATATTAAAAATATTAAAGATGTGTCTTAAATTTAAAATTTTCAATTTTTTATTTTCAATAGTTTTCGGTGTAATTGGTACTTGATGATGTTGATTAGATTTTTTATCCGAATGACGAATTAAACGAAAACGTGACCGAAAACACATCATGCACAACAACAAACTTTTAAATTTCCACTTCTTATGGATAGTTAGTATAGATATAAATAAAAATAATTTATATTTGTTATTATTTTTAGCGGCTACACTTTCTCCAGTACCAGAAGCAGATGATTATGATTCATCAGAATTAAGTTTATCTGATGTTGTCATACGAAGTTCAGGAACAACACTTAATCATTCAAATAGACGACATCAACAACAACCATTAATGAAATCTGAACGTAAACATGATTTATTATTACATAATCAACAACAAGTAATTGTTAATATTTATTTTATATTTACTATTTCAAAATATTTAGACAACAAAAACTATTCAAGCATTAATTCATACTGAACAACAACAACAACAACAGAACAATGACTATTATAAACGAACTCGAAATAGTCTTGATGATTCAAATTATATTACAATGCCAGAAAATATTGCTCGACAATCTTCAATAATCGATCAAGAAACTGATAGAAGTTTAGGAAATGAAATTGATGCTGGAGGACCAGTTCTTGTTAGTGTACCAACAATGATAAGACGAGATGATAATGCTGCTGCTGCTGGTATACATACAGATGAAATTGATTCCATATATAATCAACATTATTCAATTCAATCTCTTAATGAAGTATAAATAATTCAATTAAATATCTATTCTATCTTTTTTCTCTTCTTAGTATTCACATCCAAATTATCTTCAACCAAATAATACAGGTCCATTTTTTACAAAACCATCAATTAGTACATTTAAACCAAGTACAAATCATCCTGTTATAGTTGGTTTTTGTCAAGCAGATTTTCAATCACTTGATCCAAAATTATTATTTAAAACAAATCCTGAACATACACCATTTTATCGTAATTCACAATCAGTACTATTATCAACATATGATTCAGGTTTTGTTGATGATCAAACTGTTGGAAGTTCATTAACAACAAATGGTATAAGTGGTTCAGAAAATAATCTAATATGTGAACAACAAACAGGTGAACATATGAATATCGATGATATTTTATTAACAAAAAGTGAAGATGATGATGATGATGATTTACCATTAAATAATTTAATGACAAATGATAGAAGAAATTCCAATAGACAAAAATGGAAACATGTTTCTAAACGTGTTTCATTTCAAGGTAATTTAGGAGAAAATAATATTCGAAATTATTATATGGTAAAAGAAATTAGTCTAGCGTAGCTATTGAAAATTATATGACTTTTTATCATATCCTTGAATGCAATTCAATATGGATTGCCGTAACTATTATATGTTGTTTAGTCACGGATGTAACCGTAGCTAATATGATTGAGGACAGAAGTTAAGAAAAGTAAACACGATCTATTTAATATAAATTTTGAATCTTAAGACATATTCTCTTTCTCGTAGAGAAGAGTCCAGTAAACATAAATTGTTTGCTTGATTGTGTGTCCGCAGGGTCAAAAAAAACATCGAAGACCAATCTATTGGAAAAGACATTTCTAGAGGTATTTCGATGCGGGGACTTTGAATCTGGGGTCTGTTGGGTGATCATGATGAAGGGGGAGGGTAAATAGGTCAAAAAAAACATCGAAAACCTATTTTCAGTGGTTTTTTCAGTAAATGTGAAGAGGATGCATTTCTACGAGAAAGAGCTAAGCGAGTTCTCGAACGAGCGTTACTTGTGTTATAGAAAAGAGTACTTAATTTTATTTTGATTCAATTAAATAGAAGAACATGTCACTCAACGTTTTTCTCCACCACCATCTTCATTCAATACTATAACAAATCCAGATACATCGTCAAGTCCATTTGATACTTATGATCTTTCAACTGAAAACATTCCAACAGTACCTATAGCACCACCATTATTAAAATCATTCTTAACAACAACTAATTGTAATGATAATTCTCCTACAACAAGTAGTATATTTACTGTTCAAAAACAAATAACATCAATTGATAATGAAGATAATACAAAAAATGTTATTATGAATCATTTACATTCAGTAAAATCATTAAAAAAATTTTTTGAAACTAAAATGGTTGTAGAACGATCAGTGCCATCAATACAAACAACTTGTTTTCAACCGAATACAATAATAGAAGATCGATCATCATTAATGAAAGAATCAAATACAACGAATGAATTCGAACAACGACAAGAAATAATGGATAAAGTATTGGAAAGTTTAAAAAAGAAAAAAGCTTATTCAAGAACGACTAATGGTAAGATTAGTTAAGAGTGTAAAGTAGTGGCATAACCAAGATTTGGGTGTAGGTGTGGTAGGGCGCATAAGAAAATTTGGCTTACAAAGCTAAAATGGGTGACTGGGCGGCGCCCAACCCCGATTACGCCGCTAGTATAAAGACAATGAATAGTGATAGTCGTTTTGAAAAACTAAATTTCATATCTTTGTTTTATTTTATTCAGATACACCTGAACCAAATGGACGATATTCCGCAATGACTACATCATCTTATGATTCGAATCTCACTCAAAATCTACCTGTACAACGTCATTATTCTCGTCGTTTTCGTTCTTCATCAACAAGTAATAATTCACTTTATCCTGGTGGTAATATTATAACTCACATAAATCCTTGTAATCCTCATCATTATAATAAACGTGCTTATTCACAAGATCGTCAACATTATCAAACAACAGATCATCATCTTGGTAATATTGAAAAATGGAAACACGAACAACAACAACGACAAATTGAATCCGATGAGGATGATAATATGTCAGAGAATTCTATGTTATGGCAAGCACGTACAAAATTAAATGAATTTGTAACACGTAATAGAAAAAATCAACAACAATCACCATATTATACAACATGTACAAATGGTGGTACGCCATCCGAAGATTTATATACTTATGATGATAATGAAAGTGTTACAGCAGAAACACGTTTTTAAACTAAAAAAAGAAAAAAAAACTGACATGTATTTTTTGTGCGCCTTTGTTTTCATCTCTTTTACTTTCCCTTGGCTGTATTTATATTTGACAGAAAAAAAATTTTATCAACAGCTTAAATTTTGTTTTGCTTGTTTGATTTCATATAATGACATGACTTGTTTTTTTTTTGTTTTGTTGATTTAAAATACAATCTTATAAAATAATATGTATGGTATGAAATTGTTTTCTAATACTAAATATCGATACTTTTGCTCGAAAGAATAGTTTGACCTTGATTCTCGTAAACTTACGAATGTGGATGTAAATAACAAAGATCTTTTATGTGACTAATCAAAATAACTTAAAATTGTCTATACTCAACTAATGTATTCTTGAATAATCTATCAACCTTGGTTTTAGTTCTGTACAAAGAATTCGTTCAAAATGTAGATAATTCTTATCAATTGAATCAATCGAAAAAAAAACAAATATGAAAGACTTTTGTTTATATTCAACTTAAGAAAAATTTGAAAAAAGTTCGTTCTCCATCAAGGTCAAGAGTGCAAGTAAAAAATTTCAAACCATACATTCTTTTTTTTGTTGAGAAATAATCTTTTCTAATGACAAGCTATTTGTAAAATTTTAATAAATGAATTCTATTAAACTCATTTGAATAAATATTTTTCAAATACTAATAATTTTACTTCACACACACACACACATGTATTTAAATACTAGTTTAGTCAAGCACATGACCAAGTAAAACGTGTTGATGATTCACCATGATTTCTTATAATATTTTTGAATTCATCATCAATTATTGATTGTTTAAGACCTGCTTTAAGTGGATGTTCACATAAATAAAGACGATTATTCATTGGTCCCCATACAGGTTGACCAATTTGAAAATCATGCATTTTAAGTGTAGATAATAATGATAGAAGTACTCGATCATCAAATAGATCTAATTCATCAGATTGAACATGTATTTGACAGAGAGAAATTGATATGTCATTATCTTCATCTTCAGTTAACCAGACCATATCTGAAATACAGAAACAAAACTATTGTTATTCAAGTAGAAGTTTTGTTCCAATATTCTATACAATAAAAAAAACCATACACACACACACACACACATTTGCAATATTGCATACAAATAACTCCAGGTAAAATGTTATTTTTCTTCTTCTGTTAATGTTATTGAATACTTTCAGGTAGAATTAACGTTTTTAAAGAACAAGTTTAACTAAAGAATAGATGTTACTTTTACAAGAGGATTTCAAAAAAAAAGTAGAAGCAGTAAATTTAGCTGTATAGAATATAAACGATTACTTACTATTATTTATCGAATATAATAGAAGAAGAAGAAGAACTACGATAATACTTATATATATAGTTGATGAACGTTCCATTTCATATATTTTAATCAAATTTGTATAATGAATTAAAATAAAATCTATTGCGTCGCTGTCGTTTGATAAAAATTACGTTGTGATTTGTACTTTTACTCGAGAGTATCGCGTCTTATATTCAAACAATTTTCTTCTTATTGTTTCTTTTTCATTCTCTTTTTTTTTCTATAATTTTTTTTCATTATATAGTACATACTCATGAGATGTCTAATGGTGTTTCTTTTTAAAACCTATCAGAATGTGTATTTTTTTTGAACATATATACAATAATGAGAAATGTCAACTGATATTAAAAATCTATAATCGAAAACTCATTCATCATCATTTCTCTGTCTGCAGGTATTGTATAGATAAATTTGATTTTTTTTACACAGGTCGTAAAGTATTTATTGAGTAAATAGATGAACAATACAGACAAAAAAAAAAGAAAATGAAGACAAAAGAAATATATTAAGATGAGATAACGAACGATAGTAATAATAATAATGAACATCAATAGAAGAAGAACTTTAATTTGATGTTGATAAATCAATTTGAAGTAAATCAACAAATAATTTTTTAAATTTTTCAACACGAAAAGTTAAATTTTCTAATTCCAATTTTAATTCTGTATTTGTATTTTTTAATTTTAAATGTCTATCAAGTAATATATGACGTTCAGATTTCTTTTTTACTCGATATTTTTCAGCTGCTGTTTTATTTTGTGTTTTTTTTTCGTAATTTTCTTTCAACAACCGATAATTTCGTTTTTTTTATTGATGATGCAGGTGATGTACTTTCAGACGATAGAGATGGTGAAAATGGTACAATCATATCTGAATTTATTGGATAATCATAAAGTGTTGATGATGTATCTTCAATACTTGACAATGGGGAAGTATCTAAATCCATCGGAGGAGATGGAAAAGATGATTGACTAATCCATTTTTCAAGTTCTATTTCATCAAATGATAATGGATCAACAAAATCTATTTTTTAAATATAAATATTTAGAAAATTAATTCATACAAAATGTTTTTTTTGTTACCTGAGTTTTCTTCAAATTCAGGAAAAACAAAATCAGCAAAGAAATCTTCATGATGTTGACTATTATCATTGATACTATCGTTAATTAAATCATGTTTAGTTGTTTTAGAGTGAAGAGTAGGAGGAGATAAGTAAGCTTCAATATCATCAAGTAAGTAAAAATCTAGTGATGTTAAACTTGAGTTTAATTTATTGATACTACCACCATCGTTGATGGATGGTGGTAAGAGATCTTGGAAGTGATGTTGCTCAAACGGCATTGGTTTTGTTTTTTATATTTTATAGATTTTGGGATAGTTAATGTGAAAGAAGTAGTGGCGAACGCCATTTTGATTGACATGTTTGAAAACTAAGATAGAAAATAATTTTATTAATATTGTTCAAAAAATGAATTTTTAATTTTTCATCTACTTTGTTGTACTGGGGCACGAAAAGAGCGTGCTCGCTAGCCGAAGCTAAAGCGCCTAACAGGTCGCAACGTTGCTAAATTAGCATCATTATGAAATCTGTCAAAGAAAAAAATAAAAAATGATGAAATTGGTAATAGTGTAAGTTGATAAAAGAACATTTCGTTTTCTTTTCCCTCACTTCCTATTAATTAAAACAGGCTGATGCAATGTTTGTTCTGATTCATTCATGACACAGATATGAGAAAGATTTTTTTGTTTTTCAATTAATTTCATTTTTGAAACAAATACCATTTACAATAACAAATAAATGTAAGAAATACAAAATATGTTAGAGAAAAACTAGAATTTTATAGAAAAAAATTTAAGAGAAAAAAAAGATGTCACTAGTGTCTTACACGACTATTTCAATATAGTCACACCGCTGTTTAGGTTATATATATAAGAGAATGATTAGTCTGACCTGTTAATCTCACAAATTTTTTAGCATATACATTCTATACTTCGATTATTTACGATATTTAAAATCAATAGAATCTAGTGTCTTTCTAATCTCTTTTGATAAAATGATCTTTTTTTAAGCTTATCTGTACCAGATAGTAAATAGAAATCACATACGAGCATTTCTAAACATGAAAATTAGAAATTCTAATCGAATTATTTGTAGCACAAGAGTAATTATTTAAAAAAATGATGATAATATTCGTAAGATTATTAAAACTAAGCATGTAGCGAATCCTACGACGTTGTCTAAAAGATTATATTTTGTCGGTATTAAAAACCCCCGAACCCATATGCTAAACTTGATTAGCTTCACTTACTTTATCGAAAACTAATGTTGAATTCCACAGAATCTGAAACAATGTGCGAGGGTTCGGTGATAAAAAGGAAAATAGTCAGTTTTTGATCGAACCCTCGCACATCGTTTCAGATTCTGTGGAATTCAACATTAGTTTTCGATAAAGTAAGTGAAACTAATCAAGTTTAGCATATGGGTTCGGGGGTTTTTAATACCGACAAAATGTAATCTTTTAGACAATGTCTTAGGGTTCGCTATCTGCCTAATTAAAACTATACATATTGTTTGTGTTACATGCAATCTTGACTTGAACAGATATCCTATTCGTAAACTAAAGATCATGATTTTTTATTTTTAATAAAAGTTTTTCAGTTGTTTTACTGGAAGCGTTCAGGAAGACAATGAACTCTATTAACTATAGATATACTAAATAAACAAGATTCCATATGAACACTGATGTGATGAAATACTAACGTTTTGTCGAATATAATATATTTTCATTCATAATACATCTGTTGATAATTTACGAAAATGACAATACATACAAAATCATAAATATGTTTTAAAAACTAAATATATTCTTCTTTATACACACACTAGTTTTTAAATCATCACATAAAAAAATCTTCAAAGTACATTCATTCAAACAGGTACGGTATAACATAATGCTCGTATAAAATCAAATATCAAAGAGATAATTAAAAAAAAATAACAAATTTCTTTAATGAAATTTATGTATGATGATGGGACGTAAGTGTTGCTGGAAGAAATCTTTGAGTAATAGATTTATTTGCTATTGCTGTTTTTGCTTCATTTAATAGAGCTGAACCGTATGGACCGATAGCATTACTCATATCTGATGATGATCGGTACATAGCAGCAAGAAAATGATGTGGTTGTCGTTGTATCCATTGTTGTAATGTATTACCAGAAAAGAATTCTAGACCAAGAGATGCTTGCCTTTTCCATTTTGTTCTAATAAAATAAATTACCATTAAAAAATTTAAGGAGAAAAAAAATGTCAAACCTTCGATTTTGATACCATGTTTTAACTTGTGTATCAGATAAACGAAGACGATTTGCAAGTTCTAAACGGTCTTGTACACTTAAATATTTTTGTCGTTCGAAATTTTTCTCTAATGTATTCAATTGTGTATCAGTAAATGCTGTACGTGGTTTACGTTGTTTTTTATTTTGTCGTAAATTATTCGTTGGTAAACAAGAACTCGATACAAACAAATCATTATCTAATTAAATAAAAAATAAATCATAGAATCTTATTCAGATTTCATACTAATGAACACAAGTAACGCTCGTCTGAGGACTCGCTTAGCTCTTTCTCGTAGAAATGCATTTTCTTCACATCTACGGGAAAAAAACGAAAACTGTGAAAAATTGATTTTCGATGTTTTTTTGACCTCTGCCCCTCCCCTTCACACGGTCACCTAATAGTCTCCAGATTCGAAATACCTCGATAAATGTCTTTTTTGAAAAATTGATTTTCGATGTTTTTTTTTTTGACCCTGCGGACACACAAGCAGACAATTTATGTTTACTGGACTCTACTCTGTTATAATCAATTTAACAAATATCTTTCGAGATGTTTAATATCATAACTTACCACTGTTGTTATCGATAGTGTTGCTATTATTACTTGTACAAGATTCTTCTTCACTTATAACATCAGTAATTGAAGAATAAACTAATTCATCATTATCATCATCTTCATGATTATAGGATCGAAGTTTTTTATTTGATATATCGTCATCATCGGAATTTATTGATCGTTTACGTTTGAAATTATTCATATCATTTGAACAATGAATGTTCTCATTCATTGGCATAGTTACCTTATGTAAAATATCGTCAACAAAAAATGAACGTCGTTGTTTCGTCATTTTTTCTCTTCTTATTAAAAATGAACCGGTCAATCAAATAGAATAATGAATTTACAATGTAACATTTTCTTCTCTTTCTCACTCGTACTTATATCATTCATTGCTCTCTTGTTTTTTTTCTTCTTATTCTATACTATGACTAGTAAGATTTCTTTCATTTGCAACGACATACAAAGAGAAAAAAAAAGAAGAGAAAAAGCAGATAATTGACATTTTACATACATTCTCTTCTTTTATATTCACTTGATTGGTGTAAAAAAAAAACACAATACTTTAGAGAAGAAACGATTGGCAGTTGAAATTTAATGACAAAAAGAAATCTAATTTAATTTTATTATAAAAAATAAACTCATTTAAAAATAACATTTTTTCTTTTACAATCATGATCGTGTGACAAAACTACATATATATACACACATTGATTGATCAGTCAATCCATACTTATTCTTGTTCTCTTCATTATATATGTTTATGATATGCAAATCAGAAAAATCAACGTTATATCCTTCTTTTTTGTTCTATTTGAAAGAAATTTATTTTTCTCATCATTATGTTCTTTGCACAACGTGTGTTAACAATATAGATCGGATTGACACTTTGAAGGTGCTTATTTTAATAATAATAATCGATCGATCGATCGATAGACTTGCTCGTATTTGCACAAATGCTTAATCGTTGATGATCATGAGATAGACATACATTACGTTTCTTTTTCCTCAATCTCTCTTGCTCTTTGATGATATTGCCAATAATAAATTGATATTTATAGAGCAGGTGATTATGATCAAGGTCATAAGTCACCTGTATTGTTTTTCTTTTAATGTCTATATTCGTAGTTAATGTCACACATTAACTATTATCGTTTGTTCGTTGTACGGTCGAATGATTGACCATAAGGTGTTATTTTATTTTTATAATTCAACTAATAAATAACGAATATTAGATATTTCGACACATGACTTCGAAAATATTTTTATAACTGAATAAATTCACTTTGAATTTTTTTTCTAATTTAATTTATTTTTTACTATGAATGGAAAATATGAAAAATCTGTTCTTGTAAAAGTGTCTCTTTTATCGTATAATTAACAATGTACAAAATAATCAATTATTTTCAATTTTCAAGTTCAATGATGCATAATTTGTAAAACAGAAATGAATTGTCAAATACATGGAATGAAGTTATTTATCAGAGTTGTTTAATCATAACAGGAAATGAGATACATCAAGTAGTTTTCATATGATATAAATTCGATCAATCATCGTTATCGAATAAAGAAATCGAACTCACGTCATTGTTACAATGTATATGAACATCGGAAGTAGTCTATCATGAGACTCATGACACTAAAATATAAATGCGAGCAATCATCGTACTTGTCATTTTCACTCTTTCTTTATTTGATTCCCAAATGACTCGTTCCGATTCAATTTATTTCACCTGAATAGATGGAACAGCAGCAGCAGACAGATAGATAGCGTGTCATCTCAGCAATTGATCATTGTTAAAAAATGATCGCCGTATGTATACGCTTATTCATTATACACCAAAGAGAAAACAGAAACAAAATTATGTTACTTTAAACAGATCAGCTACTCATATTCATTACAAATGATCGGGTCGCGTGCATTTGTTATCATAAATTTTTCTGTCTTTCGATTTCTTTTTTTCTATATTTAAGCATCATCGTAGCCTCTAGGGTTTTTATCTATATGTTTGAAGTCTTGTAACATTAACAGATGGATAGGCGGTAACATATATAATAACTAATATGTTGCTATCGTTTTAATAGTTCAAACATAATTTAATTATTATTATTCTTTTATCAACAATCAGAAAAAAAAAGGGACTAGTTTTTTCATATCATCTTTGTTTGTACATACTATTATTAGTGTCTTCTCTCTCTCTCGACTCTAATCGGCATGGTTCAGCAAATCCATCCACTCGCATCATCATTCAGAATCTGTTGTCAATTCGTTCGTCTCTTTGTCTCACTCGAGATAATTCTAATCCTAATCAGTTTATATTTTATATGTATATTTTTCTTTCCGCTTCGTCTTTTCTTGTTTTACTATTAGTTCCTTCAGTTAATAGAGTCAATCGAATGACTACGATGAACATCAATCTTAATGCGTGCAAAAAAAAAAGAAAAGAAAATCGAACACTTTTTTTTACAAAGGAAAAAAAACGAGAAAAAGAGAACATTTGATCGATGTTAAAGAAAACAATTTGCGATCGAAAGAAACTCTCAAGAGAGATGATCGGCAACGAGATAAAAAAAAAGGAAATAAGGTATAGCGAGTCATATACATTTTTCTATTTGTAACCAATCAGTAAAAAGATTATATATAGAAGAGAGAGAGGAAGAGAGAAAGAGAAAGAAGCAGAACATAGTATACATTTAAATTTTTCCAATTATATTTCATGTCACGCCCGATTACAGAAAGTCGAATGGCTTCATCGACCAGTTTCTTTTTCTTACCATCAAATATGATTCGATCAACAACTATCTCGACAACATTAAAAGCTAAACGACGATGTTGTTCTTCATTTTTTATTACTGATATACTCAATAATCATAGTCGTTCACCATCACCTAACAATAAAATATGTTTAACATCAACAATAGATAAAGATAGTGGTGATGAAGATGATACAATATTACATGATAGTGATGATAATGGTAAGAGAATAAAGCGTTATACTACCCAATAGATATTTTTAACCAATCAGAATCTTGTAATTATATATTTTTTCTTTTGTATTTGATAGATTCAGATATTGGTGAAGAGAGTAATACTTCAGATAGTGGTCATGGTATTAATAATAGTTCATTAAAAACAAATAAAAAACCACGAAAAGCTCGTACTGCATTTACTGATCAACAATTAAATTGTTTAGAAAAAAGTTTTGAAAGACAAAAATATTTAAGTGTTCAAGATCGTATGGAACTTGCTGCTCGTCTTAATCTATCTGATACACAAGTTAAAACATGGTATCAAAATCGAAGGTTAGTTTTGATAAACTTCAAAAAGAAAAACTAAATTAAAGTTTTTTTTGTATTGAATTAGAACTAAATGGAAACGACAAGCTGCTGTAAGTTTAGAATTTCTTGAACAACAAGGTAGTATTGCTGCTGTTCATCGATTGCTTCAACATCATCATCATCAAGCTACTAATGGTATTGGTGGTGCACATCCTTCTCTATGGTATTCACCATATTTAACTCCAACAACAGCTGCTGATGCTCTTTTTGCACTTCAACAAAGATCTTTAATAGACTCACATAAATCATCATCTGAATCATCATCTTCAACAATTACTAGCCCGAACAAATCTGTATAAATTCTAATTCTTTTTCTTTCGTTCTTTTTTTTGTGGCTTGTCTTTTATTCTTCTATTCTCATATAAGTATATACAGTTGATTGAAAGAAATGTAAATATGTGCGATGATTGTTTTGTTTCAATCGATCTTCACCGACGAAATGAAATCATAGGAAGTCAATAGCTTTTCTTTTCTACAGAGTAATTGTAAAAAATAGAAGAGAGAGAGAGAAAATAATTGATAATTCAATTTTATTCATTCAACATATATATACATGCATACACCTATAAACAGTAGTAGAGTGCCATGAGTTTGTTTAATCAATTTGCTCTCTTGAGTATATTGAAAACGGTGGTAAAAAAATAACAAAAGAACAACAGAATTGCTTCTATTCTTTTCTTGTGTAATATTCAATATGTGACGAAATGGAAACAATGATGATGATAATTGAAAAAAATGAACACTTGATTGATTTTTAAGTAAAGCTTGTATATATTGATGATACTTGTCAAGAGGTATTTTCTTAGCTTGGTCATATGTACATCTAATAAGTATCATTATTTGAAATATCGAATTACTCAATTATTGTTGAAGTATTGACATGTCTGTTTTTTAAAACAAGCTATTTCTGTAAAATTATGTCATAAACTGTATTTTGAGTCTATCGTGAATTTCTTAATTTTTAATAGTACATGAATATTGAGTTGGAGACTTTACTACTATCAGTAAAAACAAAAGTTAATGTTTGCTGAGAATAATTATAATAAAATCAAATAATGTTTTAACTAAAAATCATTCTTTCCAATCGATGTAAGTTTTATCTTGAGGGTGTCGGTGTATGTGGTATAGGATCAGTATATACTCAAACCAACACCCACCCACACCCTGCTCAACACCATCCCACAAAGTCTAAAATGCACATTACAACAATAGAAATTCTTCGAAGTTTTGAATCTATTTTTATATATGATATTACATGATTATTTACTACTATTCCGAACTCGTTATTCGTATATTTAACACTCGATCTCACATAGATAATGATTCTTACCTTCTATTTTTGCATAGAATATTGGCAGAAAATCTCTATAACTCTAATCTATCGTTTCGATTGTTCTCGATAATACATTCTCGTCCTCTATGAACGACACACAACCGTTTTGATTTTTTTTGTGTTACAGTTTCGTTTTTCGTCGTACAAACACAACTATTTGTCGTCTTCATATTTTCCAGATTAACTGATCCCCTCATCATAGTTATAACTCATCGTCGTTTTCGCATTCTCTTATCAGATTATCAGTCGGTTAAACATATCGATAACGTTTGCAACATTGTTTATTCGTCGCATCCGAATATTTTTTTTTTGAAGGATATTACAATTTATTACGCGTCTTTCTCTTATCAGTTTTTTTTCTCGTTTAATGTACATATTTTTTGTGTTATTTCTTGTTCTCTTCTTTGTCTGATGTGTGTGGACAAATATTTATGTTAACGGGGAGGTGTTACAGTTATATCTTCATATGCCTTCACACATTCTTTCAAATCATATCTGGTTTTTCGTTGTTCACATTCTTTGTTTGTTTTTCTTTCTTTCTCTTTTCTGTTTTTCTTCTTCATTCGAATAACATACAACGTGAAGAGAGGGTCCTCTAATAGATATCCATATTTTTTATTGGGATATTATTAACTGGTCAGAACCTAGATTATGACACATGTAAAAAGAAGATTAGGAAAATAACTACTCTAAAAA